TTTCGAACCCAAAATGGTCAGGGCCAAGTGGTTCGAAGTCAGCAAGCCCACCAGCTTAGCCAAAGAGATTACCACGAAAACAAAATAAACACACAACATAACTATGTGTTACAACTGTAACATTATTATTTTCAGATAGCACTCTTGCGTATAGTTGAGTAATTGTCGACAATGTTTATAATACAAAGAGCGAAACGTACCATGTTTTTAGCGAAAGGGGATTGCCACTTATTTCTTTAAAGAAAGTACCATCTGCAAAGAATTTAACCTGTGACGTGTAATGGGTGTTGCTGGTGATATGATGATTATGATGTACAACTGTTCCGTTTGGATGGAAACTGTTACTAAGAGTATCTGTCCGAGCTACATCACACTCTAGTTCCACTTAAAATATACATAAAAAAAACATGTTCCCGACTCTCTTTATTATTCTTGTCGGTCATTAGTTAAAATGTATATCTTCCCGCTAGAGGTCAGACGTTACTATTGGGATATAAATACATATATTTAACTCAAAACGTTCTGATTTGGTACCCCATGAAACTAGCTCATTACGCCTATATATTTCAAGATCCATACACCTTAACAAGCTTGCTAAGCATCTTTTTTGCTCATTACGCTTATGTACCTCATTACGCCTTATCTGGCTCATAACGTTTCATAATCAGTATAATTATCACCATTACGCCTCATTCAGATTATTACTCTCTTTATTAGCTCATTACGCATATATTAGATTACTTTACATCGTGCATTACCTGTAAACCTCCTAAACAATCGTCGGATTATGCGTCCCATTATATACTAATTTAATCTCATAACAATAAATCTATCTAGCTTTCTTTCTAACATGTGACCCGTTAACATTGATCACAATTACAATGCTTCATTGCATTTACCATTTATCTGTGTATAGTACACAGGTATATTTAGTAAAACAACAAATAAATTATGTTTATGTATCTTTGATATATCTTTGTTAACAGAGTTTCAATCCCTTCCAAAGGACCCATGTCCATCAGACAGGTGTATATTCACAGACCAGCTTATTAGCTGCGAGATCTCTACCGACGAGTGATCCCGTGACATTTAAATGTAATTGTATAAATACAAATTTAGACCAATTTAGTCAATATTTTATTGCCATTACAATTAATTCACTAGTGACATGTTTGACATACAGAACCATGATGTTCACCTGTAATTTAATCTGGGTTTGGTTATTAACAACGTGACTGTGTTATACCTATGATAGGGCTTTCCTTGTTGAAATTGACAATAACTAAAAACAACAACAACAAAGAACACTTTTCATTTGTGAAATTTAGATCATTTGACGTTTCATAACTTTATCATCATTACGCCTTCCTCATCCCAATTATTTTTTAGTAAAACACTTTCTTAATCTAACGATTTATCATTATGCCTTGTAACACCGCACTTTGGTGTCAAACGCACTTTGGGGTTGGACCCCAAAGTGCGTCACGCACTTTGGGTTCAAATTTTGACCCCAAAGTGCGTTACACAGTACATACGCAATTTCTAACATCAGACAAACGACCGCACTTTGGGGTCATAAAATCTAATTAATAAAATGAATTTTAGTAATATTTTCAAGTAATATGTTGTTGTTAATGCCAAGGGTTAACTTGGCGAAATATCGTCCGAACAACTTCGACCACGACAAGGACAAAGACCACGTCTATATTTTTGCGACTTTTAATTCGGCTCCGATCACTACGACTTCGATCACGACCACGACTACGTCTTCTACACCATTAATGACTACGAGTACAGTTATGACTACGATAACAACTACAACTTATACGACTACCTACGACTTTTAGGAATTCGCCACAAACGATATTTTACAAAATAAAGATCGCGATATTGAAAAAAGACGTTGAATGGTCAAAGTATTTGCTACCGATTCATTTCCGACGTTTTTATGTTTGTACTATCCTTAGTTTTCTTGAGGCTGCTAGGCTGCTGGGTTGCTGCTAACTTCACAAATTTCGAAGCGTCAGAATGAAAAAAAGATGTTATGATAAAGTTCAACATCTTAAAAAGCAAAGATCACGATATTGAAAAAGAGGCATGGAATGATATAAAGAAGTGATACTTATGTATTTGCGAACATTTTCATGTTTATACTATTCTTAGTTTTCTTTAGGCTGTTAGGCTGTCAACTTCAGGCTGTTAGGCTGCCAACTTAAGGCTGCTAGGCTGCCAACTTCAGGCTGCTAGACTGCCAGGCTGCCAACTTCACGAACATGCGACAACATTTGATCACTTATATCGTCTACTAATACATAAACAATCATTAAGATATTTGCACACTTGAGAAACGTCTTATAGATTTGCGAATAATTTTCTTTATATTTGAAATCATTGCTCTGTCAAATTAAAAGATTTACCAAATTTCAGCGAAAAAAATAAGGCAAATTATACAAGTAATTGCGCTCTCGAAATACTTTATAGATAAGCAAATTACAATGTAATGTCTTTATATTTGAACCCTTTGTTCTGTCCCAATCAGTCGTATATTATGTCTTTCATGACATTCAAATATAATACTCATTCATATCTATGTAGTATATTTAATGCGGTTACAAACCACAAAAGAAGAAAGCAAACTTACTTTACAGGGTCAAGACGATCATATATATATATATATATTGATCCAAGTCCAAAATTTCTTTGCCAATTTTAAAAATATCTGTGAATATTATTCAAAATTAGGATTCAAGAAAATCAGACGGTTTTACATCAACCTTAAAGATCCATAATATGAGCCGCGTCACGACAAAACCAACATGTAAGGTCTTCTTTAAACAATATAAAGTCAAATGCCCTAACCCAAGCAAAATATCTAGGAGATTTGGCATCGTCGTTTTTAGACCGGGATGTAGCGCCGATATATCTGTACTATATCTGACCGTACCGGGGCTCTGTCGGGACTCTACCGGTGATTGTCGGCACTCTATCTGACCGTACCGGGGCTCTGCCGGGATCATCCGGGACTCTGCCGACATCATTCGGGGCTGTGCTAGCATGGATCTCAGCTTTTATGATCTCTTTGATCGAAGACTTAACAGCGTTTGAATACCGTGTTAGGTCATCCGTCGTTCCACTTACTGTCTGCATTATCCGTAATTTCAACTTCACTCTGCATGGATGGCCCCGGAGTTAATCCTGGTTGTTATAAGTATGGGCACATTGGTATCGCGTAGTGCTACCGGGGTATTGAGACTGCAACAATATTTTTCATCCGATCGTCTGGGTGGTCCCTGCAAGGCTTTGCCGGGATGCTGGTGAGAACGCTACTTAAATCGGTACTTTTAATCCCTATGGAAACCTTTATAACTGCTGATGCATTACTGTTGATCACACAAATAAGTTGCAATTAACATATGAAAAGTTGAGACATTTATCGTTAAAACCGATTTGGACATTTATGAGCACCTAATTTGTTGCGACATTTTCGTCAATTTTTGGACATTTATCGTTAAAGGAGTTTTTTGAACATTTATCGGCGATTGAGACCAAATTTATTGTCAAATTTTTGGAACATTTTATCGTCGTTTGGACATTTTTTCGACGTTTGGACATATATCGGCGCTACAAATGTCGCCCTTATGTCGCATAGTTCTCTGCGAAAACAAAAAAAAATAATGCTGGCTCCATTTGATAGCGTCAATTAAAGTCATAATTAAGATAATTAAGAGCTGAGACAAATACCGACAATAGAATAAAGCAAGTGCGAGGAAAAGACTTTAATTAGGTTGGCAATTTACCCAGTACTCTTGTGTTTTAGAAATGATTACTGGGATGCATAATTATCACAGATATACATATCTATATTTAGCTCCATTTTATTATGATATCTGAAGATAATCCTTCTGTCTCTAAGTTCTCATTTACCTCTTCTATGTCTCAGTGTTTTCTATATTTTCTTGTTCTTCGGAATAACTGATTCAATTCTTATTTTACGATTGAATACCGTTTCAAATGTTGCTTGTCTTAATGAAAGACATGACCAGGCCAATTTTGACCTTATATAGCGTTTGTTATATTTTGCATCTAAGCTCTTTGCATTTGAGATACTGGAAAAAAGAAGCTTTACAGCTTTCATTTTAAAGACTATTTAGCTTCTTAGACCTTCTAATGCCGTTTTGGATGGTCGCCAAAGTAAAGTTTGGGACGAAAAATGAAGGATGATAGATGATGTGCAGTTACAAAAAGCTAAATTCTGAACACTCTGTACTCAAGTGAGCTAAAAATTGGAAAAGAAAGAAATCCCAAAATTAAAACCCATCAGAGATGTCTTCACTTCTTTGCATGGGGCAATGGTTCCACACACCGAACGCAGAACATCAAGTAGGTAATTCAAGCTAACGTTGATAATATCATGGATTCTGCAAACGATCACTTATGTACGTACAAACTAATGCGGTGATAATGATGGAGGTCCGTCCTTAAAATCAGGAAAAGAATACGTGTGAGGGTCAGCAGGAGTTAAATTAGAAAAATTTATGCTGCACCGGCAATCTGAAAATTTATGAATTTTGTTACAACAAATATCTAAATGTATATGCTTACAAATGATTTTTCCTCATTGATGCCTTAATTGATCTTTTACTCACTGTCTATGAACTTTTGTTTCTGTGTCTTCCTCCACCGAATTAAAGATTGCATTTCACTCGAGTAAATTACGCCGTGTTTGCGGTCGATCTAATTACCACAGGACTCACCAAGACACCCAAAGACTACCCCAAGCCAGATTACCCCGAGGCACCCAATTTCCACCCAGGTCAGAATTTCGGCGTTGGTAATGCTCGTACTTACGCCATATCACCTATATTTTTGCAAAAAATAATTATCTTATTGTATATATTAAAAATACTGACCCAGTTGTGTTTAAAAAACTTCATTAAAAAAAAATATTTATTTAAAGCATCTTTTCGCTTTGCATCGCTTCTTGTCGCTACTAAATTTCTTCTTGTCGCTTCTAAGTCCCACCTCAAAAGGGAAGTAATCGAAGTTAATTTATTAGTGAGTAAGTGGTAAATTTCTAGTTTTAATACTAAATTAATAATGTATCAAAGTATTTGCAATTGAATTATACGTTCACTATTATTGAATCTTAACTAATGTTTCAAAACCGCTTTTAATGTAGACGTAAATTCCTTTAAAAATAGATTTTTAATGTTTTTAGTAATAGATTTCGGACAAAAGATATTTCGGATAAAAATTAATTCCTTTAAAGCATGATAATATAATAAGTGAACAGAATTATATGAACATGAAACACCAATGTTCAAGAGATTGCATAATGGGGTTGAGAGTGGTTTCGTCGAACTACCGGTTCGACAAACTTATCTTGTATAATTCATAGGTAATCGGCGCGTTGATTGGTCACTACCCCCGCACCCCCCTCCCCCCTCACCCCACACCCACTCTACAGCCCTCCTACCTCTCAAAACCATGTAAAATACAGTATTTTTCATTTAAAACATGTTTTAATATATGGTTTATGCTTTTAATTCAATAACCTTCATTTCCTACAAAAAATAAAAATTGATACATATATATTTAGTAAAGGTATGCAACTTGCTGCTCATTTTTCAGCACTCATCTTAATATAAACTCCATAACGCCAACATTTTTCACTTCACCAATTTTCAAAATCTTGGTACCAAATGGTAGGGAATTGATTTCTCTTTAAGGAAATAAAGCTGTCATTACAATCATTTAAGTTATAAGAAGATATGTAATCTCAAAGTCACCGCAAGTGTAAGTCGATAGAGACCTGACTGCTGGGTTTTTGTCAAAATTACCCGACTAAATGGCAGTTTATTCGAAATGAATGCATATTTCATTGTATTGCGAATATAAATATGATCAAATTATATTATTATTTGTAATAACTGTTCAGTCAAAACAGCTAATAAAACTATAACAAACCTTTTTTCCGATATGCCAAATTCTCCAATCCAAAATGAAAGTACACATGTATAAACGGAAGCATTCGTATGGAGTATTTTCATTGGTCGTATGAAAACCTTAGACCAATGAAAATACTCCGTACAAAAAATGAAGGGGAGAGCACTCTGTAGAACTATTACTTGCATTATAATTTGGAATTTAACATATAGGAAAAAAGGTTTGTTATAGTTTTATAAGATGTTTTGATTGAACAGTTATTACAAATAATAATATAATTTGATCATATTTATATGCGCATTACAATGAAATATGCATTCATTTCGAATAAACTGCCGTTTAGTCGGGTAATTTTGAAGAAAACCCAGCGGTCAGATCACTGTCGAGTTACACTTGCGGTGACTTCGAGATTACATATCTTCTTATAACTTGAAATGATTGTAATGAGAACTTTAATTCCTTTAAGAGTAATCAATTCCCTACCATTTGGTACCAAAATATTGAAAATTGGTGAAAAAATGTTGAAGTTATGGAGTTCATATTAAGATGAGTGCTGAAAATTGAGCGGCGAGTTGCATACCTTTACTAAATATATATGTATCAATTTTTTATTTTTTGTAGGAAATGAAGGTTATTGAATTAAAAGCATAAACCAAATATTAAAACATGTTTCAAATGAAAAATACTGTATTTTACATGGTTTTGAGAGGTAGGAGGGCTGTAGAGTGGGTGTGGGGTGAGGGGGAGGGGGGTGCGGGGGTAGTGACCAATCAACGCGCCGATTACCTATGGTATAATTAAACAGGCTGTGGTTTTGCCAAACTTTATTTATACTGTTATAGAATGCCAGACGTTTCACTCCTAAGACATTTCACTATTGAGACATTTCACTCCCAAGATGATTCACACCGGGACGTTTCACTCCCAATTTGTATTTGTATGGACGTTTTACTCCCATTTTTTTAAATGTTTATAATAATTTAATGTGTACCGAGCTTTAATCACAGTAGTCCTAATTATAAGACCTATACGTAACTTATTTCATATTTATCATTCATTAAAAATCTGATATTTTACATTTTTCATTTTCCATGTTACGTTAGGTCTTAACAGATCTTTGCAAAATCGTGTAGCAAAAAATTGACATTAGACATCGATTTAGTTCTAATGCATTTAAACAATTAAGACAGCGTGTATTTACATTAATTTTGACCTATTTATGAACAAAACTAAAAAATAAATACCTTTTAACAAAATGATTAAACTGTCACATCCGAAAATGATAATTAAATCCTCTTATTTAATTAAATGCCTTATACAACCCATATACAAATGGCTGTCACACAGAGCGCGAAATCTGATTGGCTAATTCAAATGCAAGCGTTTAAATGAGTCCAGAAGTTTCTAACGGAATATTTTTTCAACGAAATAATTGCCCATGCACCGTCAGTGTGTTCGAAAATATTTTACCGTAAAGCTCTTTACTTAACCGGTATGGCCGATAGGCAAAACAGATTGATATTTATATTTTAATTTTAATTGATAAGTACATTGTTTGAGAGTTTTTGTTAATGATAGAGCATGCAATTGAAAGAAAAGAAGATAAACTTTTGAATAAAGCTTGAAAGGCAAAACAATAGACATTTTTATATTTTTTTAAAATGCTACGCGTTTATGAGCAATAACTTTTAGACGTCAGGCTTGACCAACATAAAACTATAACAAGCCTGTAACGTCCAATATATTGGACTATAATCACAGGAACCTGAAATTATATCCAAAACATAAAAATAACAATTTAAAAAAAATCCCATAGATATACTTTAAAAAAACACTTTATTTATATGAACCATGTCTAATTATACCCCCTAAAAACGAAGTTTGGGGGGGTATATAGGAGTCACCCGTTGGTCGGTCCAGACGTCCGTTGCATTTTCCTTGTCCGGAGCATAACTTGAAGACTAATGGTTGGAATTCAATATAACTACATACAATGGTCAAGCACATTGAGAGGAAGTGCAGTGCATAAGATTTATAACTCTATCTTGACTAATTACAGAGTTATTGCCAAGGGGAAGTGTAGTGCACAAGAACCATAACTCTATCTAAAGTAATTACAGAGTTATTGCCCTTTGTTACTTTTCCATTGCTTTCTTTTGTCCGGACTATAAGTTGAAGACTAATTGTTGGAATACATTATAACTTCATACAATGGTCAAGCACATTGAGAGGAAGTGCAGTGCACAAGAACCATAACTCTATCTTGACTAATTACAGAGGTATTGCCCTTTGTTACTTTTCCTTGTCCTGGGCATAACTTGAAAACTACTGGTTGGAATTAAAAACAACTTCCCGGCTCGTAAAAATATGTGGCATTTTATCATGTTTCGTGAAAATATATTCCATATTTCACTCAAACGAAAAAATATCCTCTTAATACTAGAATTCCATTTAATGTTCACTTAACCCAATAATCAGAATTTAAAAAAAGAAAATTAATTTTATAAATTTAAAATTTTAAAATAATTTTAAAATAAAAAATGATGATTCAATCATACCTGACCCAAAGTCCAGCATGTTTTCAGTAGCAGCATCTGATATATACTCAATCATGAAAATATGAGTGTAAAGAAAACATGTACATGCATCAAATAAAAATTTGAAATGTTTGTGTAACAGTTGCTGATCTGAGCTGGCTTAGATGAAGTCATGCGGGGAAAGCTTATTAGAAAAGAAAAAACATACATGTACATACATGTATATATATATTAATAAAATAAAAAGGTAAAACATTGTAAAAATCTATTGTCCCCATAATAAGATATGTGTAAAGCTGATCAGCAGCTGCCACATGCTGAAAAACTAACACACTGACGAATGAGTCTTATGTATGTACAGAACAGTTGTAAGCACATATGGAATACACAAGAACTGGAAGCACATGAGAGCACATAAAAAATAATAAAAAACAAAAATTCTGGCCTTATACAGCATTTCTTTATGGCAGACAAAATACAGAAAAAAACAAAAGAAGCATGCAGTTACATTAAGCATGAACTTGTAACAGTAACTAAAGAGAATGCATAGAGAACAATGAATAAAACACTGAGGCGCACATAGAACATTTTCATTTGAAGCCACTCCAGGTCAGGTCAAAAAGACCAAATTCAGGAATTTTTTGTTTGTTACTGCGGACAAATTCTACAAGTACTCACAAAATTTGAGCCATGTCATGACAAAACCAACATATTGGGTTTGCGACCAGCATGGATCCAGACCAGCCTGCGCATCCGCGCAGTCTGATCAGGATCCATGCTGTTCGCTTACAAACCCTATAACAAGTTGAGAAACTGATAGCAAACAGCATTGATCCTGATCAGACTGCGCGGATGCGCAGGCTGGTCTGGATCCATGCTGGTCGCAAACCCACTATGTTGGTTTTGTCATGACACGGCTCATTTATCAGTCCTGCCATGTAGTAAAAATTTCCCTCTTTGTCACTTTAATAAGTAGATCTATCTTTAAACAACAATGGACAAAGCTTAGGTAAAAACACCTTCAAGTCACATGACAGAATCCGGCAGAATTGTAAGAAAAACAGGAACACTAATTGAATTGTATGATTTAATACCATACATGTACCTTTTAAATTCTTTATTTTTCAGACAATGAAGGCAGCCAAGATCATCCAGCAGTTATTATACTATATTCTAACTTTACTCAGCTTTGTGATTACACCCATAGCTGACAAAATATTTTCTTTGATATATGATGGATCATCCAAAGGTGTCCCCCCTGTTGAAGATGATATTTTACTTCAAAGTGCAACAACTCTTGCCATAAAAATTAGGTCAAGGGAGGTGAGTATGTTTTGATTTGAAGCGATAACATAATATATCTGTATCTGTAAAAAAAATGTAGCATTCTATAATAATTGATATATATATTTTTATATTCTTTATGATTCTAGTAGTAGATGTTCTGAAAGAGTTGTTACTTCAAGTTGCTTGTAATCCCCTGCCGATGGAATCGGAAGGGGGATATAGTTTTGGCGCTGTCCGTCCGTCCATCCGTCCGTCCGAATTTCGTTTCCGGACTAGTTCTCTGCAACTACTGGCTGGAATTCAACAAAACATTATGGGAATCATTAATATCAAGAGGAGATGCGCATATCGTAGGCTTGTTCCGGTCAGACCATTTAACTCAGAGTTATGGCCCTTGATTAGTTATGTAGTATGCATATAGAGTAAAAATCGTTTCCACTCTGCTTCTCTGCAACTGCTGGCTGGAATTCAATGAAACTTTATGGGAACCTTCAATACCAAGAGGAGATGCCCATATCGTCGGCTTGTTCCGGACAGATACTTTAACTTAGAGTTATGGCCCTTGATTAGTTATGCAGTATGCATATGGAGTAAAAATCGTTTCTGCCTTACTTCTCTGCAACTACTGTCTGGAATTCAATGAAACTTTATGGGAACCTTCAATACCAAGAGAAGATGTGTATATCATTGCCTTGTTGGAGTCAGACACTTTAACTCAGAGTTATGACCCTTGATTAGTTATGCAGTATGCATATAGAAAAATATTCGTTTCCTCGCTACTTCTCTGCAACTACTGGCTGGAATTCAATGAAACTTTATTGGAACCTTCAATACCAAGAGGAGATGCCCATATTGTCGCCTTGTTTGGGTCAGACATTTTAACTTAGAGTTATGACTCTTGATAACTTAGGCAGTATACAACCAGGGCAATAATTGTTTCCATGCTACTTCTCTGTTACTACTGGCTGGAATTCAATGAAACTTTATTGGATACTAAGAGGAGATGTGCATATAGTCACCTTTTTCTGGCCAGACACTTATAACTCAGATTTATGGCCCTTGATTAGTTATGCAGTATGCATACATCTCATTGGCATTTCCAGATATTACTATTTAACACAAAGTTATGGCTCTGTTATTGCCCTGAATATTTATCAAGTTCAAAGAATATTATACAAATATGGACTTTTTAGCTGTTGAATATGATGTGATATGTACTGAAAAAATTAATATTGATTATATAATAATACTGTTTATGCCATGATTAATATATAAATAAAGCCTTATGTCTTTAGTTGTTGTGTTAATAATAACCAGTACTCGGCGGGGGATATAAATTCAACAAATTTGCTTGTTTACTTCTGAATTATTTCTTGTCTAAATATATCACTGCTTGCCTCCCCTGACTTGTCCTGTCTTAGTTTCAGCTTTCAACAATATTATCCTTGACAGCCTGCACCTTGGCATATAGTTATTGAACCATTTGTCCGAACAATGTAAACAAAAACTGGCAAGTTGGATTTCTGTCTGAACCAATGGCTACATAATTTACAAACTTAACTGTATCTATACAAAGTACATGATCATGGCAAGTTACATAATAATGGCTTCCATTTTTTCCTAGTTATTGCCCTTTTTATGAACACTTTAAAAATGGAAATGGTTAACTTAAACCAGCAAGTTAGATATATAATTATATAAGTTCTAGGTTTAATATTAGATTTAACTTTCTTATCAATACAAATTATATGATATTGGCAAGTAATATGTGTGTCACAGCCATCCATTTCTCCCCAGTTATTTCCCTTTTTGTCACCTTAAAAATAGAATATTGTATTAAAAGGTTAACATATTCCAGGAAGTTGCATAAATCTTAAATTCTTTAAATTGATGTCATTCATGTGTAATTGGGACATGCCTAGGGTGGTCCTCTACCTTTGGTCGGAGTTTGGGGTCTTTATTGGGTCAATTGTAATTATTTTAAGATTGAAATAATTTGACTAGTTGATGGCAGAAGCTGTCATGGACAAGTATATCAAGAGGGTAACTGAGCTACATGAAGACCTTAACACAGTTGTGTCGAGACGATTCACTGAGGCTATAAAAGAGGCTCGAGCTCTGGATGAAGAACTAGACAGGAATGCTGATGATGACAAGTTCTCAGAGAAAAATAAGCCTTTGTTGGGTGTACCTATGTCAGTGAAAGAGGCATTCAGTGTTACTGGTAAGATTACTTGAAAATATAATATATATGAGCCGCGTCACGACAAAACCAACATAGTGGGTTTGCGACCAGCGCAGTCTGATCAGGATCCATGCTGTTCGCTATCAGTTTCTCTACTTGTAATAGGGTTTGTAAGCGAACAGCATGGATCCTGATCAGACTGCGCGGATGCGCAGGCTGGTCTGGATCCATGCTGGTCACAAATGCATAACGTTGGTTCTGTCGTGACGCGGCTCATATATAAAGTGTCTTTGAACTTTAAACCCCCTAATCTGCTGAATTAGTGCTAAAAAAAAAAGGATTTCAGAATCAAAATGCATAAACTGAGCTGCTAACAGTATAAAGCCTATGCATGACCTGGCTCTATACTAGTAGCAAAAGCTTATTACTTTGAGTTCTTGCAGGTTATGGGGTTATACACCCTTATGAAGAATTTCTAGATTGACACTGTTGACTTTGGTATTCAGAGTTTTTGCTAACGGCAAAGGGCTTGTGCTTATTTTCATATAACAACATCGTCCCTACAGTTGATCAACATGTAACATATATGTTTATGGTTTGGCAGTGGGTATCCAACGATGCAAAAACAATAGCTGCAGTGATTTTACAACTTATATTTATATGAATTGTTGGTAAGGTGGATTGAAAATCTAAGTAAAAACAGCAAAGTATTAAAAGTTATAATCTGTATCTAAATGATATGAAACAATTAAAGAATGAACATATTAAATACAATGTACCTATGTTGTGACCATATATTATTATTTTCCTCATTATGTTTAACAAAAATGTAAAAATTCAGTGCTTGATTATAGTGATAATGCTTTATTTAAACTATTTCCACTCATTACTGGAATATATCTGTTGTCAAGATTGTCCCATTTTTTCCTTTGTATTATATAAAATTAATCCTTATTTTTTTTCTACATATGTGAATGTTTTGTAGGAATGCCAAATTCTGGAGGTCTTGTGTCACGAGGATCATTTAGAGGTGAATCTGATTGTCCAGTTGTACAGAGATTGAGAGAGGCCGGTGCTATACCATACTGTATGACCAATACAAGTGAGCTCTGTATGTGGTATGAGTCTGCTAACCGGCTGTACGGCCGTTCTAAAAACCCTTACCATACTGGAAGGATCGTTGGAGGAAGTTCTGGTAATGAGCATTATATTTTAAGGAGTTATTGCCCCTGATCTCTTGGGAAATAAAGATAAATAAGTTGAAAAATTGTTTGCATATGTTTACCCATTGTCGGATACACAAAGTTGGTTTACATGTAACATAACATATAAATGTTAATTGTTCAGTCGTGGGTATCTTACCAATGATGTTTACCATCAGAAGAAAATAATGCATTTATTTATCCTTTTTTTCGGGGAGGGATGGGGGTCAAATTTAAGGAGTTATTGCTTCTGGAATAATAGAAAATAAACATAACTATTTACATCATTGAAATTTGCGTGTTTACTGTTAAAAGATGAAATTTTCATCAAAAAAAGTTTTAATCAACCTACTGTATAGTCATGTAGATGTATTGATACTTTTGAAATAATAACAATGATGATGATGATGATAAAATAATATTAAAATTTATTTCTCTATTTTATTTCAACAGTTGAGAAAACAGAAAGTAGTTTCGTACTGTTTTAAATTTGTTTTGACACCAGTTTTGATAAATAAATAAATTAATAATTATACTTGATTCAGCAAAGGTAACTTGATAAAATAATTCATATCTACAAACAAACATTTAACTCTTACATTTAAAAAGCCAATCACATCAAACTTAGCAACACATTAAAGAAACCACACTGAGGTGTAAAACCTAAAAAAATTTCCATTTCTAAATTAGATCAACTGGGGTATTTATTATAGAAAGATATGCAAAAGATTATGAAGAAACATACTCTCAATAAATCAAAAATCATAATTTTTTAGCCGCGCCATGACAAAACCAACATAATGGGTTTGTGACCAGCATGGATCCAGACCAGCCTGCGCATCCGCGCAGTCTGATTAGGATCCATGCTGTTCGCTATCAGATTCTGTACTTGTTATAGGGTTTGTAAGCGAACAGCATGGATCCTGATCAGACTGCGTGGATGCGCAGACTGGTATGGATCCATGCTGGTCGCAAACCCATTATGTTGGTTTTGTCATGGCGCGGCTCATATTTTTGTGCAATTCTTAGCCCGATGCTAGTGAAAAGTGATGCAATGCTTTTCAATTTTCACAATAAAATGAATCATTCTGGATAAACAGAATGAGCAAATGATCTGAAATTTGCACACAAGTTAGTGGTGAATCCCTACATCAAATGGAACATTAATCTCAAAAAAATATTTCTTATCCTGTCATGTCAAAAAGTCTCAGTGGAGTACCTTTAAAAAGATGTTTACATAAAATTAAAGATATGAAGTTTTATGCTATAAATGATTATATTAAATGTTTTTCAGGTGGCGAGGGTTGTAATATAGCGTCTGGGGGAGCAGTTATTGGTATAGGCTCAGATATAGGGGGCAGTATACGTATGCCTGCTTTCTTCAATGGTATCTTTGGACACAAACCTTCCAGAGGTACGTTAGAGTGAATGGATTACTTGTGAATTAAAGAAATTTTCAGGGGTGTCCATGGCCTAGTGGTTAAAGTTGATGACTTCAAACCAGGTGCCCCTCAGTGCTGTAGATTCAAAGCCCACTAGGGACTTTGGATGCTTTCATGTGATGAAGCTGTTCAGCTAGGTTATTGACTGCAGGTGGTTCTAGTCAGATGCCCGCTGGTGCCTGAAATATGGTAATGCACTGAGAGTCACCTGAGATCTTCCTCCACCAGTAAAGCTTGGCCTTTAAGGTGTTGGTGTGATGTGTACAGATTTTGTCCTTAACATTAATTAGAAAAAGATCATATGCACTCAACTGTCCAATATGGAAAAATGTATTGAATGCTTCCTGAAATTAACCAGTAAAAGTGGAAACATTATCATGACCTTGTAGGACTTATATCCCTTGGTTAAGAGGCAGACACCTTAACTACTAGGCCACTGCTCTCCTTAGGCTAATTTGATATAAATTAGGGATGGCAACGAGTAACCGGTTAACCGAGTACTCGATCGAACGTCCGAATATCGGTTAAAAAAATTGATATTCGATTACTCGGAAAAAATGTATACTTTCTATTTTATTTGCTATTTAGACAGTTTGGTGTATCCAATTATCAAAAATTCGAAGATGTGCATATACCTTCATAAATACCTGTTAAATGCAATCACAACTTCCTTGCAGAGGTGCGAAAATGATACCATAAAGTTAATGAGGCGATCAACAGTTTGACACGCGCACATGTGTCGCTTACGTCATCCGGCCTCTTATGATATTTAGTAACCTTTAATTGTGTAACATAATGCAGTTTGTACACGAATCGAGTTTTAAGGTAACATTTTTGAAAACAACAAAGGGCCGTATTGCTATTATGATATAATAATTAAGGTAGTATTTAGACCCGGTTAAACTTTTGTTGCCGCCGATCAGTCTATTTTATTACAAGAAGAAAAAGATGTATCAACTGCTAAACATGTTTTAAACTTGATATTACATTAATTAAAAAATGTTCTAAAGTATAATGTCGTTGATTTAATTTTAATTAATTTGTCTCCTTCGCAGTCCTATCTATAGTTACGAATTCTATGAATGTAAATAGAAAACGAAAGTAGCATGCGGACGGTGTTGATATTGTGTGATAAACTTTGAAGATTATTGGAAATCGTCCGAGTAACCGAGTACTCGATCGGAAAAATGATCGAGTACTCGAGTATTAATTTTGGTATTCGTTGCCATCCCTAATATAAATCTATATGAAATGACAATTTGTGTAAGATTATGAATATTTGTATCTTGCATACATATACATTTTACTTGAATGATTAAGATTCTGCCAGGGACTTTGAATTCTTTCATGTTATGATACTATCCAGCTAGCTTATGGAACATTGGTGGTTTCTAAGGTGCACGCTTATACCTTAAAGAATATAGAGGGGCACTTGAGGTCATCCTCCACCAGTAACCCTTAAGAATTGCCACCAATTGCAGATTATCACCCATTTCAGATTATCTTCCATTGCAGATTATCACCCATTTCAGATTATCTCCCTTTGCAGATTATCACCGATTGCATATTATCTCCCATTGCAGATTATCACCCATTTCAGATTATCTCCCATTGCAGATTATCACCCATTGCAGATTATCACCCATTGCAGATTATCACATATAATAGCTACTGTATTTATCAGATATGCTGCTTGATTTAAGGGCTTGTTCCTGACGAAGGCCAGTTTCCATTAGCAACAGGGAAAGATAAAGATTTGCTGAGTACAGGACCAATGTGCAGATACATGGACGATATTCTTCCCATGTTGAGAGTAATGGCAGGTTCTAACAAGCAGGCAAATCTAGAGAAAAAGGTATTTTTTCTTACTTAACAGATGGTAAAATCTGTGAAATGGCTAAATAAAGTGGAAATTGAAAATCTATATGGTTTTTAGCTCGTCTCTTCGGAGATTTGGGAGAGCTATTGTATTCAAGTAGCACTTTGGTTAAGTTTTAGTGTGCAAATCGGCATCTCCAGAACCACTGTAGGGAATGGGTTGAAAAAAAATAATTCTAACATGGATAATTCTAACATAGATTTTGTCAGAATAAAGTCCCTTTGAAGGTAGAAAATTTTACATTATCCAAGCTCTTTATTATTGTCAAACACTGAGAATAGTCAAGCACACAGTCACTGTCCTACTGACAGCTCTTGTTTATCAAGTGGGGGTCACTTATTTTTCTTGTAAAATAACTACAGTTCAAGCCCGGTTATTTTAATTGCCAGGGACTAAAAATTTACTTTAAAAAATCCATGGGTTCCAATAATCAAAATCTGAATATTGTGATAGACAAAAACTATTCCACTTTGGCCAATCATAGCAAAACTAACGTTAACAACACACTTTTTTCCAGCAATGAATCAAAAAAAATAAATATTCAAGAAAAGATGTGTAAAAATAAAATGTTATTGGTATTGAAGACATAAATACTTGCATTTTATTCTACATTATGTAGCACATATAGCATTTTCATGAATATTATCACTGTCATCTTCAAGCAAAAACAGTAACGACATCTAACATGGTGCAGAATTTTTTATTTTTGATAATGAAAGTTAATTAATTAAAGAAAACGCAAAAAGTAATTATCACGATTGTCTAAATACACGCATGACTGTTGGAAATTTTTATGCCCCCGCCATGTAATGGCCGGGGCATATAGTGTTACCCTGTTCCGTCCTTCCGTCATTCCGTCCTTCCGTCCTTCCGTCATTCCGTCCTTCCGTCATTCTGTCATTCCGTCATCATCAGTTTCCGTTCATTATCTTAGTAACGGTTGCACATATTCAACTCAAATTTGACATATGAATATGTCATGAGAAAATACAGGTCAAGTTCGAATTTGGTCACGGTTCGATGATTTTTGGCAGAGTTATGCCCCTTTTACTTTGAAAATAATATGAAATTTTCAGTTTCCGTTCATTATCTCCCCAACGGTACAACACATTCAACTCAAATTTGACATATGGATATGTCATGAGAAAATACAGGTCAAGTTCGAATTTGGTCATGGTTCAACGATTTTTGGCAGAGTTATGCCCCTTTTACTTTGAAAATAATATGAAATTTTCAGTTTCCGTTCATTATCTCCCCAACGGTACAACACATTCAACTCAAATTTGACATATGGATATGTCATGAGAAAATACAGGTCAAGTTTGAATTTGGTCATGGTTCAATGATTTTTTTCAGAGTTAAGCCCCTTATTACTTTGAAAATAATATGAAATTTTCAGTTTCTGTTTATTATCTCCCCAACAGTACAACACATTCAACTCAAATTTGACATATGGATATTTTTTTGGAATGCCAAGGTCAAGTTCGAATTTGGTCATGGTTCAATAATTTTTGGCAGAGTAATGCCCTTTTCACTTTGAAAAAAATTTAAAATTTACAGTTTCTGTTCATTATCTACCCAACAGTGTTACATATTCAACTCAAATTTGACATATGGATATGTCAAAGGAATGGGCAGGTCAAGTTGGAATTTGGTCATGGTTAGATGATTTTTTTGGCAGAGTTATGTCCCTTTCACTTTGAAAATAATATAGATACATCTTAGGAATAGGCAGTTTAAGTTTGAATTTGGTCGTGGTTCAATGATTTTGGACAAACTTATCTTTCTTGAATATTGGAAAAAATTTTGAACTTTCAGTTTCAGCACTCATACTTTTGTGGAAATGTATGTAGCCATTATTTTGGCTACAAATATGAAATATGCTATTTTCAAAAGGTTAAGACTGAATAATTTCAGTGCTTTGAACATTGTATGAAAATGGTTTGTGTTAACATTGAAAAGGGCTTTGAACTTAAAATGAAAACAATAATTTGTGCAAACAAATTTGGAACTAAATATAATAACATCTGAAATTTTGGCTGCATGCGGGGGCATCCGTGGCATGATGACACATTTCTAGTTTTTTAAAAAGTCGAATGGTCAGCGAATGGATCAGCGCTAATTAGTCTGGATTTGAATAATATTTGTGAAATTCTTTCATAATTGTATAATCCGGACCAAAATTTTTCTTCGAAATTTAGGAGGTATTTATATAATACTTTTATATTTATATTGATTTAACATTATTTATATTGATACAAAAAAGGACCGCCGATCTACTTTGGATAAAGCCTGATATTCAAATAAAGGGCTGTCGAATAACCAGGGTCTGACTGTATTATATATTTTACTGTATGACACATGTTTAATATAACAATATTCATTTTCATTCAAACATTTCCAACAAGTAAAAACCAAAACCAGGACAAGTAAAATGTCAAAACAAATTTTATTTTCATTAATCTAATGCCTTTATTCATATGATAAAAAGAATCTCACATTTGTTGTCATATAATTTATTAAACTTGCCAGAGGTAACAAATCTTGTACTCATTTATTAAGATGTTTTATCACATACTGGTGCCACTTTTGCGATTTCATAAAAATGCTTTTGCACAGCTGTGCATATATTTTGATGCGACATCATTTGTGTTATACAGAGTGTAAAGAGACGCTAAATGTTAGCGTTACACTAGAGGTGCATCAATTTTACAGTATTTTGGGCATGTACTAATTAAAATTTTAAAAGGTTCGGAGGCTCGCATAATATAATTATATTCAACTTGTTAAAAAAATTCAGTATTGAACTTAACTCATTCAATATCGTATACGTAAAATTCTATACCTAAAAACTTCTTTATGTATTCTATTGTGTTGATGGAAGGGAAGTAATGCTTTATCAACTATTTTTGTTAACAGTTTGGATTTATCTCCCATGTTACATGTATGAACCATGTAATGATTGAATTAAATATTTTCAAAGTTATATGAATTTCACTGGAAACAGAAATGGAAGTTATAAAATTTAAAAGTGTCATTGACATTTCACGTAGCATTTACCAGTATGTTTTTATGAAAATCATAATGCTTCCTAATAAATGAAGGTGAGGTTAATTTGTTTTTATTTAATAGTTGGTCAAATTGACTGGAACAATCGGTTAACTTTGTGCATAATTAATCATTCTTGTGTTGCATGCTATTGAGAAGCGGCAATATATAGGTATCATTTCTCTGATATCTGTCTGTCCGTCCTTCACAAAACTCCTTAGAAACTACTGGTGCAATTTCATTTGAACTTTAAAGGAATGGTCAGTATCAAGCCTTTTTTTTTTTTATTCAATGATTTTTGTCAAGAGTTATGGCCCTTTAATGGTTTTTATTCTTTTTAAAGTTTTGTCAAGGCTACTTCTCTTATACTATCAATGCAAATTTAATGAAACTTTACAGGATTGATCGATACATCAAGAACTCATATTAAACTGGTTTTCCAAATGCGTGATTTTGCTGAGTTATGGTCCTTGAATAAATAACAAACATGTTTTGGCCTGTTAATGATTTTTGTGTCCCCTGCTGTACAGTAGCTACCATCAAGCGACACATGTAGTCACTTATCGTTCTTGTTTTTTAAAGGTAGATGTGTCAAAGTTATGTATATATAACATAGTGGATGATGGTGGAAGTTTATTGGTATCTAAAGTGGATCCACAACTTAAACAAGTTCAAGCAAAGGTTTTGTATAGTTTTTATAAAGTATCCATGACTTTTTTCAGCTCTGGGAGAAAAATTACAGGTCCCTTTTATAGGTGGAAAACTGTGTTGTAATGTTTATTAAATGGAAAAAAAAATAAAAGTAGTATTATTGAAAATAACTAACAGAAAACAGCATATTTTTATTTTTAAATATCAAGAACTACAGTAAGTAAATCTACAATGAAACTTAGTTATAACTTGTCAGGACCGTGTCGTTTTGTAAATCATATCTGAGGTTTCTTTAAATTGTAATTAAAAGTGATGATGATGCAAAGCCCTTTTGTGAAATGCAAAAATTTAAGAATGCAGAAATGAGCAAAATAGACAGATTTTGCCTTGTCCTGTTGTGTTATATTTTCCTACTTTTGATTAAAGTTGTAAAGGAAAACAGATCAGCAATAGATCTTTTTTACTTTCTTGAACTGGCTAGGTCCAGTCAGTCTTGGGCTTCAGAATTTTGTCCCTTTCAAGGTCATGTTACTGACCATATAATCAGCCTTTCATAAATTTTCATTTTCAAATTTTGTTTTATCAGGTTGTTCATTTCTTGGAGACTTCTGTGGGTTCAACAGTAAAAACCATTACCATACCGAAGTTCAAGTATGCTGTAGATATGTGGGCAGCTAAAATGACAACATCAGGTGGAACCACCTTCTGTGAGTACATGGGATACGAGGGACCACCTATTAACCCTTACCTAGAGTTCCTAAAGTGGTGCATTGGACAATCGAAACATACTCTGCCTGCGATAGCTCTAGGTTGTGTAGAAAAACTGGATCATCTGCTTGAGGGCGTGAATCGAAAGGCGCTGGCTAGTTTCGAGCATATGGAGGCAGAAGTTAATGACTTGTTAGATGAAAATAGTGTAATAATCTATCCTTCCCATCCAAAGTTAGCACCTTACCATAACCAGCCGTTAATGTACCCCTTCAATTGGGCGTACACAGGTTTGTTCAATACACTAGGATTGCCAGTGACTCAGATACCACTGGGTTTAAGCACTGAAGGGTTGCCTCTTGGCGTTCAGATAGTGGCGGGTATGAACCAAGATGCGGTGAGTTTAGCCGTGGCACAAGAGCTGGTAGATGCTCAGATTGCTGGCTGGGTAAATCCTGGCACGAGTACAGCCTAGTCTCCGTAAAGTAATATTTAGACACAGAATGAAAAGGCAATGACAGATGTATTTTTAACTGCAGATTTCACCTAAAGTGATTTAACCCTTTAAACAACGCTCCCTTTTAACTAGTCATCTTTGGTCCATAAGTTGATATCGATTTTATATGTCTTACTCAGGAAATAAGCATTATTTTGGGAACATCTATTTAAATTTTTTGTAAGGCATTAGGTAAGTTATTTATAATCTACCTCACAAGTTGAGTTTTAAGATTTAACAATACACCAACATACTTATTTGCTGAACGTGAGACTTCACATTTACCACCTGTCGACAGCAAGACCATCATGCACTTTAATTTGTATGGCCATCACTCCAAACTTGAGTACATGTATCAAAATTACAAATTTACTGTTTATATGACTTAAAATAATTAAATTTTGTTTTAGTTCAGAAGTTATTTCATTTCTGTATTAAAGGTAGCTGAAAGTTATATAATAACCCTTCGAGCATCCCTTATATGGTGGTAGGCTTAAAATATCCTAACACAGAATCTGCAAAAGAAGGGATTTTTATTTTTTAATCGGGATGTTGGTTTTTTTTTTTTGTGTTTTTTTATACCCCCGGTCAACAAAGTTGTAAGGGGGGTATACTGGAATCAGCTTGTCCGTCCGGCCGTCCGTCGGTTTTTTCTTGTCCGTCCAATAACTTAAGATTCCTTTGACCTTTAGTCTTATTATTTGGCATGGAGGTTAGTCATGATTAGTAGATGACCCCTATTGATTTTGAGGTCACTAGGTCAAAAGTCAAGGTCACAGGGGCCTTGACTTTAAAAAGCTTGTCCCCCCAATAACTTAAGATTCCTTTGATCTACAGTCGTCATATTTGGCATGGAGGTTAGTCATGATTATTAGATGACCCCTATTGATTTTGAGGACACCAGGTCAAAGGTCAAGGTCACAGGGGCCTTGACTTCAAAAAGCTTGTCCGCCCAATAACTTAAGATTCCTTTGACCCACAGTCTTCATATTTGGCATGGAGGCTAGTCATGATAAGAAGATGACCCCTATTGATTTTGAGGTCACCAGGTCAAAGGTCAAGGTCACAGGGGCCTTGACTTCAAAAAGCTTGTCCGCCCAATAACTTAAGATTCCTTTGACCCATAGTCTTCATATTTGGCATGGAGGTTAGTCATGATTAGTAGATGACCCCTATTGACTTTGAGGTCACCAGGTCAAAGGTCAAGATCACAGGGGCCTTGACTTCAAAAAGCTTGTCCGCCCTATAACTTAAGATTCCTTTGACCCACAGTCTTCATATTTGGCATGGAGGCTAGTCATGATAAGTAGATGACCCCTATTGACTTTGAGGTCACCAGGTCAAAGGTCAAGGTCACAGGGGCCTTGACTTCAAAAAGCTTGTCCGCCCAATAACTTAAGATTCCTTTGACCCACAGTCTTCATATTTGGAATGGAGGTTAGTCATGATTAGTAGATGACCCCTATTGATTTTGAGGTCACCAGGTCAAAGGTCAAGGTCACAGGGACTTTGACTTCAAAAAGTTTGTCTGCCCAATAACTTTAGATTCCTTTGACCCACAGTCTTCATATTTGGCATGGATGTTGATCATGATTAGTAGATGACCCCTTTTGATTTTGAGGTCACTGGATCAAAGGTCAAGGTCATAGGGACTTTGACTTCAAAAAGTTTGTCCACCCATTAACTTAAGATTCCTTTGACCCACAGTCTTCATATTTGGCATGGATGTTGATCATGACTATAAGGTGACCCCTATTGATTTTGAGGTCACTGGGTCAAAGGTCAAGGTCACAGGGACCTTGACAAAAAAAAAAAGCTTTTCTTCTCAGTTGCTAAAGAATGTCCTGTCCGCAATGTATTGATTTTGACATTTTCACATTTGAAGCATGTAGAATACATAACTTAGCAATGCACTGGCTTAGTAACCTCAGATTTGGCAGCTTGAGCTCTAAATGGCCACTGTTGATTCTGACAAAGTGGTATGCGGGGATATTCACGCCATGATAGTGGCAGTTCTAGTTTTTTTTTTTTGTAAACTAAGATAAACACTGATTTGTGAGCTTGTTGTTTGTACATGTAGTTGTGAACATAATTATTTAACATGATTTTGTCATACAGTGTGTTCTGTAATACTGTATTGAGTTGAGTATTGAATATTTTAATTTGTCACAGTGATAATGTAATTATGACACAGTGTTTTGTTACAGTAATACTGTAACATATAAGTAAAGTCCAATATATATACATTATGGCAAATATCTTCTATATTTGATGTTAAAGGAACTCTACTTAGGTTTGTTTTGACATGACAGGACTGGAGATATTTCTTGAGCTTTGTATACCATTTGATGTCGGTCTATACCAATAACTTGTGTGCAAATTTTTAGATCAGTACTTCATCCTGTTTTTTCAGAAAAATCATTTTTATTGAGCAAAATGACCCAAAAATGGGTCGCTTTTCACTCAAATCGGGTTGGGCATTGTACTAACTATCGATTTTTAATTCAATTTTGAGTATATATATTTACTTCGTTTTCCTTTGCAGGTGTAAGTGTTTCACTTTATCAATGTAAAAATTTCAAATTTAATGTTTTTAGGCTTTTTGACCTCAGTGGTCTTCCTTTAAAAGATAAAATTGAAATAAAATTAAAATCTAACTTTGTGTAGCCTGGTAAAATATTATGTTTTTTATTGTTAATGAAATTTTGATACATACTGAGTATGATTATTTTGCTTTGAAAGTATCAGAATTTTTATTGACTACCTAAGTAAATATAGTCATTTGTTATAATATTTGTGTATGTTCTGCTAAATATTTTGTAATGTATTATTATTTGAAAAGTGAGGAGATATATAATTAAAAAGTCATGACAAGGATATTTTGATCTCTTACTTGTATAATAATATTGACTCTCATGGAGTTCATTCAAACGAATCGCACCCAGTGAATTACCGCTCCCTCTTGTGCAATCCTGTACCAGTAAATACCACTGAGTGAAATACAATTTATGTGAAAGATATGTACCACTTTAGTGAAATAGAATTTGAGTGAAATACCACTTTAATGAAATGAAATTTGAGTGAAATACCACTTGAGTGAATACAATTTGAGTGAAATAACACTTTAGTGAAATGAATTATGAAATTTAAATGAAATAACACTTTATTGAAATGAAATTTGAGTGATATACCATTTGAGTGAAATAAATTAAGTGAAATACCACTTGAGTGAATACAATTTGAGTGAAATACAATTTGAGTGAAATACATGTACCACTTTAGTGAAATACAATTTGAGTGAAATACCACTTTAGTAAAATACAATTTGAGTGAAATACCACTTTAGTAAAATAAAATTTGAGTGAAATACTACTTGAGTGATTCAATTTTCAGATCAAGATCAAGATATGAACCTTATTTCATTGATGTAGTTGTTAATTATCTATATATAGGCCAAAATATTCGATTGATGTCAATACATTAAAAATTTTAACTGAATATCGATTTATTGGCCCAGATTTTATTATTTTAGGCCTTTATTTATATTTTTTAGTATAATATACTAAATGAATTAGTTATTATTAGTTTAAACGATTATCTATTTAATGATCTTACTTTTTTTTATTTCCTATTTATTGACAATACCTTTTATTCATTTTCAATTTATTGAATTAAGTATTTTAATGTAATTTGTTTTTTGTTTTTTTGCAGATTAATTTATTATTCATTTGTTGTCCTATCAATCTAGGCATTAATGTTGAATTTATTGACTGTTATCTATATACTGACCTTAATTTATAATCTATTTATTAGAGATTTTTTTTATTTATTTATTTATTGACAGGTTCTTTAAAGTGCAATATGTAACTCTTCATTACAAAGAGCCTTTAGAGTGAAAGATGACTTGCAGTTTTGTTTGGAGAAGCAAGGGGACCTAACTTTTGATCTCTGTTTTTGTCAGTCAGATCTGGTTACCTCCCTTGTCTGCTTTTTACTTTGATAACATCTCATAGTATAGAATAAGCTGCTTAGGGTATACTGAATGTGAGCTAATTTTCATTCAAACATAGTGTTAATAATTAAAAAAAATATGCTGATTTAAGAAAATGTAATTGTCTGATAATTGATGGGATAGACAAAATTGTTCAAAATACATTCTTTATTATAACAATTTGTTGTAAAAAGTTAAAGGGACTCCACAGTGTTTTTTTTGGACATAACATGACTGGAAAGATATTTTCAAAGATTTGTGTACCATTTGATATTGGTCTTAACCGATAACTGGTGTGTAAATTTTCAGATCAGTGTAATTTGTTATTACATCTCCACCATAAAGATAGCATTGTATTTATTATATGTTATTACTGTAGTATTTTAATTATGTGGTCATTGGTTAGATGTACATGTAACTGAAAGTAGAAAATGCTGATTTAATTGAAAAAGTTACAAACCATTGCTAGTGTGTTGTGTATATCATTGGCAAACCATGTTAATTGAATTTGATGGTATCTGTAAGAATTGCTTTTATTTTTGTTGTATTTTTTGAGTAAATTTTGTTGGATATAAATGTTATTTAAATGTAGTAATTTAATTGTTGTTTGCTTTATAGTTTTTAGCTTGACTAAATGAAGAATGGAGTGGGTTGTTGTACTCATTCAGGTGTCGGCGTCACGCTTTGGTTAAGTTTTACTTACAAGTTGGTATCTCCATATCTACTGAAGGAAATAAGTTGAAACTTCAAACACTTGAGCACATAAAATAAGGTCTTTATACATGGCCCATGATTCTAAAATAGATTAAGACAGAATTATGGCCCTTGAATTAAACATATTTTATTGCTCTTTTTGTACAACATTTTATATAACAGTATATTATCAAAATATTTACAGTAAAGTAGCAAAAGGGTTGAAATGCAAGTTCTTCTTACAACAACAGCAAACATTTTGTCCCTGGCCCTTTGAGAAAAGTTGAGCATGCTGTCCTACCTGCAGCTCTTACATGTATTACATGATTTTAGCACGGTTACCTTATAAAGAAGGATGAACAGTCATTAAACTTACAATTGTACTTATTACGTACAAAGCTCATGATCTCAGCAAGTCATGTGACTTTTGGAATAGCTATGAGTAGACTGTGATAATTAAACAGTTTCTGTAATCTTTAAGTATCTTGCTTTGAAGGACATTTGTGTTTTCCAGACACATTTTTGTTCATCAAAAGACCTTGCACATACATTATATTGTACATGCATTTGAATTTTTAAGCCATGAGTGAAACCCATACATTATACTATGTAAAGTTAATGTACAATGTGTCTCAATTTAAGTTATTTGATTATGTTTATATGTTGTTTCCTTTGTGGAGAATTCTACAAACTGAAATTGTACAATGCTCCTCAATTTAATTTATTTGATAATGTTTAGATGTTAATTGTTGTTGTTTATTTTGTTGAGCATTCTTGTATAATTCTACAAAATGAAAGTTGTGATAATGATTTTGTTGTTACTGTGATATATTTACTGTAGAAAATCAAAGTTACATCTCTGTAGTTACATGTGCCCATTTACTGCTTTTTGCTGGTTTTTCCTGGTGGTCATGTGTGACTGGATAACTGTACTCGTATGCTGTGTAGAGATAACTGTACTCGTATGCTGTGTAGAGATAACTGTACTCGTATGCTGTGTAGAGATAACTGTACTCGTATGCTGTGTAGAGATAACTGTACTCATATGCTGTGTAGAGATAACTGTACTCATATGCTGTGTAGAGATAACTGTACTCGTATGCTGTGTAGAGATAACTGTACTCGTATGCTGTGTAGAGATAACTGTACTCATATGCTGTGTAGAGATAACTGTACTCATATGCTGTGTAGAGATAACTGTACTCATATGCTGTGTAGAGATAACTGTACTCATATGCTGTGTACAGATAACTGTACTCATATGCTGTGTACAGATAACTGTACTCTTATGCTGTGTAGAGATAACTGATGTAATATGTGCCGACTAATACAATGTTTAGCTCACCAGAGCCGAAGGCTCAGGGTGAGCTATTAGTATCAAAGGGGGATACTCCGGCGTCCGTCGTCATGTGTCAACAATCGTCTTCTTCTCTGAAACTACTAAGCAGATTTACTTCTAATTTGGTCTGTAACATCCTTGTGACAGTCACACTGGAATTTGCTCATGTCATTCCAATTGGCCCCTTTTAGGGGTCAGCAGAGCTAAAAATAGAAAAACCTTTAAACATCTTCTTCTACAGAACTAATTGATGGATGATCACCAAACTTTGTCTGTAGCATTCTTGGGTAGTCTTTTATCAATTTTGCTCATATTAATTTGATTGGCCCCTTTTAGGGTGTCTCTAGGGCTAAAAATATAAAAACCTTTAAACATCTTCTTCTACAGAACTAATGGATGGATGGTCACCAAACTTTGTCTGTAGCATTCTTGGGTAGTCTCTCATCAAGTTTGCTTATATGAATTTGATTGGTCCCTTTTAGGGGCCGCTAAAGCTAAAAATAGAAATATACCGTTAAATGTCTATTTCTAGAGAATTTATTGATGGATGATCACAAAACTTTGTCTGTAGCATTCATTGGTAGTCTCTTATCAAGTTTGCTCATATTATTCTGATTGGCCCCTTTTAGGGTTCTCTAGGGCTAAAAAATAGAAAAACCTTTAAATGTCTTCTCCTACAGAACTAATTGATGGATAATCACCAAACTTTGTCTGTAGCATTCTCGGGTAGTGTTTTATCAAGTTTGCTCATATTAATTTGATTAGCCCCGTTTAAGCTAAAGCATAAATGCTCCAGGTCATGGCATTTCTTCAAATTATTGTTTAAACATATTCTATGCTCAAGTTTAATATTAGAATATATTGACATTCCAACACTGAAAAGCAGTTGTTTCTGGTGAGCAACTCAGGTGCATCATGGCCCTCTTGTTAGAAAATAGATTGATCACCTAGTGTTATATGCTTTTGGCTATATTTAGACAAACTTGTAACAAAAGCCTAGGACTCATTTATCTCGTACTTTTGAATACTTTTATGTAAGAAATCAGAATTACATAACCAAAAGTTCCTAACCAAAAATTTCAAGTTCTATTTTAGTGGGTATGACATAGAATATGTCCAGGCAACATCAGCTTTATCAGGCAATTTCAAACATTATTTTTTTTATCTTAGATACAAAAGTACTTGAAATTACTCTTTTTATGAAATATTTACAAGTTGTTCTACTGACTACTATCAATAATTTAATATAACATTTTATTACATGAGGCAACTTGTTTTCCATGTAATATAACAATAACATATTTCTTATGTGTAGTATAACATTGATGTACAATAGCACACATACATTGTCAAAACAAAATTTCCATTACTGTCAATGTGTTCAGTCATGTAATAAAGAGAATGTCACATTCGTTTTCATATTATGTATGATTCCAAGTAAAAAATTTTTAGAACATACCAGAGGCTTGCTTTTGAACAATTTCTCATAGTTGTTTCATGAAGTTTAATATTAAATGGCAATTGGTGTAAGATCTTATATATTATATATTATAAATACTATTTCTCCCTGCAAATGAGATTATTTCAATTTTATTTTTACCAGGACTTAAATGATCTCTGGGACTCCTCTGGAACAATCACCTGATTTCCTTGATAGTCTCGAATGTCCGGGATGTTATGACATGTATGCCTTTATTTAAGCATATGTACACGTAAATAGGTGCCATTTTTTATTCGAGACAGTAGTATGATGAACTGTTTAATTTTTGAATGAGGAGTGGAGCTATATTTAATGTATCATCCAGGCAGACAGAATGGCATTACAAACATAATAAAATACTTGTATCATTTGCTAACAGTCAAGAGTTCTTAGTTCAGCTGATGTACGTTTTGATGTAGTGATGTAATTAAAAGTAAATTTGTTGCTTATTTTATTATATAAGAATAGTTGTATATTGCAGAATGATACAAAAATTGTAAGCTCTCATTTTCATGACTGTTCTTTCAAATTTTGATTAATGTTATTTAAGCAATGAAATGTTTCGTTATTTTTATTTGCTGAAATAAATTTTGTAATTAAGCAAGCTTTGTTGAATTATATCTTTACATTTGCAATGCTCATGTTATTAGATTTGCTGGTACACTTGAGGGATAATTGTTAAGTCAAATGTGCCTGCCATTTGAAAAAAAACCTTTAAAACATGAACTATTTTATAATGTTCATTCATTATATGTTTTATGATAAACAAGACAATTTTACATACATGATTGTGTAGTAATTTCAAGTACATAAAATAATTTGAAAAATCTACTCTCAAGTAAACGGAAATTCAAGTATATATTGGTAAGTTCCCAGCAATTTGCAAAGAAGGCACTGTCCAGTTAGCTCCATAGGTAGAGCATTGGATTGTGACTCTGGCAATCAAGGTTTGATTCCCAGATGACCTGATGATCCAGGTCACTTTCGTTGTGACTGACATGAAATCCTTTCTACGGTCATTCACACTGTACCTCTGCTTTGGCATGTATCAGTTCCTTGCAAAAGTGAAATCAACAACTATTATAGTACTGGTAAACTGCTTGACAGCCTGCCTGGTTAATTCAGTGTGGCTTACTGCTGTGATCCTGAGTGAAAATAACCAAAACCACCACCATCAGTTTGCAAACAATAAGCTGTGCCCAGGTTCCAGGCTTTTTCATTACCTTTATTGGTAGATGTAACAACATTATCTATTGGGAGGTAATTAAATAGATAAAACTGTTGTAAAGTTATTACTATGAGTAAAGGAGAATTTGTACATGCATGACAGTGGCAGATTTAGTAGGATATAAGCAGAATGCATATAAAAATTGTCAGCATTGTTAATGCATATATTGTCCTCTCATCTGTAAGGAATGAAGGGGTATATTATGAACATGGGATTTTGTCCCATGTATTTACTATTTAACATCATCATTATAAATGATAAATAAAAAACTTTTGAACAGTCTCCCTTGATTACGACACATGTAACAAGAAGTCCTCCATGAATGTAATGCTGATGTTTTATTACAAAAAAAAAAGCGATCAAAGCTGTTTTATTGTTTATAGTAATTTTAAGATACATAATGCTTTGCTGTTTTTGTTGATTGCAAAAGATTTTTGATAAACTACATGGATGATGGCTTTCCTTGTCAAATTAAGGAAAAACTAGAACTCCGCGAGTCGGATGTGTCGCCTTGTGAATCATATAGTTAAGGAGAAATGGCCAATACAAAAATGAAATATGAAAATTAACAAAGGGCAATAACTCAAAAAATAAGAAATGCAGAGCAGCAGTTTCTGTACACTGCACTTCTTATCAATAAGATATGTCATCATATGAAGTTTCATGTCCATAGCTTTTATAACTTATGAGAAATGGCCTGGACAAAAATAATGTATGAAAATTAACAAAGGGCAATAACTCAAAAACCAGTTCTTGAGCACTGCACTTCTTCTTAATGAGATATATCATCCTATGAAGTTTCATGTCCATAGCTTTTATAGTTTAGGAGAAATGGCCTGGACAAAAATAAAGTATGAAAATTAACAAATGGCAATAACTCAAAAAATAAGAAATGCAGAGTACCAGTTCTTGTGCACTGCACTCCTTAATGAGATCTATCATTCTATGAAGTTCATTGCTTTTATACTTTAGGAGAAATGGCCCGGACAAAAATAAAGTATGAAAATTTACAAAGGGCAATAACTCAAAAAATAAGAAGTGCAAAGCATCTGATATCTGCATGGGTTCAAACCCTATCTGAGGCAAGTCATCGTTTCCTTGAGCAAGAAACTTTATATCGTTGCTCAGTACCAGTTGGTTTTGTGTGTCTATACACTTATAGCTTTCTACACCATCAAACTGAACTAAATTCTGTATAAAAACAACAATAAACAACAAACTCTACATAATTTTAACAAGTTTTAATGTCAATGCTTAACAAAGGCACCAAAAGACATTTTTCACTGGGCTCACTTAACAATATAGAAGATTTATTTTCATTATGATCACAATGTCTAACAAGAACTTAAAAAAACAAGAACAACAACAAAATACTCTGAAACAGAAACAAAAATAATTGTCCAATGAAATACAAGTACTAGCCATGTTGTCTGTGAACAAATTAAGATAACATTGGTATCAAATATACATTGATAGTTACTATATTAAAGGACTTCATAAAGATAGGATTGGTCCATGCTGATTCAATGTAAGTATCTGAATAATTATAATACATATCATATTTGACATAAATAATTAATATTAATAAATATTTCAAATGTTAAAAAGAGAAAGAAAGCCAATAACACAGGCTTAATTGAAGAGAGCCACTGTTGAACATAGAAGAAAGACAACTCTTGACATAAAATATATGTCAAATATTTCTGATTACCTCCCTTTGTTCTGAAAGAAATCAAGCACTATGTACCTACTTGATACTATCCAAATAAATAAATATATTCCAAAACTATTTAGTTAAATATATACAAAAAGTTTTAAAATTAAGCAATTGTGCTTAAATTTATTCTTAGTGTTAGTAATAATCAAAATATCAATGTTGTTGCAAAATCTCTAAGTCATTACATTAACTAATGTTTATATATCTCATGTTTAGAAGTGTTTTCTCAAATTCTATATTTCACCTTATGTATCAAAGTATGGTTTTAATATTTGCAAAAACACCCAAAACAAATCTGTAAAATATCTCAAAAAAACAAATATAAGGCGTTGAAAAACCTTACTATACATGTATAAATTTTCAATTGGTCAGTGAAAATGAAATATGGGCAGAAGAAAGCATGAACTTTTTTGTACAAACATAAAAAAACCTGCTGTATGTAATTACATTCAGACAGAATAAAAAAAGATGGCATCTTTGGTAAGCTACATGAAGCAGTAGTGGATTTCAAATTAATTTAAAAGAACAGATGAAGTAGGTGATGTACAACATTAATGAATCATTACAGATAGAAACAAATTTTGTGTGAAAAATTAAATCCTGTTTATATAGGACATAAAAATGATGCAAGAAATCTCAAACTTGGAAATTCTGGAGAAAATTAAGACATGCAGTTAGGAAAGAAGTTGTTGTTGTTGTTTTGTAATCAATAAAAAATACATTGCAGTAAAAAATGTTATTAAATACAAGTGGTTGTGGCAATGTAAGTTCTACCCTAGTTTGTCAGTATATTTGGCACAATTAATAGGTGTAACTGACATAGTTAAATGTAGTTTATAATGTATACAACAAATTGCCAAATTGTTGCAATTGACAAAACAAAATTGTTGCTATCTTCAAACTAGATTGCCAAATTATTATTTCAATAAGATACTGATTCAAAATGCTCAGATAATGCAATCTTCAAACCAAATTGCAAAATTGTTGCAAATCTACAAACCCAATTGCAAAATTGTTGCAATCTACAATAGTTACAATCCAATATCGATAAAAAAAGTCTCAGTTCATGCAAACTACTACACAAAATTTGTTATTAAATAAGCAAAGTTTTATAATAAAATTCAAAAACATTTCTTCTAAGTTAATTTGTTTTTTGTATGTACAATTTATGTGAATCGGCCTACCGTAAGAAATACATTAATACATGTCAAAATATGAAGGAAAAGCACTACCAGTAACTCTGCAAGTAATAAAGTAGATATATGATGTGAAATACAGCAAGTCAAATTTGGTATAAAACATTTAAAACATCACCGAGGTTATGAATTCCAATCTCGAACATTTGATTTGATTTTCTTAGATTTTGAAACTTTATTTTTCTCATCTGGAGGCATGCCACTTTAAAACTTTTATCTAGGACACATAAAACTGATCATAAAAATATGAACTTGATTCACTTATTAGCCAAACTATCTGTGTTACACATGAATCATTTGAGCCGCGTCATGACAAAACCAACATAATGGCTTTGCGACCAACATGGATCCAGACCAGCCTGCGCATCCGTGCAGTCTGATCAGGATCCATGCTGTTCGTTTACAAACCCTACTACAAGTAGAGAACCTGATAGCGAACAGCATGGATCCTGATCAGACTGCGCGGATGCGCAGGCTGGTCTGGATCCATGCTGGTTGCAAACGCACTATGTTGGTTTTGTCGTGACGCGGCTCATTTATGTATAACTGTTTATCATAGTAAAGTTTTTAATTTCTGGCATAATAATACAAAAGTATTTATATATAGAAAAAGGTATTTTCTGTTTAACTATATATTGAATTATTCAAATTCATTCATCATTTACAAGCACTTTTTATTTTGACACATAAAAATTCATAAAAATTTCTGTATAAAATCCTCTGTCTAGTTAATAAATATTTTTAGATAATATGACACATTAGAGATACTCTGGAACTCAGACAATGAGGCTTTTTCCTCGCCTGAATCTGGAGTAATAACAACATTACAATTACAACATTAGAAAATATATTGATACAATGTCATAAGTGCAACATGTTGACCACTCTATTGTGACAGTAGTGCACCATGAAGCTTAGTTTATTATAAAGTGGTAAAAATTTGTCTGCTTGTACCCTTAGATTAGGAGGGGGAAAACCCACATTTGCCTAGTACTGGATAACCTCTAATATCCTTATTCCTTCTATTAAAAGCACTTAAAGACTATAAATAATTTCGGCATTACAGGAATGCAGCCATTAATAATCAGTTGAAGAAAAACAGTGCAAGCCTGGTCATGAATGGTGCAAGAGTTTAGGTGGGAGTACTAAATGGAATTTTATGTAAAGTGTACACCTGACTGTGTACCAAATCTAAAATCCTTAGCACTTTTCCAAAAATGAATTTACAAGAATGATACATAATTTTTTTTGTAAAATAAATAGTAAAAAAATTAACATTTAACAATCTATGCCATAATTCTTAGCACTTTATGATAACATCTTAAAATTCTATTTACTCACAAAGAAAAAATTATTATAGATAAACAAAGTGAAGAATTGCTTACAATAATTGTATTGTATACAGTCATCATTAAAGAAAGAAAAAAACAACAACAAGAGAGCCGAGACGGCCCTGGATTGCTCACCTGGGGGAAACCAGGCTGTTACTATATTTAGCTCTTCTATCCTTATTGTGCAACAGACCAAATTGATTTGCTTTAATGTGTTATTTTAATTGATGTAATGTTTTATTTTGATAAATATAATGTTTCATGTAAATTAACTATACCCAAAGAATATTTCTATAATGTCTGGTCAAAATCTGCAATGGCCAACATCTTTTTAAGCAGGCCAGAACTATTGTAACTAATTTAGCACAGTACAACCCAAAGATCACTGCTCTAGAATATATGACCAAAATCTGTAAAACAGTAAAGGAGATGTCATTCCAAGGTGGGTTTTTTTAATATATATTTTAGCTCTGGCGACTTTTTTGCTCAAATGACTGAAAACAATTTTAGTGATTTTTCTAAACGTTCATCTAATGATCTTTTTTGTAACGCTTCATCACTAGAAACTTTGTGTATTATATGAGATGCTGACAAAGTTGACAAGCAGATGATAGGTGACAGACATAGGCTTATCACCGATATATATTACCTCAGGTGAGCTTTAAAAAAAAAAATAAAAAAATAACTAAAAAAAATTAAACATAATGATACATAAAAACAGACAACAGTGTTACAAAATGTACATGATAATGATATTCATATATAAATCTAAATGTCAAATAAATTCACTGTACAAAAACAACAAAACCAAAACAATGGTCAGTTCAATTCAAACGATTTTTTGAGTATGACATTTTTTTTTACATAATACTGATGTACAGTTAAACAACAGATATTTACAAAATTCTCTTTACAAAAATATTGATAGCAGAAAATAAAAACTATATACAGTGTGATAGATCTCTACCTTAATACCAAAACTATGTACATTGTAAAAACAAACAAAAAATGCCGACACGGCAAATATTGTATTCATCCCCAACATCAAACTACATCAATTGTTTCGCTATAGATTATTAAATAGCATATACACAATGATATATACATGTACATATAAACCAGTTCATCTGATCATCTGTTCTGTAAGCACTTAATGATTTTTCTATGTTTAAACTTGATTTTCTTTTCCATTGTAAAAGTTGTTAGCACTTAAACATTTGCTATTCCAAAAATATTTTATTTTCTTTTCCAATGAAAAAATTCTGGTTTTAAAGTTCCACTCAGGCTGACTTAACTGTCTTATCTAATTAACGTATTTCATTAAAAAACATAAGACATACCATACCATCAATTCCTATTTATCTATAGAAGTTTTGCTGTAAAAACTGGGACATAATATAACCATAACTAGGACATAATATAACCAGACAAACAATTATCTACTAGAAAAGCAGTCTTAAGTTGGCGTCCAATTGACAACCGATCTAGCGATGAAAGTTGCGTTAAATTCATATATTAATGTTATGCGTATTTTGAAAAATTACATTGGTGAATTTTCATTGAATCATGTAAAGACCATTTTAATACTAAACATCTGTTAAAATCTTACTACTGTTGGCTTGTTTTTCACTTATTTATATTGGGACAAAAAAATACTTTTTTTTACAAAGTTTGAGAAGATAAATGATGGCGAGTGTCTTGATCCGACGAAGAGATAATATGGTGCTAATCTTCAGCTGCCTGTCCTCTTATACTATGTCCCAGCTTAAATGAATGCAAACCTTCATAGATTCTAGGAGTAAATTTATGATAATCTTTCATTACAATGTATGTTAAAATTATCACTCTTTATATTCTTAATTGCTTACAATTAGACGCCTATCCTTCTTCACCCCATCCCTCACTTAACCCCTGCAAATCAATAGAGGCATTATTATAAATCTAAAAATAACTACTCCATTTCTCTAAAAAATACCAAAAAATGACAAAAATGATCTGTATGATAAGTATTGTTGCAAACGATGCAAAAAATATTGAAACAAATACATGTAATATGTAATCTAAGTAAATAAATATGAAAAACAACTGACATTACATATTTTTTTTCCCCTTATGAATTTTGCTTCAAATGGCTTTTCCATGCTAATTTTTCTCCAAGTCACTTTAAGTATGAGTGTCTTTTTTCCATCTAGATATTTTTCAATGTGCCTATACCATGTGACACTTTGTGATCTGCATGGGGCAGAAAATCAATACAAAAGTCGGTCCCGGTATATAGGCACTGTGTTTTACAAACATGAAAAAACTAAAAAACTATATAGGTTTATTCCTGAATTGAGATTAATCTAGTCACAATACCTTACTGCCTGTTTGCTAAATGTGATGGATATTATTAACTGCAGATAGATTTCACTGATAACCTGGTCAGAGACAAAAAATAAATTAGATGAATGGACGGACATGCAAATGGTACAATAACCACAGAAAAAGTGTCCCTTTAAGGTGCATCCATGTACAATTTCAATACTAATTCTTTCCTAAAATAACATCATTTAAAACTAGACCGCGATGAATAGTCAACTGTAGTTTACACATGAAAATATAATAAAGTAACAAAATATACACGATCAAATGATTTACGAAAGGCTTTGTACATACATTATAACAAACGCAGCTTATGTGTACAAAACATGACCATTTAAGCACTTATTATCTTTACATGAATATATTGACACATAATGTAAATTCCATTTTTACATGAATATATCAATACATTATGTAAATTCTATCTTTACATGAATATATTAATACATATGTAATTTCTACCTTTACATGAATATTATTAACACATATGTAAATTCTATCTCTACATGAATATATTCATTCATACATATTCATTCAAACATATAATGAGGTATATGGTAATTCTAGAATTTAAAACACCAAAAAAAATCATAAAAAAATCTAACAATTATTATAATTATAGTACAATGAAACATGTTTCCGCCAGAAAAAACTTTATAACAATATTACAAAATGCTCCCCAAGTATGATAAGATAAAATAAAAGAAAAATTTAACATGTATAGTTTGAATTATCATTTTCATTGTACAAATATATAGGGAATATCGTAAACACAAGTTTGTAACATCAAACTTTTTTTAAATCAGTTACAGAGAAGATTTTATAAATTTGTCTCTTCCCTGTAACAACATATTACTATAATTTTATGTCATAAAAATACAAGGGCATAATTTAAAACTAGATTGTGTGTACATGTATGCAGGTACATGTAATAGATGAGCCGCGTCATGACAAAACCAACGTAATGGGTTTGCGACCAGCATGGATCCAGACCAGCCTGCGCATCCGCGCAGTCTGATCAGGATCCATGCTGTTTGCTATCAGATCATTCAAGCGCCTTGTCCGCTATATAAAGGGAGATAATTCTAGAGCAATGAGAATTAAAAAGAAGAAATCAAAATTGCAGTCTTAGTTTGATTTTGTTTGTTTACTAGAGATAATAATAATGTAAAGTGTTTACTAGAGATACACCCCTTACACCCACTAGGCTTTAACACCCACCTTTCACTGACTTAACACCGTAGCACTGGAATTAATGCCCTCAACAACCCTAGCAAGGAGGGCGCAGAATTTGGAGGAGAGGCTCTACAGTTTTATACACTTCTCCGATAGCTTACATCATGTCTTTGTTTTGACGTAACATTAAAACACAGACAATATTTTATCAAGCCTACGAAAAAGAAGATAAATAGCAATGGCCACCTCGTAAATAAATTGTTTTCGTAGGGAATTGACAATCAAGTTACATTCCTTCATTTTCACAATCTTTCATTAGCAACTTTCAGACTTAACTCCATCCTTTTTATATTATAAAGAAGATCATTCACCTGCACTGAAATATGGTTTATTCAACTTTACAAGGACCTCATCTTGATATTATGATTAATATGTACTAGTGCATCTATTCTATATACCAGTAACAGAATTAGCTTCATTTATAACAAATATTTCCAAGTAATTTATACATTGTATATCAAACTTTACCTATTATTTTAAGAGTTATATCACAATATTTATTCCAGTATTCACACACTAACCAACTTGATCAGCCACCAACCAATCTTAATAATCTACAGTATTTTACCAAGTTAGACCAACAAGATTTAAGCACTATGTAACAATGGTGGCTGTTTTATTGTTCACCTGAATGAAATCTGCCATTACTTCCGCTTTATCTTTGGGTGACCATTACTCTATGTATGAAATTAAGCACAAAAATCTATTTTTAGACTTTGACCTTTTTTTGTATTGACAGCAATAGAGGTCTAAGCAAATACCAAATATGTAAGATTTTAGCAAAAAAAGTATGGAGGCTCTAAGAGGGAAATGTAGAATATCTATTTATAGGTATGGTGACCTTGACCTTGTAAAATGAATCAGCTTCCTGCAGGATACTTATATACCAAAAAGCTATAAATATATGTATCAGATTATAGGTAATGGCTCCTTAAAAGTTAAGAAAACTAGTATTTAGCATGATGCCAATTTTGAAGTGAAAAAATATGAACTGGACAAAACTTGATGGAACCCCAGTGCACAATGCAAAACATTGCTACATCAATCATGCCTTTGCTGCTTTTAAAGAGTGTATTTTTCAAGATTTGACTTTTTTCATATCATATCAAAGAAAACCAAGATAAGAACATGTTAAAAACATATAGAGTACTGAACCCCCAATCCCACAATTATCAAATTAGCATTTACGCCAATCCTAATGTAAAATGTTTCCAGTACTCTGAAAACAAAAACCAATCCTGAATGCTTTACAAAAATACAGTCAAAATCAAAAAAGAAAAAAATCTTAATGAATGTAATACCAATTATTGAGACACTTGGTATATTTATTAGGTAAAATGTAACATTAACATATTATAAGTCCATCCATTGAAGAATTGATTAAGTGACACTAAGGTCTCTAACTTAAAAGAGTACATTGTTGTAAATTCTGTTTCAGTCTACTGAATTTCATCACTCCAGCTAGATCAGATTATTATTTTGGGGAGAGAAATTTACAAAAAAATGCATTCACAAGACTGTTTTTTTTTTCCAGGGTTTGCACTGGCCAATTTTATTTTTCCAACACAGTGGAGGGTAGATCCCTCCCGGCTGTCGGTTATTTTTTCATAGGTTTTATAATCATTTGAATCTGTGAAGTGAGAAACATAAGAAGTTCATATCCTAAAGATGTTAAACAGGGGGTCCAGCCTTTCCCTTTACTGATGTAAAAGTTTGTATGCAATAACCTTTCACAATAAATTAACTTATGTTAAAGGATGAACAGCCAATCTTTTTTTTCTTTATTACAACATTCCCTTAAAAACCTTGATAATCAATAAAAGTGATTGAAAATAGAGGAAGGAAAATGCCAGGGTAAACTGTAAATGAATTGCTGTAAAAAATGTCAATGACATGACAAGAAGATTGTGCGCTTTTGTTTGTGTAGATAAATGTTTACAGGAATGATTTTCAAAAACTGAGTTTGAGAATATTAGCACTATAGTGTCTTTTTATATAGGAGAAGCAATGGGAAAGTCAATCTTACCTAAAAAAGTCACGTCTGCAATGTCTTTAAAGCGACCTTCACCTTTTATTTTTTGTTGGTAAGACAATTCGGTGCTGTTTCAAACTAAGTATTTCAGTAATATTACCAGGGAAAAGTGTTATATAACACTGTTAAGCCATCTTAAAAACAGCACCCCGAGAGTTACCTAAAGTGTGCAGTGACGTTCGTTTCTAAAAATAGAAGATTGGGAAACCAATCATCCACTTAACTAATTTACATATAGAGAGTGAACCAGTAGATTAGATGTATCAAGGGGTTTCCTCATTATGTATTTTATTGACAACAAATTTCATTTTATACCTTAATTCTTTTTGATCTGACAATTATATGAAACCATTTATCTTAAAACAACATGTTTAACATTTAGAAGAGCTTTTGAAGGCCGTTTTAACATTTTAAGTCCTAACACAAACTATCTCAGCCCCGTATGTTGTATTTTTTTAATTTTTTTTTTTTACAAAAAGATTAAAAAAATTTGGATCTCAAGTCTATTGTGATCTCTGTTGACACACTTCTTCATCAAACCAGAGCACTTATACAACTTTCCACAGAAAGCCATGGATAATTATCTTTGAATAAGTTGTAAAAAAAAAAAAAAAGATTTATGTACTTTTGGCACAAAAAAAATGAATTTAAAGTTTAAATACAAAATCTTAGTGTCTAGAATGTTCTCCATTGACACACTTCTTCATCAAACCAGGGCAATATATACAACTTTTCACAGAAAGCCATGGATAATTATCTTTGAATAAGTTGTAAAAAAAAAAAAAGATTTATGTACTTTTGGCACAAATAAAAAATGTATTTAAAGTTTTAATGCAAAATCTGAAAGTATCTAGAGAGAAGATAAAGTGATAATAAAAACCCTAGCAAAAATTCTTAGACCATCAATCGTTATGCCAAAATCAGAACAAGACATAAGTTCTCTTTTCTACAAAAGGAGGGAGGTGATGTTTACAAACATGTATTCAAAGGGTCCAATCCATACCTAATTTAATTCAGTAAAAAAGTGGGGTAGAACAATCAGATCAACCAATAGTTCTTCTTTGAGTACTCGTCCAAAAAAATTTTTAAAAATTAAGAATGATACCTACATTTTAAGGGGCCTTCAGCTTTTATTTATAGTTGGAAAAACAATTCTGTGCTGTTTCAAACTAAGTATTTCAGTAATATTACCCAAGAAAAGTGCATCATATCTCTGTAAGCCTTCTCCAAAACAGTGCCCTGTGAGCTATTTATAGCTTGCATTAACATTTGTTTCTAAAAATAGAAAATTTGGAAACGAATCTCCTGCTTTAATAATTTACATATACGATGACAAATTTCATTTTACTCCTTAATACTTTTGATTTGACAATTACATGAAACTATTTATCTAAAAATAACAATAACATATCTAACCTTTAGAAATGCTGAAGGCCGCTTTAGAACTAAACTGGTTCGGGCATTTTCTCTAAGATACAATACCTTTGTCAAATCCTACAAAATGTAAACAATACATGAACCATAAAATACTCTTCAAAATGAAGAGTACACAAAAGTTATACAGATATAGTATGAAAAAACATTTAAAATTTGGCTATGTAGTGAAATCTTCCGCACTAAGAAATCACAGTTAGTAGCTACTACAATGCCGAATTCTATTGCTCGTTATTAATGCGGAAGATTTCACGGCACACACACTATCCTCGTAACAAAAATGATCAGTCATGAGAAAATGATTCTGATAAAGATTAAAAACATGATTTCAACATGAAATATACAAAAAAAATGTTATGTGTGTTTTTTTGGCAAACAAGTTTTACCGGAAAACTTCAAAAAAAAATGTACAATGTATGTCGAATATCTATTTACATTCGTATATATATCACTTACAATTTGTTAGTTGAAAGACAATTTGCAAAGAAACACGTATAAAAACTAATGGTATATCTTATTTACAAAAGAACAGCTACATTTACAGCAGATAGAAATATCTACATACAAAAAAAACTTTCAACAACATCCAACTGCTTGAAAGTAATCTCACTTAAAAAGAATTATTACGGGTACATGAAAAGGAAAAAAAAAAGTATAAGGATTTCTGTGAAGGGAAAGATATAACAAACATATACTACATGTATATAGCAAAAGCTAAAATGCCATTCAATTACATTAATCTACACATGTTTTTAAGAAATGGTCAAAAAAAAAAATATTAAGCCCAATAAGACTGGAGCACATTTTGAAAGTAAACTTCAATTAAATATAAAAATAATACACACCTAAAAAAAACAATTTTGAAAAAAAAACTACCTTTAAGCTAACTGTTTACAGAATTAAACATTGGGGGTCAGGATGACCCGTTTGTCATTTACCTCACCTGAGTGGAGACAGTGACAGTTTATAAAGGCAAAATCCATTTTTAGTTGTTGACACCTAGATGGAATATTTTCATGTCCAAGATAAGATTGGCATAAGATTGACACAAACAGTTTGGCAAAGTCACATAAAGATCCACAGGCTGACAAAGTCACATAAAGATCCACAGTCTGACAAAGTACCATAAAGATCTACAGGCTGACAAAGTATCATAAAGATTCACTGTCTGATAAATTATCATAAAGATCTACAACCTGACAAAGTATCATAAAGATCTACAGTCTGATAAAGTATCATAAAGATCCACAGGCTGACAAAGTATCATAAAGATCCACAGTCTGACAAAGTATCATAAAGATTCACTGTCTGACAAATTATCATACAGACCTACAGTCTAACAAAGTATCATCCACAATCTCGCTAAATATCATAAAGATCCAAAACCATATTCTGACTAATTATCATAAAGATCCACAGTCTGACTAAGTAACATAAAGATCCACAGCCTTATTAGTTTTCACAAAGATCTACAGTCTAAGTTTCAAAAAGATCCAGTTGAAATTGTGACATCCAGATTGTAAACAAACAGAAGTATGGACCATGGTTGCTATGCAACTGAATAATCATGAAAACCTTAGAAAAACAGAAAAACAAGTAATAAAAACCAATCATGAACAACTTCCTTTAAACTCAAAAAAGTTAACATTATTCAAAGTAAAGAGTTTTCTATTACAATATATATTACAGTAAATAGAAACTAAAATAACAAATTTTTTACTAAAATCTTGAAAGATAATAAAAGTTTTAGAGCTAAGATATCTCCAAGCATACCTCGAAGATTAAAGCAAAATAAGCAGAACAATAATTCAAAGTATTCTCAATATCTAACAACTTAAACCTTCTTTATGCTCCTAAAATATAGATATATACACCTATCAAATATGTAAACAAATTTCCATTTTGAAGGGAGAAAAATAACAAATCTATTTATGGCAACATTGATAGAGAAAAAAATAACAAATCTATTTATAGCAACATTTATAGAGAAAAAAAATCTATTTATAGCAACATTGATAGAGAAAAAATAACAAATCTATTTTTAGCAACATTGATACAATGTTATAAAAATACTGAAATTAAGACTCGAAAGATAACTAACTAATGACAGAGAGAAAAAAATTTGATATAACTCATAGTTATAAGGACTATTTGTTTCATATTTGTTTAGCACACCTTTGAAACTGATACTACTGCAAACTTTAAGGGATTTCAATTTTAAAATACAAGAAGAACATGTATTCAGCTTCCAACAGTATAGAGCCTGGTCAGACTGTACTAATCTGCAGGCCAGCCTAGCTTTATACCGACAGTAAAGTCTAAATAAATTTCAGTTACAATAGGTCAAAGGTTAATACAGATTCAAAAACAATGTCGAGTTAGCAGCTCAAATTTTCATAAAAAGTCACAGCTACCACTCATATCCCTTTAGCCCTTATGTTACTTACAAAAAGAAATCTCTGCAATGGACCTGAATTTGTTTTCTCAATATGTGACACTCCCCATTTAAATCTTGAATTTACATGACAAACAGCTACGTGTAGTTAAATATGTTTCTTACTAATTCAACAGTTAACTATCTCAAGAGAAATGGTATGTCAAGGCCGGGAGAAACAAAATGATAATTGTATAGTTTCAGACTTGGATAACAAATCTAAATTCTATTTGTTCTCACATGATATAGGGGTCGAGGAATTTAGTAAGAGATTTTTAATCGCAACCTTTTACTTGCTTTTTACGTATATGTATTAAGCAATGGTCCCTGTTGAAATAATCCCAAATTGTGCATTTCTCATCTACACCATAAATCAAGTTAACCTTAAAAGTAACCTAGGGCACATTCAAGTTTGCTTGATTAGATCAAGAGGAACATCTTCCTTAGAATTGTTTGAATGCAAACCAAACTTTTGTCTTTTTTGCAGTGGAATGTAGCCCCATCCATCTGGGAATCTTTCTCGATATTTAGGAACCGCTGAAACTTGCTGACTAGGACCCTGGGACTGTCCATGACCTGGGGATACTGACATATGGGATTGTTGCGGGGGCACTGAATACGAAGATGCTTGAGACATGATGGGATGCTGACCTGAGACTAAACCAGAGGGTCGGCAAACATTCTGACAAAACCCTTGCTGTTGTGGCATGTAAGTTAATGGGGAGGAGTGTCTGGGAGAGGAAAAACTTGAGGGTGGGGACCTACTTTGTTGGTATGACTGAGGGGAATTGGACATGGGACTGCACTGATTTGCTTCACTCTGGTCAAGAACTATTCGCTTTTTCATTGGAATCGATTTTTCTTCTTTAAAACTGGATCTAACCGGATCCTGCTGACCATTGACGCCATTTGTTTGTACATCTGCAGACGTCTTCTTTAGCATCAGAGATTTCACATTTTGTAAGCTGTAATTCTCATTTGATCTGAATACACGTAGATGCAAAGGAGAATATTTTTGATCAATAGACTTGTTCTCTATTTTGTTTTTGTGTACCAACAATTCAGACTCGGCCTGTAAACCAGTCAATATAACTGTATCTTGCGCCGGAATCGTGATTTTCAGAGGTGATATATCTGAAGTGCAGCAAAAAGTATCGCCAATACAGTCAAATTCCAGATCTTTAGCTTCAAATTCTCTTTGCTCACTCATAACACTCAGTCCACTATTATTTCTCTGCCGTTCCATTTCCCTCCCTGGATTATCTACGCAGCCATTCACTCCATTCTGCTCCATTGACCTTGCAATTTGCTGCGGTGGCTGCTGCAAATCATTTACAGGTTGACATGTGACCATCAGACCTAAGGTATAAAAAACATGTCTCACAACAGACAGCGAGAAGCATATATGAATTCAAATTCCCTATGAAAAAAGGTACTTCAAACATAAATATACCAAGAAAAAGAAAGAAATTTTTTTAAAAATTGGCCAAGTAAAAGAAGTTTGTGTGTAAAAATCATAAGACATTTTAATTGACACAGATAAAATCAAGTCACACCAACACTGTAAAGGTCATATGGTGCCTATCCAGCTTTACTGGCATAGGAAGACCTCAGGTGCCCTTCTGCGCATTATTTCAGGCATGAACCGGCATATAGTCGACATTGTTAATACTAGATCACATAAACTTAATTAGAAACACCTTGATTTTCACACAATGCTCATGAAGAAAAATGTTACACATGATTTATACGAATAAAACTAACAAAGCCTATTATATGGTATTATATTTTTAACATGTCAGCAATAAAGGTATTTAGTCAGACACCAGCAATGTGTAGGCGGGTAAATGTAATGTTAGTGTCATTGTCACTGTTAGCATTGACAGAAATCAGGTGTAATCATCATGATATGGTTATAAGCTCATTATGCTTATAAATGCCGGAATCATCACATTATTAACTTGTCATTAATAGTCATCTAAATGCAGTAACAGTCTAACTCCTATTGAATTTAATAGGAGTTAACCTGTTACTGCGCTTTGGTGATGTAATGTAATGATGTAACGGAATATTTCTAGGTAAAATATAACGTGGTATTCGATTTACTGAAAATACCAATTTTTTTAGTATAACAATGAAATTTTTTTTCATTGACAAGAAATGTCAGTAGGACAGCACACTATCACTATTCTCAGTGCTTAATAGAAAACCAACAAGCAGAATAATGTAAGAATTAACAAAGTTGAAGAATTCATTAGAAAAACCACCCAATAATAAGTTTTGATATTGACCAAAGTATTTTGAAAGTTCACAAAAGGCCCTATTTTATTCAAAATCCATGCTAAAGTTATGGGTTTTGGAAAGTGACCTGCAATTGTAATTCTGAAAACATAAATTAAGGTCAAGTGAATACCACTGGCATATTTTTTTGTTGTTGTTTTTTTTTTGTTTTTTTTTGTTTGAAAGATAAATGTTGCAAGCAAAACTAAAACCAAAATTGTTTAAGTTTATAAAGGGTCAAAATCCATGCCAGAGTTTGAAAAATGACCTCCAATAATGAACCCAAGCACATGTTTGTAGTTTTAAATGCAAACCTTTGTTTGTTTTGTACAGAGTGTTTTGTACAGGCATAATTTTTTCATGAATTTTCAAAGTTAAAAAAGGGCCATAATTTTGTCAAAATCCAAGCTAGAGTAACGGGCAATATCAAAACTCATTATTGTGTGTTTTTTCTTATGAATTCTTCAACTTTAGTAATTCTTATTATAACCTGAAATATGTGCACTGTGTGTGTGAAATAACAAATAAGTATCTTCGGTTGTTGACAACATACGATTTGGTACAAGAAGTACAAGAATTTGCAAATGAAACTTTCACCAAAATGTTACGCAGATGGTGACACGGCCATCGACGCCTACACCCAAGAGATTAGCCCTACTTTCTTTTCATATAGTCACGCTAAAAATGTACGTGTTTCTTGTCTCGAGTTAAATATGTCATATTAATTAAATGTAAGTCATCAAAATGGTTTCAATGACATTAGACAGGCGAGATTTTCTGCGAAAAAGAACGAGGTATCAGTTTTATTTTTCATGCCTTTTCTGGTTATTTACGCTGAAACTGTTATAATTCCTATAGCAACTTTCAAACTGGTATTAAAAATTGTAAACTCCGTCACGTTTGTCATAAAATGATAAATCAACACATTACTTGCTGTAACCATAATTGCATATGAACAGTTATGAGATATCAAAGCCGAATCTCTTAAATTTACCAAATACTTAGGTTACGTATTTATCTTCCTTACATTCATTTCTTGTATGTATGCTCTAATTACATACTTTTTATGCATGCATGTAAAATCTTATTCTTTAAATCAATTTGCTGTTTGCATATGATTTATTAACAAACTTACGGTATGTTATGTTACTTTACGGTATTTACATAACCTTATGTTGATTGTTAAATTGTTATGAAACCGGAAGTGATTGCCTGAATCTGAATTTTTTTCCCCCCAATTATATCAAAAGCTTGAAAGTGTTCTATTTAAAATAATAATAAAATTGGTACAAAATGTGAGTCCCATACCTGATGATTCATGTTTCACCTCAAATGTCTTCATCCAGTTGATAAATGACTTGATATCCCTTACTTCTAAACTATGTACTATATCAAGACACTTCAACTTTGCTTCCAAAATACTACCTGTAAAGTACAATAAATGTAGTACATTGTACATGTACACTAACTAAAGTCTAGAATAGTCAAATTGTCAAGAAGAAAAAGAGTTTGCTCTCATACAATATGTATTTGGGGTGTAAGGTTCAATCCCCACAACCCTGCCAGCTATCGGAGGAGCGGAGGAGACAGCATGCTCAATTAAGTCAAAAATGAAAATAATAAAGAAACAGGGTACACATGTTCACCACATGATATCATGTACATTACTCAATTAATATAAGGAAAAAATTACAAAAGGTATAAATATTGCACCATTGTCACTATGTTTGAGTAATATTTTCATTGTATAGACTTAAGAACTCTCACCATTCAATTAACAGAGCAAATCAATCATTATATAATTATGTCCTTTCTGTACATATTATTTGCATACCCAGTACACAAACAAATCATTTTCTTTAGAATAAGAGCACACAGTACTTGTTTGTTTTGTTTTATAATCTAATAATTAAACTTATTTCAATTTTTTTTTTGTGGAGATGGCAGCTGCTAAAGAAAAAAGTTTTGCTTTTGATTAAAATAGCTTTCCTTATCATAAAAATACAACAATAAAGCTGAAGAAAAATTATGCATACCTGTTTCCATTTTCTTTTTTTCTTCATCATTCTGCGACAAATTTGTAGCGGCACATTTCCCATGTCCTGGTAATTCCTGGCCACCATTTTGACCAGTATCCCTGGAAACAAATTTATATATTTACATACCTACAAAATTTCAGATAGCTCAACATCATATCCTTACCACCCTGACACAGGATCAGGAATGTTTATTTTGTAACTTTTTATTTTCTTGTGTCATTCAATTCTACAATGAGTGTGCTTTTTTCTTCAAGGTTTTTTCAATCTGAAAGCAAGTGACATATCACCATCAAAATGGACAAAAAATCACAGATGCTGTTTTAATGTGTCTGTTCATGAGTGATACGAGTAAGTGAAATATTATGTATACATTTTGTACTAGTATATCATGCTTGATAGAGACCCTAGCACACAGTTTTCCTATTACAAGTGACCACTGGGGCTCTGCAAATTTTGAACCCTGAGGCTTAATTAACCAACCTTTTGTAGGGGACCACAAGGCAATGCTTCATGCCAGATAATATTTAAGTTCTGGGCATTGAAGTTTCTGGAGAAAATTATAATAGTGATTTTATTATAAAAGTTCATTTCAGCTCCTGTGACATACTTATGTATATAACTAGAAATATGTACAGTGTGTATACATTTTGTGCAGCGCCATCTAAGAATCATTCTGATGAAGTTTGGTCAAAATCTATCTTGTGACTTAGAATTAAAGAAATTGTTCATATACACAGATGACACATGGCAGACATGATTCAACCAACAAATCAACATCTTACTGCTGTTCCAGGTAAACTCATTATATAATTAAACAGGAGTTAACACTTTACTGCACTAAGGTAACCTTTGTGCAAAGACGCACTGATGAAGAAAAATGTACATCAATAACTGCCAAGCTTTAGCTGTATCATTGAAATTAGCACAAAATAGGTCGTGCTTTCTTAGCACGTAATATGTACATGTATAAACATCACATTGTCATGGTTTTCTATTGTCAGCACAAAATAAATCAATGACTTTTTAGCAGTTATTTGACCTTTGAAAGGAATGGTTTCAGTACATAATAAGAAATCTTTAATGCAGAATAAAAATGTGACCATGTAATAAAATATTCTCTCCGTCCTATAACTGTTAACATAGTCGTGACAAGTAATGCCACTGCCATTGACATGTACATCAGTTTCACACCTCTTTTCATCCGTGTATATGACATGACACCACCTACCAGGTTCCATATTTACAGTTTAACAATAACAAAATATTGACCTAAGCTTCTCCTATTCAATGTATCAAAATAACACTCTTGGCATAAGCTTATGAAATAATACTTATTTAGCAGTACAATCAATATTATGAATTCAACAAAACAGTGGGTTAATAACTATAACATTTGTATAACTCAGAATATCAAGTATACCATCATAAGAACATTGTACCATACCTTTGCAAATTCCAGTTGTAATTAATTTTAGCCCTTTATATAATAACCTACTGCAACAAAGACTGATTTGAGCCGCGTCATGACAAAACCAACATAATGGGTTCGCGACCAGCATGGATCCAGACCAGCCTGCGCATCCGCGCAGTCTGATCAGGATCCATGCTGTTCGCTATCAGTTTCTCTACTTGTAATTGGGTTTGTAAGCGAACAGCATGGATCCTGATCAGACTGAGCGGATGCGCAGGCTGGTCTGGATCCATGCTGATCGCAAACCCATTATGTTGGTTTTGTCGTGACAGGGCTCATTTTTCCTTGGCCACCAGTATAAAGCCAGGCCAGCTGGCACAACCGCGCAGTCTAACCAGGCTCTATATTGCTGGCAGCTAAAGTTTTGAATTTTTGACATAAAAATTGACTTTAAATTGACAGTTCCATATTCAAAACTTGGCAAATCCATTATCCAAATTCAATAAGTTAAACATTAATAACCGATTTCAAGTCAGTCATCTGTGGATATTTCTAAATTCATTATTTTACCATTTTTGTGTTTAAGTATTTAATTCTGCTTATGACGGTGCTTAGAGGGGCGTGGATTGTAACTTGCACTTTCCAGTGCTGTTCATGAACAGACTCAATGCAACATTTTCAATTTTGCTGTGTGTGGCTTTCTTTAGGGATTCTGTTTTTCTCTATTTTATTCCTCATAATAGTTCAATAAGCTCACCAGTATTACCAGTACTTATCTACTTTTAATAAATGTATTTGAACCCTTAACCCATTACTTCATGAGCATTTTGTCCCCCTTCTGGCAACCCCCTGATGTATCTTTTGTTTGGGGGGCCGCGCCAAAAAAGAGGTCACTTTTTTTAACAAAATTTCTCAAACAAAAACAAGTGTTTGGGGCCTAAATAAGGCATTTTTCATCATTTGAGACAACAAAAAGGGGGGGGGTAAAAAAGGCGTTAAAAGGCGTGTATATGAAGCAATGGGTTAACAGAAAATGATGAAAATACTTGAAATTACCCTAAATCGCGTTTTTTCATGTTTTAACATGACCTGTCATATAAATTTGCAGAACAATTGTTGTTTTGTAGATTTTTTGATTTTTTTCATTAACCCATTACTTCATGAGCATTTTGTGAAAAATGGCTGTTTTCATGGAAAAGTCTCCCGTTACAAGTTCAAATTGCTATAATACTATTAAAACTGCTTTAACACTAATCAAACTTGGCACAAGTGTTGACTGGACCATTGCCCTTGCAACAACATGATCAGGCTTAAATTTTCTGTTACCATGGCAACGAGGGGACATCTCAAAATTGCCAAAAATCACTATTTTGCGCTGATTTTTTCCATAAAAATTGATTTCAAAGTGCTGCAACTTCTCAATGGATTGAGATAGAGTCAAATGCTTTTCAACGTTGGTTACATGTTACCTTATGATCAATCTGGGGTCATTTACAGCTTCTCACAAGTCCAAAATTTTCTTGGCGATGAGGGGGACTCCGCCCCCCTTCAAACCCCCCAAACAGAAGGGGGCACATCCCCCTTCTGGCAACCCCCTGATGTATCTTTTGTTTGGGGGGCCGCGCCGAAAAAGAGGTCACTTTTTTTAACAACATTTCTCAAACAAAAACAAGTGTTTGGGGCCTAAATAAGGCATTTTTCATCATTTGAGACAACAAAAAGGGGGGGGGATAAAAAAGGCGTTAAAAGGCGTGTATATGAAGCAATGGGTTAACAGAAAATGATGAAAATACTTGAAATTACCCTAAATCGCGTTTTTTCATGTTTAAACATGGCCTGTCATATAAATTTGAAGAAAAATTGTTGTTTTGTAGATTATTTTATTTTTTTCATTAACCCATTACTTCATGAGCATTTTGTGAAAAATGGCTGTTTTCATTGAAAAGTCTCCCGTTACAATTTCAAATTGCTATAATACTATAAAAACTGCTTTAACACTAATCAAACTTGGCACAAGTGTTGACTGGACCATTGCCCTTGCAACAACATGATCAGGCTTAAATTTTCTGTTACCATGGCAACGAGGGGACATCTCAAAATTGCCAAAAATCACTATTTTGCGTTGATTTTTTCCATCAAAATTGATTTCAAAGTGCTGCAACTTCTCAGTGGATTGAGATAGAGTCAAATGCTTTTCAACGTTGGTTACATCATTTGTACATGTTACCTTAAGATCAATCTGGGGTCATTTACAGCTTCTCACAAGTCCAAAATTTTCTTGGCGATGAGGGGGACTCCGCCCCCCTTCAAACCCCCCCAAACAGAAGGGGACACATCCCCCTTCTGGCAACCCCCTGATGTATCTTTTGTTTGGGGGGCCGCGCCGAAAAAGAGGTCACTTTTTTTAACAACATTTCTCAAACAAAAACAAGTGTTTGGGGCCTAAATAAGGCATTTTTCATCATTTGAGACAACAAAAAGGGGGGGGGTAAAAAAGGCGTTAAAAGGCGTGTATATGAAGCAATGGGTTAACCAGCTGGACGTATAAGAGATTAGCCTTTACCATCAGCTCTATACTAGTGGTAAAGGCTAACCTCTTATAGTTCCATGCCAGGACTATGCCAGGCCAGCCTGCACATCTGTGCCATCTGAGCAAGCTCTATTTCCTTAATCTAAATTTTCACCAGATATTTCTAAGATTGAAAATATATAGTTCCAAAGCTGGAAGCTGGTGATATTTCTCCATATTTTTTCTCATGTTGTGTCTTCTCACAAACATACAAAACTCTCTAGTGAGATATATTTCATATCAAATAACGAATTTTTCATATTATGCTTTTCCAAATTATAATGTAAAATATCAGCAAGATATAAGTCATATCACAAACTTTAAAATTGAGTTATATACAAAATTCTATATACATTGTGTGCTATTAATTATACAAGTTGCTGATAATTATAATGGCATACAATGACTTGAAACAAGACAACACTTGAGAAATCACAATTATAACACATAGGCACCACTTTCTACACTTGCTACTGTCAAGTGACTGGCAGCAGTTTAAGCCTGGTCTGTTGTTGGAAAATAGAAAATACATGGTTGATGTCGGGATGGAGAAGGTTTATCCAGTGAGCGAGAAAGTGTATCTTGGCGAGCTTTTACTTTTCCCCGATAAAATAGCATCTATATGTAGTTTTGTGTTGCTGCTAAACAGTTGACGTCATCATATGACGTAATGACTGGAGATAGATAAGTTTATCCGGCAAGGCTTTGTCCAGCTAATGATATTGACAGTAGCAGGATAAAATACTCATTTGCCATATGTATTAACCATAGTTTGCTTCTTTTGCTCTTTGGCAATTGATATACATGTAGTTATAGTGATTTAGTACTTTGTATGGCTGTCAAAATACCATTTTGTTGTTTAATATTTTGCTACCTCTATGGCATATAAGTGCACATTCAACGCTACTTCTACTGGTAATGCTCCAAATCTATTATAAAAACTTTATTTAACACATATATTCACTTTCCAAAGAAATAAAAATTCATTTGTGTCTGAGGCTTCATGTGAAATTAAACCCCCTGGGCCTCTAAGAAATTAAGCAGGTAAGCAGTGATTTTTCTCACGTAATTGAGAAGAGGCCTTAGTCTCTTGATTTTGGGAAAAAATTAGTAAAAAAGCTGGTTTATGGTGAGATTTTTGGGAAAACTGCATGATTTTAAAGAAAATTTCAATTGGACAGTGGCCTTTTTTCGGAGTCTGTTATATAAGTAGGAAAATCATTGGTAAGGATCATTTGAAGGTCAAAAGCACAGAGTTAAAACTGTTACCTGTATTTAGACTGGTACCCTGGGATGTCAGAATCACAGTTCCTGTAAGATTGGTACCCTGCTTCTTGTGATGTGTCTAATCTCTCTGCTGTTTTACCCATAAACATGTGTGGGGAACCGGAATCCCAACTGTTACCCCTAATGAAATAGAAAATTAAAGTGTTCATTTAAAGGCTGTAAAAATGCTATAATTCATATCTATCAAACATTTTTTTTTGGTGCTGTGCAATTTCTAAACTATTACTACTAACCCTTAACCTCCTGCATTGGTGTAATGGATTTGCCCAGCTTTGAAGTTGGAACAGCTCATATAAAGTTTAAGGGATTTCAAAATCTCAACACAATTAAAATTGAGCTACCAATAATATAGAGGCTATTCTGACTGCACAAATGTACAGGTTAGCCTGGCTCTATACTGGTGGCAAAGGCTACCAGCTGATAAAGGGCTAAATTGCCATACAGCTTACCAAGTATCAGTCTATCTTCTAATTTCTTGGCCATAAGTAAAGTTTTAATGATTTGATTGTGAATGGAAGACAAAATTTTGTTTAAACACTTTGTTGAAATTTTGCTATTATTTTTATCAGATCTCAAGTTATTTAGCATTCACATTATTCCACATTCAGCAATATTTTAGGAATGCAACCAATTATCTCCCCCTTAAAATGCATTTCAGATTTGGTAATTTTGAACAAGTTATTGAACAATATCTTTGACACTGCTTGAGAAATGTATCTTTACAAAATATTTAACCAAGTAATTCAAAGTCAAAACTGAGGCAACTGAGAAAAAAATATTTAATAATAGATTGGAGTTGAAAAAGGGGCATAACTTTGAAAATTTTTTAGGATTATCTGCTTTTTTGAAATGGCTTTCTTTTATGACAGGACAGGAATTTGGGAAATTGTCTAAAACCTGCTAAGAAACTTACCAACAAAATTAAAATAAAACATTAAAGTAGACACTTGTTATATGCTTGAGAGCATAAAATCTTATGTCCAAAGGTTCCTCCTTTCTGCAAATTAACAAAAGGTTTGTTATTGAGTTTTAAGATAATAAGTTATTCAATTATAATAATAATATTCATTTTTTTTTTTAATTAGGGAACATTATAAAACCAGGAAATACCTAGTGATCGGACTTGATGAGTTACTCCTCACAAGAGTGTCTGTATCATGGTGAAGGTTATAAACCGGCAGCTGCGGTTCTGAGTGTCTCGGTCGAAACATCGGACTTTCTCGTAATGTATTTGCTATTGAAAGTGACCCTTCAGAATGACGCTTCCGCACATAATGAAGATCATGATGCGCCTGTTTCATATGTAGAATACGTCTGAATTGCTGACTGCCAAACAGAGCAGATCGGCAGATGGACTCGATGATCGGAATGTATGATGATTTGATCGCGTTGATGGCGTAGCTGTCCGGTAAACCTGTTTACAAATATATATACATATAATGTTTTTATATACCGATGGCTCAGCGCAATACTGGTCTAAGTGACATTTTTACCAAAAATCACTTTTTTACATATTTTGATAATGTAAGGTCAAATACACATTCTGTGAAAATTTTAGGGTAATTTATGCTTTTTTTGCCTTTTTTATTTACATTTAAAATAAAAGTCTATCTCAGGTAGTTCAATTTTGTCAGTGCAATATAGGTCTAACTTGAGTTGGTCTCTTATTGCGATGTCAAATATATCAATTTTCCTCAAAAATGCTTGAGTTAGACCTTAAATGTTTCATTTCCAGGTACAGAATAATATGCATATCCCATTGAAATGTGTTATAAAGAATGTGAGAATTCATGAAAACACTAGAAATTATTTGCCTCCATCAGTGCTTTGTATTAATCGCAAAATATTAGCCAATTGCATAACATGTACAATTAGTAACTGTAAACGAAAAATCTTGAAAAAATTTAGTGTCACAATTAAACATTTATTTTGTCTTTGAAGTCATTACATATACCGCCTCCGTGGTCGAGGGGTTAGAGTCGATGACTTCTAATCCAGGTACCTCTCTGGCGTGGGTTCGATCCCCGGGAGATGCTTTGGTAGTTTAGCGCAGAGGAAGGTTGTCTAGTACTGGTGTAGCTCTCCAGGAACGATGGTTAGAAAACTACCCGCCTATATGACTGAAATACTGTTGAAAAAGGCGTAAAATGAGACAAACAAACAAACAAGTCATTACATCATACTCATACTGTATTATTTGATAACATAAAGTGCAGTTGAAACTATCATTTTTGTACAATTTAGTAAAAGACAGTGTATGCTTCTCATGCACACATTTAAAATGGAAAATAACATGTGTTACACTCGTGGATTCATAACCTCTGATCCCCCTCTAAAAATTCATTGTTTTTTAGTTTGACCTTTGTTTAATCATATGCTGAGATTTCCTAATTCTTAATTTTACACTTTGTTCATATTTATATAATGTGTTCTGCTTAAGATGGTGTAAGGGGGTAGACTGTACATTGTTTCACTGCCAAATCAAACTTAGCCTGTAACACAATAACAAATTTAAGGTTTGAAGCCGTTCCTGGGTTTTTATTTTTAAATTATGTATCTACTTCTGTATCACTCTCTTTAATCAAGAAAAGTTATTTAAGAAATAATATATATATATCCCAAACTGTGATTTTATTGCTCATTAACATCACTGTTTGGAGTTCGGATGCGAGGAATAATATCACGAGGGCGTAGCCTGAGTGATATAATGATGCGCATCCGAACGACAAACAGTAATGTTATCAAGCAATAAAATCACCAATTTGGATATATTATTTTGATTCTAACACGACATTAACAAATAAATGCTGCCGTACCCGATATTTAGCTAAATTGCACCTGATTTGTTTCTGTTCTTATTGTCAGCACGTCACATTTTTAGTTGTTACGTCATGTGTATAATTATTACGTCACATGTCTAAATATAGAACGTCAAACAGCGATTTTATAGCATAATAACACACACTTTCCGTTCTTCTATGTTCAAAAGGGAAAAATGCGGGTCATGTTAGAAATATTAACTTTACACTATCAACTCAAACAATACAATAACAACATAGTGTCAACATGTACAAATCACACACTTCACAATACTTATATCATTGATACAATATCTTTCTGTCTGATGGGATAAGTGCAGAAAAAATCAAAATATGCACACTTATAAATATATTATAATGACCTTTTCAGTTCTTGTATTCTGATAATTTTTTACATCACACAGCTCCATTGAATTTTCAAGAGTGCAAATGTCAAAAGCTCTTTGACTTATGTGGCAGAAACAGCTATAAGTTGATAAAAATGTTTCATTTTAGATCTAAAAGCCATTAATTTTACCTATCAAATTTAATGAAATTAAAAATGTAATGACAGTATCAACTGCTTTTGGTATAGTATCAGTGTCAATGAGAAAATTCAAACATTTATCCATTCAAATTGTTTAGTGCTAATCTAAGGTGTGCACATGGTGCTTCAGGTGTGCGCCTTTTCATATCTGAATGAGTTGCAAGTGTTTAAAGCACCTCTAACTTTACAAAAATGTTTCTGAATTATATCATGTGCTAACAATACTTTGTTCTATGAATCCCTGATAGTGGGCTGCACTGCCCTACTTTTTTCTCTAAAATATGTTTGACAACCTCTTGTTATTTGGTCAAAATTTAGAGGTAAAATGACTTTGATATATAAAATGAAACACTTTTCTTAAGATATGCACAGTTTTCAGCAAAACATGTCATAAAATTTGCACATTACACTTTCAAAATATACTCTAAACAGTTGAGAAAGTAAATACAGAAGTTGTAATAAAAGCATGGTCTAACAGCGGTTTTCAGTTTTGAAGATATTTGATATTTATAAATGATTATATCATCAGATAAGAGGACCACATACATTAAATTCATTAAGATTTAGTGCATAACAGTAATATCGGAATAACAGCATTTAAGCACCAATGGTGGTAATGGTGTGCATTGAGAAAATAAAAGGTGTCTTCTTTGTACAAATGTGAGTTATACAAAAAGTACATTCCCTGTTTTCAAACTTTGATGATATCATAATATATACCTGGATTGTCAGTCATCATTGTTCATGACTACTGTTCATAACACTATATGAATCAAAACTGTTTGCATTTTGTTTAGAATTCAAATTTATTGCACAGATAATCTGCAAAAAATCTTAAGTAAATCTGAATCTCAAACAAATTGAAAAAGAAGAAAGAAGTGTACTTTCATCTAAAGTCAGCTCGCATGATATATTAATAGAAAAATATTAAAGGATTTAGTCTTTGTAAAGTTCTTCTACAGACTTGCAGAATATTTTAAACAATGTTTAAATTAATAAAACAATTTTGTTCAAAATTTAAAATTTCATTTATATCAGAATATTTAACATAAAACAGGTCTAACTCAAATATTTGTACCACTTTTACCAAATTGCAAGAGGGAATTTGAGTCTAACTCAAGTTAGTCTTGTATTGCGCTCAGAATTTCAGCGCAATAAAGGTCTAACTCTAAAATACACAATTTGTAACATTTTAATAAAAAATTATATTAATGGCATTATTTCTTATTACAATTAATGTTAACATAGCAAAAAAATATTTTCTAATATAAGTATTTTTGAATAAAATCAGTTTTTTGTCTCTCCTGAACATTTTCAAAAATAGCAGTTAGACCAGTATTGCGCTGAGCCATCGATACAATCATGTGTATGAAATCACCAAATGTCACTTCTTGCTAAATCTCAGAGACAAAAAGACGCTATAAAACTTTTGACCATTTCTAAAGTGGATATACATGTGCATGTAAACTTTAGGAGGTACTCCCAATTTTATAGTATTTCTCACATATTATTAGTCTACTGTAAACAATTCTTACTTTGGGTATATGATAAATAGAATATTATAACTGAGAAAAATTATTAGTCTACTGTAAACAATTCTTACTTTGGGTATATGATAAATAGAATATTATAACTGAGTAGTTTCATTATCAAAATTCATTAAACTCATTGAATAAGATAATATAATGCTTGCCCAAGGCTTGCATAATGTTATTTTATTCAACTTGTTCAATAAATTTTGTATTGAACCTACACTCATTCAATATCCTCTATATATCTTACTAAATTTTGGATACCTGCAGACTGTGTTATTCGATTCATCAGTTTGTTGAGGGTACTATTGCCAATACTTTGGTTATCATACCAGACAAAGTCGGTGGGTAACACGCTGCGCTTCGGTCGCTGCCAAAATGCGTCTGACATTGGATGTAGGTGAATAACGTACTGCGTATATGATAACACTGGACACTTTGGATCACCTGCAATAAAAAAAAAAATTTAAAAATCACAAATAATGATAAAATGAAATTCATCCTCAATTTCATATATATTGCATAATTCGCATTTTGCTTCTGAATCAAAACAAGTATTGTTCATATTGGTGAATATATATTATATGTTATTTTGGTTTTGGAGTGATATATGCGGATATATTGCCTACTAAGATTTTATATCACATACTACATAAATAGGTTTTGGGTTAACCGTTTTGTTCAGTGGGTAAATACTTTCAGTGAATAGTAAAATTAATTGAGACATTAACTTTGATTGGTCCCAAGACTTTGATTGGTCCCAAGGCTATGTAACAATTTTAAAAGTACTGTCTTGAGTCTCTGATCAGTATTCTGCTGGTTTCAGATCAACCATTTACATGTGACCAGTGTTTGAGTCTAGGAGATTTCTGTATGACATTAATCTCATGCTTTTACTGGCAATTCTTACAAATAGGTTAGTTTAATATTAACTATACAGTAACTGCTGTAACACAAATTTATGCAAAACCTGATAAAAAGCACATTTAACACATTGTTAATAATTATCAACTTCTATGTAATGGTCAATATTGCACTTCTAAAAAAATAAGTATTTATAATGTTATTATAGGGAAAAAACAACTATCTGAAGGAAAAAATTACCAGTCAGGTAAAACAATGAGAAAGAAGTCCATGAAAATTAGCACCTGACCAGTACTATTTTCTAAGTGACAAGTTCATATACAAGTATATGAATAATGTTACCATGGAACCAAGGTTAATAAGGGATCAATGGATGATTAAGTATTATTTACAACTCAAAAGTTCTTCATATGGCAGCAAAACAGTATCTGACATCATCCATATATAGATTAAACGTACATATTAACTAAAAACCACACAATCATGGACTGGAGATGACTTTGTTTTGTTAATTGCTGATAATGGCTGACACTTTATACCACATTTATAACCTCAGCATTTTCTCTTACATGTATATAACCTGGGCAATGCATGTCTTAAGTAACTTCAATAACTTACTTAAAAAAAAGATAATTATGCATTGTACATGTACAAGGTGTCCCCCCCCCCCCCTCAACACATATTAGATACATTGTATGTTGCTAAAAAGTCACAATTTTTTTTCAATGTTTGATTGGGTTTTACGTCCCATCAACACATTTACTGGTAGAGGAAGACCTAAGGAGCTCTTCCATGTATTATTTCAGGCATGTACAGGCACCTGAGAAGAGATACCTTAAGCTAGCTGGGTAGCTTTCTCACATGAAAAAATCCCAAATTCCTGTTGAGATTTGAACCCACAGTGGTGAGGGACAAGTGGTTTGAAATCAACGACCTACTTCTCAGCCAAGGATGCTCCTTTTCAATGTTTAAGTCAGTAATGAGGTCATATTAGTTTAGTTGTTTTTCACCCATTAGCTGCTCTTTCTTATTTTCAAATATTTGCAGATGTCTGCTACAAAATGGTTAAAGACAAATATCTAACCTCTTGGCATTGTAGTTTCAGAAAAGAAGATTTAAATGTATTTTCCTATACAAATTTATATAAATAAGCGATCCCCAGGGTGGGCAAATTTTGACCCTTAAGTGACATGATTTATAAAACTTCCATAGAGAAGAAGTAGACGATGCATCATGCAAAATATATAAGCTGTAGCCATTGCTGTTTTTCAGGAGAAGTCTTTTAAAATATTTTTACGTATCACGGTGCATATCCATATCGGTACCCTCTTTGCGAAATCTGCTGAAACGGTACCCTCTCTGAACATGCACAGGTCATTCTCTGCTAAAAACAAACCAGCGATGGATACCAATCCAGTAAAATTTCATTGTAATAAGGAAAGGAGGTATGTCACGTAGAAAAGATGTATACCACGGAACACTAGGATGTTTTATTTATGTGCTGATTTGTCATGTGCCCGATTTTCATGTACTGCAACTTCACAATAAGCTACAAAAAATCGACATGTCTTGCTTCGCCCATCACCTCGACCTATTTTTCGGGCTGAAATGAACCTATGGCTTGATTATATATGCATCATACATATTTAATATATTCATATACATATCATCTTCGGACAAATGGCAGTATATTGTCAAAAATAAATGTAAAATTCATAAAAACACCCTACTTTCGGTTTTGCAGCGGCACGGGCTACCTCTCTTCATTTGAATTTTTATATCACAGGTACCCTCTCATTTTTTAACACATGGGTACCCTCAAAGCACGACATATGCTTTTATTTGCGTTAATCGTTAAGTATGTAATATTTACATAAAAGTAAAAAGTATTACATACACACTTAACGATTAACGCAAATAAAAGTATATGTCGTGCTTTGAGGGTTCCTATGTGTTCAATAATGAGAGGGTACCTGTGATATAAAAATTCAAATGAAAAGAGGGAGCCCGTGCCGCTGCAAAACCGAAAGTAGGGTGTTTTTATGAATTTTACATTTATTTTTGACAATATACTGCCATTTGTCCGAAGATGATATGTATATGAACATATTAAATATGTATGATGCATATATAATCAAGCCATAGGTTCATTTCAGCCCGAAAAATAGGTCGAGGTGATGGGCGAAGCAAGACATGTCGATTTTTTGTAGCTTATTGTGAAGTTGCAGTACATGAAAATCGGGCACATGACAAATCAGCACATAAATAAAACACCCTATTGTTCCGTGGTATACATCTTTTCTACGTGACATACCTCCTTTCCTTATTACAATGGAATTTTACTGGATTGGTATCCATCGCTGGTTTGTTTTTAGCAGAGAATGACCTGTGCATGTTCAGAGAGGGTACCGTTTCAGCAGATTTCGCAAAGAGGGTACCGATATGGATATGCACCGTGTATACAATTCTATATAAATTAAGTGACCCCAAGGGCGGGACTAATTTTGATCCCAAGGACATGATTTATATATACTTTCTTCAGTTGTTAAACATCTTAAATGCTCTAACTAATCATCAAAACATTATTGAACAATTGATTGACAATTTTCTAAAGAATTAAAAAAAATATGAATTTCTGAGGCATAATGTGCTTTTTAAGGTCACAAATTTTTAAACATTTTTGATTTTGACAAAATTGTATACAACATGCTGCAGACGTATCGCTTTAACAACAATGTTTGCATGATTTTCTTTAAGATGTTCCTCAATTTGGCAACTAAATAAATAAGGGTACTTAAAAAAGTGTTAAAACAAATGATTTAATGATCTTTAACCTTAAAGTCTGACGTTCAAAAGGAAGTATAAGTTTTTGCAGAAAAAGCAGCAACTTAAAAATGTCTTCAGACTGTTCATACATTGGCAGCAAATTCTTTAATCACTTGTGGTTAACTGTTGATTTGAAATTTCATTCATTTTTTTATTTATTGGGCTTAATTTAGTTTTTGTCAATTGTTCACTGTCAATGTTACATGTATAAATTTATAAATTTGCAATTCTACAGCTATAAACAATAAACTGGCGGAGGAATACCTCAGACACACCTCTTTCTATAAATTGTCACAACAAATCTAACAACTAGCATTTAATCGATCGAGTTCAACCATCTTCCTCATCTGTTCTTAAATTAGCACAAAGAGATGACGGACTAAGTGATAATTTACTTTGAATTTGAAGTCAGTCGCTTTAACCATACATGCCAAGCTCAAAGTCTTTAAGACCATACCTGTAGAATAAACTTGTAAACATACATTTGGAACAAAACATGATAAGTCTTTGCAAGTCCAGTATAGACTCAGACCAGCCTTGCATGTTTATGCAATCTGACCAATGAGGCTCTAAACTGTTGGCTCATAACAAACTTTAAATTTTCATTCTGATTACCCCAAAAAACTGATGATGGACAGTTCCAAGTATGGAGATGGACAAGTCTATTTCAGAAATTCAGGAGGGAAATTAAAATGTATACATGTGATTATGGCTTTCTTCACCTTTCTCATAAAACCCGCCCTATATTTTCCTCAAACTTTATCAATCCTGGAATCTCTTCCAATCCCTTATATATGCAGTATATACCTGGGTCAAAACTTTATCAGAAGTACAAAGGTACATTGTACATGTATTGAATTGTTCAGTCATCTGGTGAAAAAGGCCAGCCAGAAAAAACATTGTAAAATATTCTAACACAACCCGCATTTTTCACTATTGAATATAGAAGAACCAAAAGTGTGTGTTATTATGCAACAGAGTCACAGTTTAAGATATGTGACGTAATCATTATACATGTGACATAATCACTAAAAGAATCCGATGCGCTTTAAATAAGCACGGAAACAAATCAGGCGCAATTTTTCATAATATCAGATAATGCAGCATTTATTTGTTGATGTTGTGTTAGAATTGAAATAATATATTCAAATCAGTGATTTTATCGCTTGATAACATCACTGTTTGGAGTTAGGATGCGCATCATTATATCACTCGGGCTACGGATAAAATTAGTGCCTAGTATTCAACCCTGTACACATATTTGAACTTTCTCATTAAGGGCCTTCTTTGGGCCTTTCCCTGTTTGGTTACTTAAATTTTAGGTTTAAATACAGTCTTTAGGTGTTAATTTCCCATTCTGATTCTATATAATGTTAGTTGCAACAGTTTAACATTATATCAGAATAAATTTTTAATTTTGTAATACCCAGGCATTTCTTGAAGAAAGGCATGTGTTAATCATGGAGTTAAATAAAATGTATGAATAATGTATGAATAAGTAGTAATAATATTTCTTTTCATGACACTTTATTTAAGAAAAGTTCAAATGGCTGTGTTTTGGAAAGCACAAGTCATGTATTACGTATATATGTACACATAAAACTCATGTGAACTGCGGCGGACAGCAAAAACAGGAAAAAGTTCTTTAGCACCTATTCCTTGTAAGATATTTCTATATCATTATTACCTGTAGTTAAAGAATGACCAATAATTAACTGCTAGAACAGAAGGAAGGGAACTGTCAAAGACAACAACAACATGAACTGTTTGTTATTCTGTCATTCCCGAGCAATCCTTTTTATTTGCTATTTTTTTAAGAGAATAACAACAAATAAAGTGTCACATTTTCAAAAATAAAACAAATAGTTTATTTCAATATAAACAGAGTGTATTGCATAAGCAGAGAATTGCATAAGTCGTTGCAATTCAAGGAAACTCATACACTTTATCACTTAGTTTAAGAAATATGAAAAAAAAAGAAATATAAAAAAAAAAAACAACATGAAAACACCTGAATTGTCATCAGTTTTATATAGAAACTAGAAATGTGTCATCATGCCAAGGATGCCCCCTCATGCAGCCAAAATTTATGATGTTATAATATTTAGTTCCAAATTTGTTTGCACAAATTACTTTTTTCATTTTAAGTTCAAAGTCCTTAAAACTTTTCAGTGTTAACACAAACCATTTCCATACAATGTTCAAGGCACTGAAATTATTCAGTCTTAACCTTTTGAAAATAGCATATTTCATATTTGTAGCCAAAATAATGGCTAAGTTACTAAGTAATGAACTAATGATAATGAATAATAGGAAACTGATGATGACGGAATGACAAAATGATGGAAGGACAGAATGACGGAAGGACGGAACAGGGTAACACTATATGCCCCGGCCATTACATGGTGGGGGCATAAAAACCATTTACACAAGAAACTTTTTGGTTGTTTTTTTTGCAATAGTGGGGGTGGACCAAGAAGAATGTTTAATCCTCTGACTAAGAAATTTGTTAAGATTAAAAGACTTTATTTAAGTGAAAGCGCTTCAATGATATCCTGGCCTTGAAGGACTACCACATCCTGGTTGGCAAAATCTGATTTTGACTCACTTGTCTGTTTTCATCTGATGAATTTCTAAACTTAGTTGTCTGTATGATATATAATATTTTATACACAGAAAAATGATCACATGAAAAATTAGCATGCAGAAGCAAGGTCTTGAACCAAAGGATAAGCTCAATTAACATGAAGAAAATGCAACAGCCACTATTGTGTGGTGGTTAGTACACTGGACTTGAGCAATCCAAACACCCATGGTTGAGTCCCGCTGCTGTATACATGTGACATGAACAACTGATTTTGCCACTCCTGCCGCATAATCATTGGTTCTGAATTGGTCAAAATTTTTATAATTATTGAAATAACAGTCAATGGTATTCCATACCGTTGTTATGTTGTTTCTTTTGCATACATTTCTGATAAAACAAATATAATTCAGAAAAAATGATAAAAGCTAGTAATGCATTTCAGTTGTTGTCTCAGTAGCATAATTATTTTACATACATATCTTTTATAAAAGGACTAAATATGCAATAATATATTTTATCATAAATAAGTAACAGTATCATATAACTAACAAGTTCCGAAAGAAACTCTTGTTCTTGATTAGTCAAGTATTTCATGTGTCACTGCATAATAAGACCTTGACCTTATGATCACAAAATTAATAGGGGTCTCCTACATGTCAATATAAGCAATGTCCCATGTCAATATAGGCAATGTCCTCTCATTTTCATAAACTTAGGCATATTAGCTCTCATGTTATTGAAAAGCTGAAGAACTTACACACTGCTACCATTACCTTGACCTTTGACCTAATGACCTACAAATCTATAGGGGACATTTACTAGTCATGCCCTATCTATGCACTAAATCTTAGGACTGTAGGCTAAAGTGTATTCTTGAAATTGTTCAGACAAGCTTTAAATAGTCAATGCTAGGAATGTGACCTTGACCTTTGACCTACTGACCAAAAAAAGAATATTTTTAATCTACTGGCTGTTGACAATGTCCCAAACAAGTATCATTAACCACAGATAATTCCTTGAAAGAACAGTTGACATACATTACTTAAATAAAAAACAGATAGATATATATATACAGAACAAGAGATGGCCAAACCACATCCAAGTAAGCACCATTGACCAAGATTTTAGTAATTTTCATACATCTTTTTCTGTTTCAATCTTATGAATTTTTGAGTAATAATACTGTCAAATGCTATATAATTTTACAGTGTTTCATCACACAAGTTTCTTTCTCTGTTAGCAAAGGTGAATTCATTATTCAAGATCGAATATATCTTGAAGTGAGGACACAAAGCTGTTTCTAAGCAAGAACAAACTTAAATATATGTAGACTGATGGAAAACTGTCTTTACAAATCCAATTGGGTAAAAATATATTTTAGTCTTTACAATACAGTAAATCTATAACATGAAATTTGAATGTTCAATAATAGGGTAGGGGTTTACACCTGTGTTGTTAAAATGTATTTCACTACAGTCAACCGGCACTGCAATAAGTTGTTTCCTATAAAAAAAGTATACTGACATGTTAAGACTTAAGTACAGCAATGACCACGGTCAAAGTGGCATGGAAAGTAGTTTTTGTTGTTGTCATTGACTTATCTAGTCATATAAATGGTGTAATGGTTGAGAAAAAAAGAATCCCTACTGATGCATTACCTCAGCCACATGCTCTAGCGAGAAAGCTATATATAGAATGTTTTTGTTTTTTCCCTTTGAAGTGAAGTTTGATAAATCAATTTCATTAATTTTGACCAAAAAATACTAATACATTTTCCTAAAGATATTCTATGTATTCTTAGGTGGCCATATATGGATTCATTACCCTTACCATTTTACAGTGCTAGTTTGATACACTATAATTTTATTTCCTTATGATCCAAGCGTTCTATGATAATGAAATTTTGCAGATACATTGAATTTTAACTTTGATGTATAAATATATATAACTGTTTTCTTTATTAACTGACATTTGTTGAGACTTTCTGACTGTTGACTCTAGGACAGGGACAAATTTAGGACACCAGACGATAAAGGTTCATTGTAAGTATATAAGTTACTCAATAGAATATACAGGCTATACACTATATCTAATAAAAAAATAAACATTTAAAAAGTTATGAAAGAAAATACTATTCAAACAAGTCTTGTTTGTCACCCTTACACAGATCAAGAAAAGTTACGTGTTAAAGGAACTATGAAAATGTAAATTCTAAATTTGTTACCTGGCCTTTCATACATGCGCTCTCCTATTTGCGACCCTTTCACAGACTCCGCTGTAGTTCCACCAACCACTTCACTAAAGCTGAACTTGGAATTGTACTTCAACCAAACATACCTTCGTCCATTCTGATCAGTGGACACCTCAAAGTCATTTTTTGTCATCAGTCTTAAAAAATCTTTTCCGCGATTACAAATGAACATGCAAACGTCAAAGAAAACCTTGTTTTGCAATGTCTCCGGCTGATCGAGATTCATAGCGTCACTCAGATATATTTGTCGCAGCTCATTTGTTTCAAAAGTGAAAGTTCGTTGCCTTGAATGTTTTTTCATGACAGTATTTTTAACACCTGTATCTTTAACAATATTATTCTCATCAATAATTCTGTTACAGTCAGTAAAATCGTTGCCAACTGTTATATCCACGTCTATTGCCTTTTTAAAGTATTCACTAAGGTCTGCTCTGATTCGCTGCAAATTGGCAACACCGGAGGCACCATCTTCATCAGTTTGGTTTCTAAGTTGAAGGTAGAATTCTTTCAGGAAAACACCCAGTTCAGAAGGACTAAGGGAAATCACGTACTGAAAATCCTTCTCCCCCTTTCTGGCAAAATCTCTAAGACAGATGACAGCCCTCCTAACACCTTCGTCCAAGTTTTCCCATGTGTTGTCAGCCTCCCTTTCCGTCGGATTCTGAGACGACATGGTTTTTCTGAGACCAAATTTTCACGCACCTGAAAGCTTTCTGTTTGACATGTTGTTGCAGTATAGCTGTGACGTCACGTAGACCTTGTGACAATAATCGGGTCATGGGGGAGTCAGGATAGTTAAAAATCCAATAACCGGAAGTGTTTCCATTTATGCAATATTGCAGAATTTCATTGAAGACTGCAAAAATATTGCCGAGAAAACATATAACGTTTAAATAATTGTATATCGATGAAATGATTGTAAAATTATCAGATGAAAGTCAAAATATCAATATTGGAAAACACAAATCATGTCAGGTTACCTCTTTCAAAGTGAGTATGGCCTTTGTATACAAAGCGCCATACACACCGGGAGTATGACGTCACCCTTCAACTAAATATCGTTATCGTCTCTATTTAAAAATGTTATCATTTTATACTTGCTCTAGTTCTCTTTTGTAAAAAATATTTAAAGTTTTGCTGTAAGATTAATTTTAGCTGGCCAAATCGTATTTGACACATAAATATAGATTAAGATAGATATATATAGGCCTGCCTACTTAGCATAACGTTGTACACAGCTGGTTACATATTTTCTAAGAATTTTGTTTCTTTTTATCTTTGAATAGTTATCGGACACAAAATATTAGATTAAATAAAAAATTGACAGGATCCTCTTGGCATAGCCTATAGATGTTACTTATGTAGTAAATGCATTTATTTGCTTAATATAGATCTATGTCTCAGCTTAACTAGGCTAAACTTTTTAGTGTTGGAAACCAATAGAACTGCATTATTTCAAATGAAACGTAACACATTTCCTTTGGTAAATCGACAAACTGTTAATCATTTTAATAAGTCGACTGTTTATAGAAATAATTTAAAACACTTAAGCCGGTTAAAATTTATCTATACTGTATAGTACGTGTATTTACTAAATTAAATTGGTCGCGGGGCTTACCAATAATTCTGTAAATTATACGTACTAATAAACTTTAACCTATACATAAAACATAATCCAAGGGTGCACCTGATAAAAAGACACACGGAAAATTGGGATTTACAGTCGATCTCTATTGCAATAGTTCTAATTAGTATAAAGTTTCTTCCACTTTACATTTGTATACATTTACGATTCTAAATCTACGTCTGGCACGTGACCATTTCTATGTGTTTCCGTTATGTTTATGATGATATTACTTGGTTTATTGTGGACATAATAATTGCACGTTTTTAGCATTTGCATTTGATTTAATAATGTACCTATTTTTCTCTAGTTTTATCAGGGACTTTTATTACTAGACCTAGTTTAATTTAAGGCTACATATTGTAAATAAGACATGTAACATTCATAAAATAAAGTGTTTATACTTTTTACTATTATTATCAAGCAGCTGTGCGCATACTTGTAAGGAAATCATTGCCAAACAGTTAAAACCCTACTTAAAATAGCAGCATCATAGTTTGTTCCGGACCATTTTATTCTGTTTATGAACAATATTTATGTGTGTTAAATAACAGGCACATTCTATCGATATATGTAGCAACTATTTCGAGAATCGACCATAATCGACCATAATACATGTATAACCCGTTCATAATTATTTAGTATAAAAAATATTTCATTAGATAAATATAACTGTTATGTCTAGCCCTTTTGAATATTCAGTAATATTTCCACATTGCAAAACTACCATGGCAGGGTTTATACTGTTGATATCTATAAAGTTTTTCTTCAAATAATTTTTATTAATCAAAATTGCAGTCTTATAACGCTGGTCATATCATATATAATTTCAGGAACAATGCCCAAAAAAGAGGCGCATATTTCTGACCATGCATCGACTTTAAAAAATATTTCTACAACATCTAGTATCTTTTTGTATTCTTCGAGTGTGCGACCTCAAAGAATATGATATCAATTGAATACGATCTGTTAGTTTTAAAATTGACTTAATTTTACGGGAATTTAATATGCGGTACCTTTCCCACGCTCTTATGGAAAATATAGGTATATACAGGGTAGTTTTAGCCCTTGATAATATGAAGTTGTGATACAGTTTTAGTTTCTTATGAGCGAGTACTCAACTGTCCAATTTATATATCGGACTAGGTACATGTACGTTTTGTAGCTTTGTACAAATCCAGTAGAATCGAATAAATACTGTATATTTCAAAAAAAAAAAAAAAAAAAAAAATGACCTTAATATATCACCACCATTTTCTATCTGCATTTTGAAAGAACTTTCATGCTTGTAGCACTGCTTAACCCTTACCATGCTTGTAGCACTGCTGAATCCTTACCATACTTTGTCACTGCTTAACCCTTGCCATTCTTGTTGCACTGCTTAACCATTACTATATACTGGTCGCATTTCTGCACCCTTACAATACCTTTGTAGCAATGCTTAACCCTTAACCCAAAGACTTATACTTGTTAGATGCCAGGGAACCAGACTATTGTAGCACTGCTTATCCATAACCACGCTTTTGTAGCAATCTTAACCATTACCATGTTTGTAGTACTGCTTAACCCTTACCATACTTGTAGTAATGCTTAACCCTTACCATGCTTGTAGTACTGCTAAAACTTTACCAAGCTAGCACTGATAACCCCAAACCTGCTTGAAGCATTGCTTCATCATGTTTTTTGTGCTAAACAATTACCATGCTTTTGTAGCACTGCATGACAATTACCATGCTTGTAGTACTGTTTAACCCTTACCATACTTTGTCACTGCTTAACCCTTACAATTCTTGTTGCACTACTAAACCATTACTATACTTGTCGCATTTCTGCACTTTACAATACCTTTGTAGCAATGCTTAACCCTTACCATGCTTGTAGCACTGCTTAACCATTACCATTCTTGTCGCACTGCCTATCCCTTACCATGCTTGTAGCACTGCTGCACCCTTACAATACCTTTGTAACACTGTTTAACCCTTACACTGCTTAATTAACCCTTACCATGATTGTAGCACTGCTTATCACTCACCATTTTGTAGCACTGCTTTTCTGTTACCATGATAGTAGCATTGCTTGATTCTTACCATGCTTGTACTACCATACTTATAGCACTGCTTAACCTTTATCATTCTTGTAGCACTGCTTAACTCCTTCCTGTTTATAGGACAGTTTAACCATTACCATACATGCCGCACTGCTTAATCATTACCATGTTTGTAACTGGGCTTAGCCCTTACCATACTTGTAGCACTGCTTAACCCTTACCATGCTTGTAGCACTGCATAAGCCTTACCATATTTGTAGACCTGCTGAACTTTTACCATGCTTGTAGAACTGCTTAACCCTTACCATGCTTGTAGAAATGCTTAACCCTTACCTGTCGATGATGATGCTTGTAGCACTGCTTAACCAAAAATATGCTTGTAGCATTGCATACCCATTACCTTGCTTTGAATACTGCTTAACCCTTACCATGCGTGTAGCACTGTTTAACCCTAACCATACTTGTAGCAATGCTTAACCATTATGATACTTGTAATACTGCTTAACCCCAAACATGCTTGTAGCACCTCATAACGCTTATCCTGCTAGTAGTACTGCATACTTTAACCATGTTTGTAGCACTGTTTAACCCTTACCATTTATGTAGCACTGCTAAACCATTACCATGCTTGTAGAACTGTTTAACATTTACCATATTTGTAGCACTGCTTTACCCAAAACATGCTTGTAGCACTGCATAACCTTTACGATGCTTGCAGTACTGCTTTACCGTAACCATGCTTGTAGCACTGCTTAACACTTACCATTATTGTAGCACTGCTTAACCATCATGATACATCTAGCACAGCGTATCCCTAACCATGCTTTTGTACACTGTTTAACCTTAACCATGCTTGTAGTACTGCTGATACCTTACCATTCTTGTAACACTGCATGACCCGTACCATGATTGTAGCACAGCTTAACCCTAACTATACTTGTAGCACTGTTTAACCCTTACCATGATTGTAGCACTGCTTAACTCTTAGAATGCTTTTGTATTACTGCTTAACCCTTACCATGTGTGTAGTACTGCTTAAGCCTTGCCATGCAGTTGTAGCACTGCTTTACCCTAACCATGTTTGTAGTACTGCTTTATTATTACCATGCTTGTAACACTTATTAACCCTTACCATACTTGTAGCACTGCTTAACCCTTACCATACTTGTAGCACTGCTTAACCCTCATCATTTTCGTAGCACTTCTTAACTGTTACCATGATTGTAGCATTGCTTAATTCTTACCATGCTTGTACTACCATACTGCTAAGCCTTTACCATTCTTGTAGCTCTGCTTAACATCTTCCTGCTTGTAGGACAGCTTAACCATTACCATACATGCCACACTGCTTAATCATTACCATGTTTTTGTAACACGGATTTACCCTTACCATACTTGTAGCACTGCTTAACCCTTAAGCTTACCATGCTTGTAGCAGTGCATAAGCCTTACCATGTTTGTAGCACTGCTGAACCTTCACTATGCTTGTAGCACTGCTTAACCCTTACCATGCTTGTAGCACGTACTGCTTAACCCTTACCATGCTTGTAGCACTGCTAACCATTACAGTGCCTGCAGTACTGCTCTGCTCTTACCATGCTTTTGTAACACTGCTTAACCCTTACCTTGCTTGTAGCACTGCTTAACCCTCACCATGCTTGAAGTAGCGCTGAACCATTACCATGCTTGTAGCACTACTTAACACTTACCATGCTCGTTGCACTGCTTGACTCTTACCATGCTTTTATGCTTAACCATTACAATGCTTGAAGCACAGCTTAACCCTTACTTTACTTGTAGCACTGCTGAAGCCTTATTTTGCTTGTGGCACGGCTGAATCATTTTCATGCTTGTAGCACTGCTTGACCCTTTCCATGCGTGTAGAACTGCTGAACCATCACCGTGTTTGTAGCGCCCCTTAATCCTTACCATGCTTGTAGCACTGCTGAACCATTACCATGCTTGCTGCACTGATTGACCCTTACCATGCTTTTGTGCTTAACCCTTACCAATTTTGTAGCACTGCTTAACAATTACTATGCCTGTAGCACTGATTTAATCAGACCATGCTTGTCCTTCCATACTCATAGCATTGTTAAGGATTACCATTCTTGTAGAACTGTTTAACCCCTTAACATGCTTGTAGCACTGCTTTACCTTACTATGCTTGTAGCACTGCTTTATCTTACCATGCTTGTAGCACTGCTTAACTGCTTCCTACTTATAGGACAGCTTAACCTTTGCCATACATGTTGCATTGCTTTATCATTTCCATGTTTTTTAACACGGATTTACCCTTACCATACTTGTAGCACTGCTTAACCCTAACCATGCTTGTAGCACTGCATAAGCCTTACCATATTTGTAGCACTGCTGAACCATTACCATTTTTGTAGCACTGCTTAACCCTTACCATGCTTGTAGCACTGCTTCACCCTTACCATGCTTGTAGCACTGCTAACAATTAAAGTGTTTGTAGTATTGCTTAACCCTTACTATGCTTGTAGCACTGATTGATCTTTACCATGTTTGTAGGACTTCTTAACCCTTACCATTCTTGTAGCACTGCTCAACCATTACCATGTTTGTAGGTCTGCTTAATGTTTACCATATTTGTAGCACTGCTTAACCCAAAATATGCTTGTAGCACTGCATAATCTTTACAATGCTTGTAGTACTGCTTTACCATAACCATGCTTGTAGCACTGCTTAACACTTACCATACTTGTAGCACTGCTTAACCAGTAAGATACATGTACCACAGCTTAACCCTTACCATGCTTTTGTAGCACTGTTTAACCTTTACCATGCTTGTAGTACTGCTGATACCTTACCATGCATGTAGCACTGCATAACCAATACCTGAGTAGCACTGCTTAACCTTAACTATACTTGTAGGGCTGTTTCACGCTTACCATGATTGTAGCACGGCTTAACTATTAGCATTCTTTTGTAGTACTGCTTAACCCTTACCATGTGTGTAGTACTGGATAACCCTTGCCATGCATTTGTAGCACTGCTTTACCCTTACAATGTTTGTATGCTGCCTAATTCTTACCATGCTTGTAACAGTACTTAACCTTTACCAGTTTTGTAGCACTGCTTAACCCTTACCAGTTTTGTAGCACTGCTTAAGCCTTAATATTTTTGTAGCACTGCTTAACTGTTACCATGATTGTAGCATTGCTTAATTCTTACCATGCTTGTACTACCATACTTACAGCACTGCTTAACCTTTCCGTTCTTGTAGCACTGCTTTACTCCTTCCTGCTTGTAGAACAGCTTAACCATTACCATACATGCTGCATTGCTAAATCATTACCATGTTTTTAACATTGCTTTACCCTTACCATACTTGTAGCACTGCTATACCAGTACCATGCTTGTAGCACTGCATAAGCCTTACAATATTTGTAGCACTGCTGAACCATTACCATGCTTGTAGCACTGCTGAACCATAACCATGCTTGTAGTACTGCTTTACCCTCACTATGCTTGTAGCACTGATTGACCTTTAGCATGCTTGTAGCACTGCTTAACCATTACAGTGCTTGTAGTCAACTTAACTCTTACATGCTTTTGCAACACTGCTTTACTCTACCATGCTTGTTATACTGCTTAGCCCTTACCATTCTTGTAGCACTTATTAAACCTTACCATACTTGTAGCACTGCTGAACCATTACCATGCTTGTAGCATTGCTTGACCCTTTCCATGCTTGTATCACTGCTGAACCATACTATGCTTGTAGCACTGCTTGACCCTTAATAACCATGCTTTTGTAGCACTGCTTAACCCTTACGATAATTGTAGTACTGCTTAACCCTTTCCATGCTTGTAGTACTGCTTAACCCTTACCATGCTTGTAGCATTGCAGAACCATTACCATGCTTGTTGCACTGCTTGACCCTTAAAATGCTTTTGTGCTTAACCCTTACCAATTTTGAAGCACTGCTTAAACCTTACCATACGTGTAGCACTGTTTAACCCTAACCATATTTGTAGCTCTTATGTATTCCAATCTGGGTGCAAAACTATTCATGATTTTAGAGAAAAACTTAAAATATGTTTTTCTGATTGAATAGCAAACTGTACAGACCATGAGCAGATGGCAATGATTTGCTGGCTACTTTTCGTCTGCACTGGTTGCATGTGTACATTTTTTCACAGTCTGCAGGCAAGAGTTTTCAGTACTTAATAAGGCTAGCACTGGTATTGGGCTGTACAATACTGTTCCAATGGCTATAACTCTCAAATAATAAACCATAGTTTTAAAGCTGTGAATAAACACACTTCTTAAATATATAATAGGTACCAAAAAACAATACCTCAAAAAAGTAAACAGGTTCTAAAATTTAATGGCAAGACAAGTTTAACGTTTGTATGGAAATTTCACAATCAATTATAATCAAGAATAAACTTATCAAAAAATATTTTTTATGCTAAATGTGACAAAAGACTTATACATGTAATTATCTTTACTGTCACACATACAAGGAACTTCTTCTGCCAAATTATTCTTCCTGGCATTTTTTTCTTACAAACCTATAGTGATCTTAGCTGCAGATGATTTATTCTCCACATTACAAAATTCACTCACTAAACTTATATCATGTGATATTAAAGTGTATAAAGCTGTATCAAATGCAAAAGTTTTACAAAATTGTAAAATTATGTGGTTTCTATAACCTTATGAGCGAGCCATTATCAAAGGGGTTTATTTATTATTTACCATACACTAGTACTGTACTACTGTATGTAAAAAGAATAAAATGTTCGAAAATAAAATATTATGCTGGTATTTGAGATAGGATTTTAATCATAAAGCAACAATTTTCCCCATGCACAATTCAGTCAAAATTTCTTTCATGCAAACATTCTGAAATTATTCTTCTTTAAAAAATTCAAACAATTAATTTGCTACAAGCAGGAGAGATACATCTTTATACACTTTAATAGTTACTTAAAATAGCTACTAAATAAGATTGTATACTAGAAAATAAGGTTAATATCATGACAGCCAGACAGCCTGGCTGAGTGGTTAGCACTAATCTAAGGATTGCTGGCTGCTTGGGTTCAAACCCCATCAAGGGTTAACGTGTTTTTACAATGTACAAGGAACTTTACACTCATTGCTTAGTACTAAATAGTTCCAGGAACAGATTTGAGAGTGTTTCAATAAGCTTACAGCTTTGAATACAATGGAACTGAAATAAATAAGTATAAACTAATACAAATTTCGGAACAGATTCAAGTGTATTTCAATAAGCGTATAGCTTCCTACACTATCAAACTTTAATAAATTAGTATAAACTAATATCAATCTGGGAATGAATTCGAGAGTGTTACGCTTTGAACAAAATCAGGCCATCCTTAAAAAAATGTTTGTTTGCAGTAACCCGACCCAGAATGTTCAAGGTGGGTAGGTAGGTCGATTTTTTTTTTTTTTTTTTTTTTTTTATTGAACTGTACTCCCAAATAAACATGGAATTTCAAAATGCTGGACAATATATGCTTTAATAATCTGGTAACAATTAATAAATTGATAACTGAATTCTAATTTAATAAGAACTACATTTTATTTCTTCTATTAACCTTTAAAAGAACGAAAACAAAGCACAGGGCATAATTTTCTGATTCAAAAAAAAAAAAAAATTATCCAGACCATGAAAAAACATTTGAGTAGGGGCAAATTTTGTGAGTCGGTCGCGTTACTGCAAACAAACATTTTTTTAAGGATGGCCTCAAACTTAAGGACATTAGTATAAAACTAATTGGCCGGATAATTGGCAGGATAAACAACTGAAAATGAGCATATACAACAAATCACAAAAAAATCTAGATAAAATATAATAACAGCAGTATATTCTTAATTAAAATCATAAACAAATAATTCATGAAAAAAGCACAAATCAACAAGAAAATGTGTTTGGCAATTACAAATGCTTCAAAAGGCAAATCTTATAATCATTGCCACCTAGAACTGTTTCATCGATTGATGAGGTCAAAAACACTGGAAATGGTTATTAAACATAATTACCATTTGAATTGGTCATAAAATTATGTGTGTGCTTTTTGTAGCTTGTGAAATACATTAAACTTGCAGAAAATTTGACAACAATCATTATAATATTATTTCATGATTTGTTCTACATTCAGAGAAGGGAGAATACTCCAGGGCACAATTGTTGTTAGCATATTATTCCAATTACAAGTTAAATGTTCATGCTGCACATCAAAGACGCCGCCAAATGATGTGAACAGTCAATCAGCATTGAAAAGTGTTCTCTATATTAAAGTTGAATCACCGAAGCACAAATAATTTTTTCTCCATGTTCTTGGTATGTGCTCGTTATTTGATAATAAAGTTGCAAATTTTTGTGAAAAAGTAGAACCTAATCCTAAATTCACACTAGAACTCCGCGAGTCGGATGTGTCGCCTTGTGAACAATATAGTTTAGGAGAAATGGCCAGGACAAAAATGATATTTGAAAATCAACAAAAGGCAATAGCTCAAAAAATAAGAAATGCAGAGCAGCAGTTTCTGTGCATTGCACTTCTTATCAATAAGATCTATCATCCTACTAAGTTTCAAGTCTAAAGCTTTTATAATTTAGGAGAAATGGCCTGGACAAAAATAAAGTTTGAAAATTAACAAGGGCAATAACTCAAAAATTAAAAATGCAGAGTACCAGTTCTTGTGCACTGCACTTCTACTTAATGAGATCTATCATCCTATGAAGTTTCATGTCCATAGCTTTTATACTTAAGGAGAAATGGCCTGGACAAAAATAAAGAATGAAAATAAGCAAAGGGCAATAACTCAAAAAATAAGAAATGCAGAGTACCAGTTCTTCTGCACTGCACTTCTCCTTAATGAGTTCTATCATCCTATAAAGTTTCAAGTCCATAGCTTTTATACTTGAGGAGAAATGGCCTGGACATAAATAAAGTATGAAAATTAACAAAGGGCAATAACTCAAAAAATAAGAAATGCAGAGTACCAGTTCTTGTGCACTGCACTTCTTCTTAATAAGATCTATTATCCTATGAAGTTTCAAGTCCATAGATTTGATACTTTAGGAGAAATGGCCCAGACAAAAATAAAGTATGAAAATTAACAAAGGGCAATAACCCAAAGAATAAGAAGTGCAGAGTACCGGTTCTTGTGCACTGCACTTCAGGTCATTGTAAGAAGCAAGCATACCAAGTTTGAAGTCAATCCGACTTATAATGACTGACTTATGCTCCGGACAAGCCGACGCCGACGACAAAAGTAACACCTATATGTCGCCTTTTTCAAGGCAGCACAAAAATAATGCCAGGTCTGAAATTCTTTAATGTATGTCTGTCACGACAAAGACTGAAATGTCTGGTCCAATCAAAATAAATTGGATAACAATTAAAATTGAAATGATTGGTAAACTTAAATCAAATTCAAGACAGTATGTGCTGAGAATATACCCATTTAAATATTGGTATGAATTGCATAATGTTCAAATAATTTTGAGGACAAACAGTTCTGCAGTGATCTCCCCTTACAGGCCGTAGCGTCACCGGTTTGTTGTTCTTTCTTAACAGTTGAGTGAGAACTGCCTCTCTGAAAGTGGGTGTGGTTTAGGCTTTGTTATTTGTAATTTAATGATTCGACAAGTGATATTGATCAAAGTTGTCCTGGTTCCCTTCTACACCATCAACGAGGACTAAATACTAGCATATGGAGCATAATATCAGATTTAATATGACAATTTAAGGTGGAGCCGAACTTCAACAGAGGCGAAGCAAATGAAGTAAGTGACACTGCTTCAGTTGTCACCCCTCTCAACGGTTATTCAAACATGGCACTATCACGTCAGTTAAATGTTTATTCTAATCCCTTAAAGCTCTGTGACATGTTGTACATCATAATAACTATTTTTATTAGAAACTTTCAAAACAGAGCGGATTTTGTTAAAACCAAAAATATAAACTTTTCCCCATTGCTGTATGGACAAATGCATATCTACTAGATGCCGCTTGCAAGCGGCGTTTAATAAAATAGTACAATGGGGAGATAACTGGGATAAAATAGATGTAACAGTTATATCACTTCAAAGGACATAGGCCTTATCCTTTATATGTAAGTACATGTATGTTTGTACATTTACATGCATTTGGTAAATGTTGAGGTGAAATTGTATCAAACTTGCCAAAACAGGTTTTTTTTAGAGCATAGCTATGTAACTTGACATGATATTACGTTTTGTCCTTCTATGCAATTACAATGTATCTAAAATTTGATGCCATTGGTACATGTAGAAGTTATAACAAATTTGCTGAAAATGACTAACCTTGACCATAGATTTGATTGGGGTTTTAAACATAGTAACATCACACCAACAAAGTATAGGTAATATGGCAATGTTTCAGCTTTACTGGTGAAGGAAGACCTCAGGTGCCCTGCTGTGCATTATTTCAGGCACAAACGGGCACAGGAGTAGAACCAACTTGACCCATGGGAATAGAGATTAAATCAAGATCAGTTATTGTATGCATCCCATCGAGTGCAAATGATTGTTGTTTCCTGGGACATAACATAATGGGACAGGCAACTGATGATTAGCGCCATGACATCTTTTTTTTAATCTATTTTATAATAACAACATTAATATATAATTTAAACAATACACTTATCTATTGATTGTCTGTCAACAGGACACCAACATAACACCACCAGGGTGTCTGTTTGATGCTTGAAATGACTCTTTGACCCTTCAAATTTCAAAAAGACCCAATTTGACCCTCAGGATTTTAACTGGAGGGTCAATTTTTTATTAAAATCATGGGGATATGACCTTGTATCTGGTCAAAATGACCCTCGGGATTTCATGGCTAGTGAACACCCTGAGTCCACTAATCTTGTCGAAAGTTGCTTGTCCAATAACATTTTGTCCCATTTTCAAATTTCAATATTAATTTGCACATATAAATATAATAATGAATATTTTAATGAATTGATGACCAAAAAGGTTATACATATTTTACATTGTTATTATTGTAAAACACCACAAACCATTACGAAACACAAACATTTCTTGGAAGAGGTTCATTAAGTTACGCTACATGATAAGTATCTAATACCTTGGCATTACAGTTTCAGAAATAACGTTAAAAGTTTTCCCTTACAAAGCTTACAAAGACCAATGTAAATGCAAATGAAACTCCTATGGCGAGATGAGTTTTGACTCTGGAGCGAAAAAAGTGTACATGCAAGAACATTGTAATCGACATCCTTCCATGGCTAGGATTTATTAAACAAGTGGCTGTTCCATACATCTTAGTCCTTGGATTTTGAAAGTCTTACAAATCAAATCTGGTAAAACATTACATTTGCCAATCAGGAAACATAGTTTATTTAGATCTAGATTTAAGGAATCAGCCCACGGCAAATATGAATACAAAATGTGGCAATATGCACTATAACAAAGCAAATGTCAGTCAAAAGATCAAAATTTCTGACCCAAAAAAACATTTAATTACAAATTAATCTCTTGTGTTGAACCATAACATTTTATAAACAATACATTTGATATTTAAAATAAACTGACCAATAATGTACATGTAATTATTACTTTACTAAAGAAAAAACATGAGCACTTTCAGCATTTTGACATTAATCCAATTGGAATTTGACAAAATAATAAATTCATGTAAATTGGGGTAAAAGCACTATAAAATCGTAAATAATTTAGAAATATCATAAATACAAACATTATGTTATGACTGACTATTTAAATCACAGCAGTTTACCAATAAGGCTGAAAGTGATAAGCCTTTGCAACCACTATAGAGCCTGTGTAGTCTAACCAGTCTTTTTACTGTTGGTATCTTAATATTTCTATATTGAGATTTCTTAAATTGAACTCCACTGAGGTCCAAAAGCTTAAAAACATAAAATTAAAATTTCTTACAAAGAACCACTGAAGCACTTATATCAGAGAGATATACAAAAGATATATAAGAAATATAAATTGAAAATTGTATTTGTGTGCTATTTTTGCATTGCAAGGCTTTTCAATTTTGGATCATTTTTCACAATTAGAATAATCACTCTGGAAAATGAAATCAGCAAATGATCTAAAATTTTGCACAAAAGTTATTGGTCGAACACTACTCAGTAGATCATTAATCTCGAAAAAAAATTATTTCTTGTCCTGTCATGTAAAAAAAACATCAGTGGAGTCCCTTTAAACTTAGAATGGACAATTCAAAATTTCAAAGCAGAGCAAATTCTATTACAGAATTTCATAGACCAATGGAGCCTTCCTTATTCGATTGGACAACAAACATCAAAGTACATTTCAAGCTTCAACCATTCAAATGAGATCAATATTTCATATTTACTACATTTTTATGATCACATTATTATCTCATATACCATCAAACCTGTATAAGACAGACAATATGTGGACAAAGTCAAATTGTTACATTATTTTGGCTCTTCTGAAGGCATGCCGCTTTAAACTTAAAATCACAATATACATGTGCTCCATAAGGCAAATTTTAAAATACATTCTCAAGGAAATTCAGGCATTTAAAATGCAAATTGCAAAAAAAAAACATAAAAAAAATTCTTCTTAAAATATTAGATATTTTTAAAGAAATTTATTTCTTTTATCACAAATAAAAAAATATTTATTGTCTTTTCTTACCTAAATAACAACAAAAAAAACATAATTAATAAAGTTGCAAATAAGAGATGAGACACGAAATTTACTAGTTCCAACAACTTAGTATACCCAGAATAAATATTGTTGGAAAAAGCGCAACAAATCATCAATGCTCCTCTGGAATCATTATTTCAAGATTCGGCACAGATTCTTTTATAAAATCATTTTTACATAAACTTCTATACTCCTTAAAATAAATATTTGAGATGTCACGCATTCTTGTTATTACATCAATAAAATTTGTCAATCGTTTGCTCCCTGCTGACTGACCGTAAACTTTACACAACTCCTTCAGCAAAAGCTCGACTAACCGAAGCTGAGTATCTTCAACAAGTTTCGAATTTTCCAGATTACACTGATCAGAGGACATAGTGACGATCGAAATTAGAAGTGCCATCTCTGATTTAGAAAGATTCAATTTTTGAAGTCTGCCCATCATGTCCACCATTAGAAACACAAACTCGCGAGTGAAAAACTTATTTGCTGCTTCTTCGATATGATACGGTGCTCCGTTTATTTCCAAGAAAACCCCATACTCGGGAAAATATCCTTGATGCAGAACTATGGTGTAAAAGTCAAAGTGAGTTGCTTTAAGCAGGCATGCTTGATCATCGTAACTTAAGCATTGAAATTCTGGTATACACTTTGCAAATGAACAATATTGACTGACAATACTCTCCCAGTCAAAGCTACATTTCTTAAGCAAGTCCCACTGTCCGTCCAAATCTATTCCAAATTTTTTCAGAAGTTCTTGATACTCTTGCATTGGAACATTCTTAAGTGATCCAAATGCCTCAACCCTAGATTTGTACTTTTCATAATGAGCGTTTGCAAGAGCTTTCCGTGCTTCTTCAGTGACTAGATTTTCTCCCCAGGGTTTGATATTCTCCATAGCTGAAACTAGGTATTGCACAAGTTTTTCATTATATTCGGTTTTGTTATCATTTGCAGGAGGCCCTTTTTGAGCAGTATAGATGTGTTTGGAGATGACATCAGCACAAATATCTACACTCTCCGTCTGATCCAACGGTGACTGAGTTTCAGATGACGAACATGTTTCATCATTTTGATTGGAACCAGGGCAAGGAGAGTCTAAACTAGAAGTTTCTGAATTATCATCATCTTTTCCTTCCAGTCTTCTTACCTTTTTTATTGTTTCAGTCCGCATAAGAGCCGTGTACCGACCCATTTTACACTTTTCCTTCGCCATACCCAGCTCTAAACATTTATCCAGTCTACAAGAAGAACAATTGTTTTTATTCTTCTTAAATGAAATTTCACAAGTTTTACCACTATGACATATAAAAGGCATATCAGACTTTCTCAAAAGGCATCGTCGAAAGAAGTTTTTACAAGCCTCACATGTGTTACAACCATAATGAAATCCCGAGGCCTCCCCATCACAAATAATACAAGGGGGAAACTTCAAAGTGTCGTGCTTCTTCATGGCACTTCGTTTTCCTGTCGTACTTTTAGTATTTAATGATACTGACTGAGAAGTTCCATCATTTAGTGTAGGTTTTTCTATAGAAATGGCACTTTTACTATAATTCATAGGTGAGAAAACTGTATTATTGCTAACATTAAATACAGATGGGCCACCATCAGGCAGATTATTATTCTGGTTTAAATTTTGGAGTCCTGGTATTGAGATCACTTTCGTTGTCGGTTGTTTTTCCTTCTGCATCATAAAGTAATATGGTGTCTCTGGTAGAGACACAATTTCTCCAGGTTTCACCATAGATAATAGTGTTGATTCAGGCATTATTACATACTTGACAGGCTGACTAGAGGCATCGAATGACGAGGAAGAAGTCTGAAGGACGGCTGTACTCAACAAACCATTTTGTGAAACACAAGAACCAGTCTGTCCAATATTAACATTCATAACTACATGACTGCCATTAACATCTGCCTGAGGTATACTTCTGGTCAAGTAAGAAGAGGTTTGCACAATTTCGGGCGTGGGAACATTGACATCAGGTTTATCCTTCCTGGCAAAACATGTGTCTTCAAACTGTATCTCAGTGTTACTATTAGTGAGCATTGCCTCAGCACGATTGGCATGAATATTATTATAATGTGCTTTAGTTTTAACACTTTCTTCAGCATTTCTGTCTCTCTTATCATCTAGAGAAACGAGTCCACCAGATTTCATTAGACACAGAGCTTCTACGGCAATTTCATATGAAGATTTATTAACATCTGCATCAGAATCTATGACCTCTGTTTCCATACCAATAGGTATCTGATTGTCTGTTACCCTTGCCTCCAAGGAGAGATCCAGTGCCTGGGGATATTGGGGGATTGAAGAAAAATTTGGCAGCTCATGGCTCAAGAAAGTAGGGAGGTTTGCTGTGCTGGATGACAAATCAGGGTTTACTACTGGTAACGACATCTTTGACAATTTTTCCAGCTTGCAATCTGTGTATTCAAGTCAAGTGAATCTATAATGAGAAAGAAGTTGAAATTTTTATCATTACATGAAATAAACAATAGTAACATGTTGTCTTAATAACCAGACAGTAGGTTATATAGCACTTCTTTAAAATTATCAGTTTTCATCCTTTGTGTCTAAACTTATTCCTCACTTTTTATTTTAGAAACTGCGTATGTCGAATAAATTAGAGGACAAAATTCACAGAATAAAGACTAAAGAGTTTTGACTCCATCAATATAACACACAACCATTTGTTTTAAAAAAAAAACAACAAGAGGGCCATGATGGCCCTAGATCGCTCACCTGATTTATCAAACTCATCCAAACAATTACCTAGACAAGCATTCTGACCAAGTCTCATGATAGGTGAGTCAAAAATGTGACCACTACAGTGTTAACAAGGATTATCCATATTTGAGCAGTGCGACCTAGTTTTTTTACCCAGGTGACACATATTCAAACTTGACCTAGAAATCATCAAAACAAACTTTCAGACCAATTTCCAGGATACTTGGATCAAAACAGTAACAACTAGAGTGTTAACAAGATTTTTCTATTTTTAGCTCCGGTGACCTAGTTTCACATGTGATTTCGAACTCATCCAAGCAATTACCAGGACAAGCATCCTGACCAAGTTTGATGATAATTGAGTCGAAAATGTGACCACTAGAATGTTAACAAGGTTTTTCCATATTTGGGCGATGTGACCTAGTTTTTCATCCAAGATGACCCATGTTCGATCTTGACTTAGAAATCATCAAAACAAACTTTCAGACCAATTAACAGAATATTTGGATCACAACAGTAGCCACTAGAGTGTTAACAAGATTTTTCTATTTTTAGCTCCTGTGACCTACATGTAGTTTTTCATCCGAGATGTCCCATGTTCAATTTATTCCCAGCAATGACCTAGACAAGTTTCCTGACCAAGTTTGATGACAATTGAGTCAAAATTGTGACCACTAGAGTGTTAACAAGGTTTTTCTATTTTTAGCTCCTGTGACCTAGTTTTTCATCCGAGATGACCCATGTTCGAACTCATCCGAGCTATCACCTAGACAAGCATCTTGATCAAGTTTGATGATGATTGATGCAAAAATGTGACCGCTAGAGTGTAAACAAGGTTTTTCTATTTTTAGCTCCAGTGACCTACTTTTTCATCCGAGATGACCCATGTTCAAATTCATCCGAGTTATCACCTAGACAAACATCTTGACCAAGTTTGATGATGACTGATGCAAAAATGTGACCACTAGAGTGTTAACAAGGTTTTTCTATTTTTAGCTCCGGTGACCTACTTTTTCAACCGAGATGACCCATGTTCGAACTCATCCGAGCTATCACCTAGACAAGCATCTTGACCAAGTTTGATGATGATTGAGGCAAAAATGTGACCGCTAGAGTGTTAACAAGGTTTTTCTATTTTTAGCTCCGGTGACCTACTTTTTCATCCGAGATGACCCATGTTCGAACTCATTCAAGCTATCAACTAGATAAGCATCCTGACCAATTTTGACGATGATTGATGCAAAAATGTGACCGCTAGAGTGTTAACAAGGTTTTTCTATTTATAGCTCCGGTGACCTAGTTTTTCATCTGAGATGACCCATATTCGAACTCATCCGAGCTATTATCTAAACAAGCATCCTGACAAAGTTTGATGATGATTGGGTCAAAAATGTGACCACTAGAGTGTTAACAAGGTTTTTTCTATTTTTAGCTCCTGTGACATTAAATACTTTGAAGTCAAAAAATGTGTTGAAGTTTATACTGTGATGAAGATAAGATCCAAAGCTTTCTATTGGTGTAATACATTTTTAAGTCAGACATTTAATCACAACAGCAGTTTAAAAACGGCTTATTTTGTATTGTTTTAGCATAAGCGGTATCAATTTTACTCAAAGATAAGGGAAGCAACTCATATTTTTTCCCTCGATATACCTCGGTTATTTACGTCGATCATATATTTAAGTGTTTATGGGTGAATTCAGGTAATTTTGATACCCTCCTTCACAGGCCTCAAATATAAGTGTCAACATAATCAGAAATAAACAAACTAGTTCGATAGTTCGGAGAAGAACCTTGCTGCACTGTGTTAAATTTTCAGATCTCTAGCCTTATAAAATCTGTATGGAAAAATGTTCAAAAAGCGTCCGGTTGGTGGTCCCCGACCAGTACCAGTATCCCAACACTGTGTCGAGTCCCTGTGATTCAAATTGTTAATTAAAATATTTAATCACTATTACCTAGCTTTAACTTAAATCAATTTTCATGTGTATTAATGAAAGTCAACAAAGGAAGTTACGTCAAACAACTGACATAATTATAAAATACGCACACACTTTAGGGGGCAGGGGACCTAAAAAAATGAAAAATTTTGTATTTCAGTGTGACCAGAAACACAATTCCAAATATTTCAAAATCTGTTTCACAGGCAGATAACCAGTTGCACAGCATTATTCAATGATATATGACATACATTGAAGAAAATAATAGTTTGCATGCATTGCTCCTTCAAAAAATGACTGACAGCAATTTATATTTACCCCCACCCAGCCAAAATCACACCTAAAATATACCAATATGGGCAATCTTCATGAAGGTGCAGCATACTCCAGAATCCGCCCGATTCCTTTAAAAATATCAGTAACACGCAGTGAAAGCTATGGCATTTTCAGAAATGACAAATAAAGTGTCTGTCATACGTTTAGATTTTTCACAAAATTTATCTGAAATTTCTTACTTGTTTGGCGCCAACTGTCAAAGCTTGATTTTTAACTTTTTCACCTCCATTCGGAGAGTCAGAAATACATACAAAGCTACCAAAATGCTTAGTTTCGGGTAAAAACCCAAAAATATATCTCATTTCCTACACACAAACAAGAAAGAATTACAATGACAGAGAAATATCAGAAGTTATCAGTAACTTCAAAACACCATGTCTGAGTTATTAAAAAATTTGACCGGGGCCATCATACGAATATGTCCCCTGCCCCCTTAAGATTTTTTATGTGATCCGCATTAAAGCGTTTCCTTTTATTTTCTTAAAATATGGAGTATTTCGCATTAAACGTTAACTTCGAAAAGTGAATACTGCGGTTACTTTGTATTTAATCAAATATTTAAAAAAGACCCTATTTCAGGGGAAGTAACTAGTACAATGACCATGCCTGTTATATGATTTACTTAATATCAAGAGCCAGGAACCTGGGAGATGGTTATTTTTCTGTATTCCACCTTCATTTAAATACCATAAAGTATTTTCAGAGTATTTAAAGTCTTTTGGAAGGAGATTATAGCAAGAAAAACAATATTACAGCCACATTTAATGTCCCAAAATGAATTTTACAGGAAACCAGACCCCATTTATTCTGGCATACACCTGAAAGTGCAGTAAAGATACCACTGTTGACTTATATGACATTATATACATTTGTAACAATTAAAAGTGCTCAATTATGCATTATTATGTCAATTTGCACAATATAAAACTGTTAAATCTGGATAAATGTGCACATTCTGTGAAGTACAGTGTTTGCCAAATTTCCAAATTTTTATTACCTCCCTTGACTTTACAGGCTACTTACTCTACATAACTTGATAAATCCTACCAGTCACTTCAAATTTTGACTAACAAATGTAGAAGGAATGTTTATGGGCACATTTGGGTCAATTCCAACACATTTTATAAATTTGAAAATTTCCTTAAGGGGGCAGGGGACCTAAAAATGAAAAATTTTGTATTTCAGTGTGACCAGAAACACAATTCCAAATATTTCAAAATCTGTTTCACAGGCAGATAACCAGTTGCACAGCATTATTCAATGATATATGACATACATTGAAGAAAATAATAGTTTGCATGCATTGCTCCTTCAAAAAATGACTGACAGCAATTTATATTTACCCCCACCCAGCCAAAATCACACCTAAAAAAATACCAATATGGGCAATCTTCATGAAGGTGCAGCATACTCCAGAATCCGCCCGATTCCTTTAAAAATATCAGTAACACGCAGTGCAAGCTATAGCATTTTCAGAAATGACAAATAAAGTGTCTGTCATACGTTTAGATTTTTCACAAAATTTATCTGAAATTTCTTACTTGTTTGGCGCCAACTGTCAAAGCTTGATTTTTAACTTTTTCACCTCCATTCGGAGAGTCAGAAATACATACAAAGCTACCAAAATGCTTAGTTTCGGGTAAAAACCCAAAAATATATCTCATTTCCTACACACAAACAAGAAAGAATTACAATGACAGAGAAATATCAGAAGTTATCAGTACCTTCAAAACACCATGTCTGAGTTATTAAAAAATTTGACCGGGGCCATCATACGAATATGTCCCCTGCCCCCTAACAGAATTCGTTACGCTTCACTTGGTTCAATATCTAGGACACCATGGTCATGACGGGGTCATTTATTAGTTTATTCTTATTTATAAAACAAAATGGCAATTTCTTCCAATTCCAATGAGTAAAAAGACAACATATGAAATAAACATAGTATTTAAACGAAGTTAAACAATGAAACATAACTTCAAAGACAAAAAAGGCTGAACAAAGACGAAAAAGGTCACCATTAAATGAGTCGAATGTTTAACAGTTTCGCCAAATACTATGGTTATTTCATGTTAAAAATCATCATTTCTGACGATAAAAAATAAAGAAAAACATTATTATAGCTCTACCTAATCATTTTTCAAGTTGACGGCGCCGTACATCTACTGACACACCAAAAATATTGTAACCATGTCATGATCCGCCATGTTCCTTTTAAAATTGATTACTTGACGACACTATCAGTGTATGTTTATGTCTCGGCACAAACATCTTCAACTGCGTCTCTCTCTGGACTAGTTATTTTGGCCTTATTTCCGTTGGTTATAAAGACAAAAGTGTTAGTCGCATTGACTTGACGTAAAATATGTTTAATCATGTTATTCATGCTAATATAATATCCATATATTACAATATATATATACCTGTAGATCTATATATAAAAAATATTTTTTAAATTTTTTTTTATTTTTAATATTATAAAGCATCACAGCTTCTCCTGATAGCATGAATAACAAGATTAAACATATTTCAAGGCAAAGAACACTGTTGTGTAAAGAAGTGGCTTTTCCCCATACATAGAAGCTTTCCCATTTGTAACATAATGTGTACAAGAGAGTCACTGTTGCCCTGAATTGCTCCTCTAAAATTGCAAAAAGTGGCACAAGTGGCATACATCAGCTTTAGTTACAGCCATGGTGGTACAGTTTTAAAGACAAAACTATGTGCCCCTATTTGGTTTCTTTATGTCTTTGTAGAGCAAGGATGCACCTAAATCTGTCAAAACAATATACAAATGTATTACCTTATCATCAGAGATTAATTAAACATATAAAGACTATTTTAGAAGAGCAACATCTTTACATTGACATCATATTCATTCTCTTTTTTTTACTAGAGCATATTTCCACATCATTTATTGCCCAGTCTGGCTGACATGTCCTTTATTCCAAAACACAATGAAATTCTTTAATTTCAAACATGTAAATGTTTTTATTTTGCATTTTTTTGCTTACAAAACTAAAATTAATGTTCATGTATAAATAACATTCTTATGAAAGAAAATAATAAAGACTTGAGTATCAGTCATCATTCATATGTGATACTAATGGGCAAATAAGGTAGCATTAAGGAGTTTTCATAGAACTGTTCCTAATTTAAAACAAAACAAACAAAAAAACTGATTGAGTTACTTAAAAATTCCATGTTGTATGGGTGATCATAATATTGCAATATTGCACATACAAAGGAATTTTTTAAATAACTCATTTGCTGTAAGAGTGCAGGGTTGTAACTGGAGCAGCATATTTGCACTTCTATTGATGAATTGTCTCTCTTTGATTGCAGGTACTTCATTAAATAGTTGCCCAAGAGTTCGCTAATAGGTATACCTTCTCTTCCACCTCATTTTTTCACTAAAGCTTTTGAAATATAATGATTTGAGATTTAGAGTACTTCTGGTAATAGTGACTGACTATCCAATATTATGATGTTAATGCTTGTCTGCAAAAAATTCTAAGTTAAAAAGGGGCATAAGTCCAAAAATTTTGCTTTCAGAATTATGCTCCTTGACTAACAACTGCACCTTGTCATGATAAGCAAGTATTCCAAGTTTAATATTGATACCCTTTGAAATGATAGAATAAATGAGCTACATTAAAGATTTTGCACAACAACAACATCACAGCGATCAAAATAGCTTGACTTTGTTGAAACAGATGAGCTTAAAAGAACCCAACATTTGATACTATTTCAAAATACATGTAATAACTTGCATTAACATTGTCTCAAAAATATTATACCTTTTAAACGTCTTGCAACACTCTAATTTATATCATTCTATATGAATAGATAACTTTGTGAAATACCTTTCAACTTTATTTTGATTTTTTTTGAAAACATGCAACAATTCTGGTAGAAGAGTCTATAATTTCAATACTGACTAGGATTAACAATATTCATAGCAACTGTAAGAATGTTAAGACCTTGAGAAAGTTCTGAGGCTTCCCTAGAGCTGTTGCCATGGTAACTGTCACTATTATCATTTAACTCATAATCTGTATGATTATCCACTTTCATTTCATCTTTTGTTCCGATTGAATGTACGCTATCCAAGTCATGTCTCACAATATTTCCTACGTTAAATTTGCCATGGATCGGATAATCAAGAACTTGCTGATTTTCCACTTGGAAATTGATTTGACCTTCAGACTGACCTTGATGCTCCTGTTCTGCGTACATATATCTATCGGATTGCGTGTCGTACCTTACACTGTCACTATCCACAGACATCTTCTGCAGATTAGTGTACTCTCCTTTGTCCTCAATGAACTCTGATGATCCTACATACGACCCTGTAGACATTTGAAGAGCATCGTATATAGGCTCTACGATATTATCAACAAGTTTAACAGAACTGTCTTCAGTTTCCGCTTCATCCATAGGATTTTCTTGAAATTTCTGTTTCTTACTGGCAGCCCGAGATGACTTTTCTGTACTGTTTTTCTTTTTGCATTTTTGCCATGGTACTCTTCCTTCTTCATGTATTCTCATATGCTTTTGTAAGTTTGTCTTGGTAGCAGTTCTGAATGTATGGCAATACGTACAAGAGAATGGCTTTTCACCAGTGTGTGTCCGTGAATGTTCCATCATCTTGAACCTAGACAGAAATCCCTTACCTGAAAAAGAATCACAATATACCATTCAATGTTATAATAACAATATAACCTGAAACTGATTTTTTATTCTTTTTCTCTTTTTTGATTTTAAGTAACACTGAAATTGTCATATGGTTAATTTTCAAGCTTAACTGGTTGAGGAAGACATCAGGTGCTCCTCTGTACATTTTTTCCCCCATGGAAAATGCAAGTTTTTCAGGTTTAAAGTTAAGCTGGCTGAGAAGTTTGTAAAATTTGTGAGAGGCGAGCACTTGTTTCCTTGAGTAAAAAACTTAATAGTCACTGCTAAAGTACTGGCTGGTTCTAGGAACAGATTCAAGAGTGTGTGTGTAATCACAGCTTCCTACACAAACTAAAATAAATTCTGTATCAAACACTGACTAGCCAACATCCTTACCAGACTGCATGTATATGCTGGCTTACCTTCTTATACCTTCTTATACCTTCTTATACACAGGTGGCATAGATATATTATTATCACCATCAATGGTAAAAGAGCAAGATGTATAAGAAATTGCAGAAAATCTGAATTGCAGCCACCGTAACGTTTATCCCTGTGTGATTCTAAGAGGCGACTAAACTGGTTTGAACTGAACTGGAGTCTATGCATCTCTTAGTTCCAGCAGATGAGGTGGATTTGATCCCTGGTGTTGCTTAAAGTTTGTTACTTCCGCGGTAAGCCAAAATCATCTTTCCTGTTTAGGGGCCATATGACCTAATTTGTGTTGGTGTGCCGTAAAACCAAACAAAATGTCATCAACTTTATGGATATCACCTTGAAAATCTTAAGTTAGTCCGCAAACAGGCTGTGACCAAAGGTTTATCATTTTTAGCTCTGGTGGCTTAATAGTAAAATTATGACTTTCTTTCAATACTATGAAACTACATATGAATTACTTTTCATCATTTATAAATACTTACCACATGTTTCACAGTGGCAGGTGTATGCTTTCTGATGGATTTTCAAGTGATGTTTCAAAACCTCTTTCTGGGAGAATTGTTTCTTGCAATGTGGACATGTATATCTGACACCAGTGTCTTCATGGGTGTTTCTTATGTGGCGCTGTAAACTGTATTGTCCTGAAATGACAGTTTGATGAGGACAATATTACACACTGACACATTATCCACTGTATATATCCAGTTATGCAGGAATCAATGTGTATATACCGGTAACACAGGAATTGTGCAAAATTAACGCAGAATTGTGCATTTCTATGGCTAAAACAAGCACCATAGTAAGTAAATTAACTTAGCTGCATGCCGCCAGATGAGCTAAAATATTTTAAGAAAATCAAACTTGACAAAAATGTACTAAGATTTTAAGAAAAGTAAAAAGATTCAAGATGACAGTAATAATTTACATGCTATATAATTATGCTTTTTTGGCATATTTTGACCTCTTTTTTGGTAATTTACTTGGAATTTGTAAATTACTTTCTTTGTTCCCTTTTATAAATTACATTTTCAAATTTTCATTAAAGTCAGCATGAATCTAGAGGCTTGCTACTTTAAACCTATATATTTTCATAGTATATGTATATCAAATTGGAAGTAACACACTATGGCTACTCATACACTGTTTGAAATCTCATTAAAAACATTATCAAAACAATTAAAATTGGTACCTTTTATACACTGTAGTTCCTGTTAATTTTTAACAAGGAAACACATATCCTATAATAAATCCTAATTTTTTCATCTGATTATATGGGTATTATCTTTCCTCAGTTTTTAAAAAAAAATTATAAGGAAACAAAAAAGTTGCCTTCAATATGGTAGCAAAGTTGTCATTCTCACTAATAATCTTAAAAAGTTAACACTTTCCTGTAAATATTTGTAATGCTGGTTAAAAAATAAAGTCTTAGCAACTATATGCCCATATTTATTAATTTATTTTAGTTTGATTTATTACCATACTATTGTTTGGTCTTTTTACCTATCATGTTACTTGAAAGAATTGAAGACTAGTTAAACTGTTTTGTAATAAAACATTTTCACTCACATTTAACAATTCTTATATTTTCATAAAGAGTACAGTAGTACAAATTTGCAGGCATGATGCTTTCAAGCCAAATAAAATCATAGTTTTATTTACAAGTTATTGTTATATATACCTTTAAATGATTTTCCACACAGAGAGCAGATTGTTGTTATGTCACTGCCATGTGCATAATAATGATGCGTCTTCAAACTAGACTTACTGCTCATCTCAATACCACATTTATCACACAAAAGCTTACTCTTTTCCTCGTCTTTTAAACAACCATTCAAATTATGGATAGCATCATATTTGTCCCGAAAACAAATCTTCTCATGTAATTGACATGTTATCTTGTATCGGAATGCTTTGTGACATGTTTCACATGAAAACGGCTTTACATTCAAATGTTTATTAAGATGTCCGAAATAATGCGATCTGTAGAAAAACTTCATGTCGCAATGTTCACATTCGTACAGACTTAGCTTCTTGTGTACAATTTTTATGTGATTACGTAGACCACTGAGAGAAGAGAATGTTTTATCACATTGTTCACATTGGAAACCGGTAGAGTGACCGTACAGCTCATGCATCTTTGCATTGTACTTCCCTTTAAATGTTTTGCAACATTTCGAGCATTTATGCCTTTCACCGGAATGTATTTCCCGGAGATGTCTATTCAAATTGCTGCTCACATTTGTCCTGTAGCTGCACTGCTCACATTTAAAATCTTTCCTTGTTGTATCTTTCTGTGTCATCTGTGATTTTCTTTCATCAGATGTGTTTGATACACTATAATCATTTTCATTGATTAACAATGCATTTCTATTACCAACATTTTCTGGGCTGCCCAAAATATCTCCAACTTCATCATCGTCCTTTCCGTCAATTACAATACTACAACCTGCGCTTTCAAGACTAGCAAATTTACCTTTGCTCTTTTTACTTTTGGGTGACACTGTGTAATCCGTCTTTCCTACATCCCTGTTATCTTTGCATGTTTTTAACAGACTCTGCTTCCTCACTCTTTTACTTTTAGTTCTAGGCTTTAAAACCTTTTTAGATCCCGAGTTCAAAAGTTTGCTTGGTTCAAGCACAGAGTTGCCAAAGTAAACCCTAGTAACAACCTCATTGTTTTTCTCACCAGTTTTGTTCGAGTCTATCTCTGAACTACTAAATACTGAATCAGGTTGGTCACCCTGGGATACAGCAACTGACAGTGTTTCAACTTCTTCAACTGTTGTCCCATCATCATCAAAGTCTACCACTTCTGACTGCTCCAAAGCAGACAGAATTTCATTTTCTAAATCTTTGGATATATAATTCCCTACAAATAAAGAAAAAAATATATGTTTTAATAAATTCAAAAACTAAAACAATTAAGGCAATTTCTTCACATGCAATATTTTTTGAGAAAAAACATATTCAATGTTTGAATTCAGTATTCTGAGGGTTCAAGTCCCGATCAGGATGCATATATTCTCAGTGAAATTTGGCGCCTAATGGGGAGCAGTGACTGCACATAGCTCAGAGTTTAATTAACATTTCTCAGTAACCATGAGAAATTCAAGGATGAATTCCAATATAGCAGGGGTGTATGTCATCATTTAGAAATGTTCACTATTTAGTAAGGCTCCCATGCTTTCAATTTTTTGTAAATGTTTACACAATTGATAAGAACCGAAACGATACCGTTTAAACGGTGGTACCTCTATGTACTATATACACCATGTATATATGTCGACAGAAAGAATTTTTAGGGCTCATCAAGATTGAGTCGGAACACATTTTCTGCATTGTATTCCAATTTTTTACCAAAAATGTATTATGTCACGAGCAATTTGCTGTATGGAAGGTTGTAAACAGCCATTTTCTGTTTTCTACTTTGGAATAAACCACTAGAATTGATAAAATCCATGATAACAGGCAATGATTAAGAACTTTTGTAAGACAATATGGTCATTTCGATTAAATGGTAAAAAATATTGTAACGTTTACGAATGAAAATCGAAACGAATCCGTTTAAACATGTAACATGGGGCCTTACTATTTAGGGGAGAAATTGTGTAAGCAGCCGGATAGCTCAGTTGGTAGAGCAGCAGTATTGTATTCTGCAGGTCCTGGGGTTGAATCCTGGTCAGGCTGCACAATTTTAGGGGACTGTGACTGCATATAGCTCAGTTTAACTAGCATTGTTCTGTAACACTGAGAAATTCAAACACAAGTATTAATAGAGTGGGGGAGTATGTCACAGTAGAAAAAAGGTAGCTATATCATAGGAGCTTAACATTTTATCAATAATTGAAAAATATAATGGAATAATTAAGAAATTATTATTATTTATTTCTTCATTATTTGCTTATATTTTACAATTATCAATAGAATGTCAAGCTTCTGTGGCTAGTGGTCAGATAGCTCAGTCTGTAGAGCTCTCATAACAGTATTCCAAGGAGCCTAGGTTTGAGCACCAGTCAGGCTGCACTTTTTTCACACCCTGTGACATACATGTACTATTAAACTTTATTTTTGTCCCATTGCTATAGCTCAAGTTTGTTGAAGGCAATAGTACGGGGAAGCCAAAGACCGGGCCCGCGAAGCGGGTCCGGGCTTTGGCTTGCCCGGCTATAGACTACACGTGTATATTTAAAAGAAAATCAAATTAAAACAATTAAAAAATATATAGAATTCTATACCTATCAATGAAATTTTCAGTGTCAGTTCTAGTCGGGCGCCGCCATTTACAATGTAACTCAATGATAATAGGCGGGGTATTCCGATAACGGAACAAATCTCAACTTTTCGGATAAATGATAATCGTCGAGTGTTCCGAGTGAAAACGGAAGCGGTGTATGTAATACCGAATGACACCTTTAAAACGGAAAGAATGAAAGGAATTTTTAACGACTTCTTCATTCATAGGCCTTGCCTAATTTCATATTATCAACAATTTACAGTATATGTGAAGCTTTATAAGTTTATTACCCAGATTATTGAAGGACCAGTGTTTTGAAGTGAACAAATCACACATAGATGCCTCCTGCTCCAATGTGGCATACAATATAACAAGTCTTCTCATTGTAGCTGAAAAGATAAACAACTTTTTTTAAATATTTTATGTTTCAATTTGTACAAATATATCTATTTTGCAGTTTTGTGTATTGTTGCATCAATCAGAAACGACCAATGCTGATAAAACAACAATTATTCGTAAAAGACATTATTATAAATGTCGCAATATAAACAATCGCAATAACAATGATGGCAACTCACTACCTGTGGTTTATTGAATTAAACCAGTACTGGCACAGAGCTGTATTATAAGTATTTGACACTAACTATGCAAACTTGTAATATAAATATTATCCGAATATAAAAACAAACCCACAAGATCATAGATAAAATCTTGTTCTTATTCAATATTAAAAAAACCAATAAAAACACATATCACTGTTATTTGACGATTTCAACTTACATATTATTTACAATTAATAATATGATGTTAGTCTGTAATAGCTGCAAACAGAATCTGACAGCCTACATACGACATATCCGAAAAGTATACAACCGGTTATTTAAAGTCTGTGTATTCACGTACTGTAATAAAAGTACGGACACCGCCCTACTAAAACCTGTCATGTTCCTCTGTTCAATTCTTTGGTTTCATGTTTAATAAAAACTGAATCTGTTTCTTTAATAAAGTACATGTAATAGTGAGTGAGTGAGTGAGTGAGTGAGTGAGTGGGTGAGTGGGTGAGTGGGTGAGTGGGTGAGTGAGTGAGTGAGTGAGTGAGTGAGTGAGTGAGTGAGTGAGTGAGTGAGTGAGTGAGTGAGTGAGTGAGTGAATAAATAAATTGATGATAAATATAATACGATCATCATCTTCAGCCTCAGGTGGTGATATTTATCATTGTTGTTGTTGATGATGATAATTTTATAATATAATCATCATCATCATCATCATCATCATCATCATCATCGTCGTCATTAATATTAGTATCATTATTGTAAAGTACTACATAGAGAATTAAAAAGAAATTATTTAATTTATTGCTCTTTTTTTACTAAACGTTTGAGAGTCTATTTTAGCTGTGTTAATATTTAGTAACAATAGTGTGGATAGATACGGTATACATGATAAATTACTATTATAATTGCAAGTTTACTTATATAAAACTAATAAATGATGTACATAACTAATATGGGAGGCAACTCATTCTTAGAAAATATGCAAGTAAAATTGCGTTATCTCCCTTGTACTGTTATTTTGGCGATTTTAGTTCAAACTCGACGCAAAATAAAATCCAAGAATCTTTATCGTTGAGAAAAACGATCATTAACTCTTAACATAATTGAATTGTTATTATCTTCTTACATAAAGTTTGTCCTCTTAAATCATTATTTTTTTTTTTAAAAATGTTGTTTATAACTTGTATTTTTTTCGTATGCCATGTGACTATGTTTAAAATCAAAACGATGTACATATGAGCCGTGTCACGACAAAACCAACATAATGGGTTTGCGACCAGCATGGATCCAGACCAGCCTGCGCATCAGTTTCTCTACTTGTTATAGGGTTTGTAAGCGAACAGCATGGATCCTGATCAGACTGCGCGGATGCGCAGGCTGGTCTGGATCCATGCTGGTCGCAAACCCATTATGTTGGTTTTGTCGTGACGCGGCTCAATTATGTAAAATTCTGTTCTGTTCATATTATACTGTTAGAGCATTATGGGATGGGTGGGAGGTGCAGCTTTCTACACTTTTGGTTTTCGTTCTAATTCTTTTCAAGTTCCTTTTTTTCTGGTCCCAGAAATATAAATTATATTTATTTTTATGTATACTCTGGGACAGACGATGTATCTTTCTGTCCCAGGTATACTTTCTGTTGGAAATAAGTGGTTAAAAGATAGTTTAGCAATTTTTTTTTTTTTAATTTTGCTATTTAATTCTCAAAATTTTGAAAATATGTACACGTTATTTTTATGAAAGCAAAAAATGATGCCCGAATATTAGATGACAAAGTCTGGTGGGATTTATTAACCCACTCAATGTCAATAACATCAGTAATTTACAGACCGCAACTTTTACTATTCCCCCATGTTACTAGAACATTATTTAAGCACGTTGACCCGTTGTGGTTTCTTTCTTTTTCCTCGCGTAAAAAAAAATGCGGCATAGTGCCGGTTTCTTTGTCTTTGCGTTTTAGTATGTATTTTTATATCACCGCGCCATGAGAAAAAAGCATGTGCAGAAAAAAATTCAAACAAACCGCATCAAATCTTAATCAAACCACGTGAATACGTTTTTTTTTTCTTTCACATGTTGCATTTGATATCCATTAGTATTGAAACGCCTGTTGGTAACTATGGATATTATTTTATTTGTAATTCAATATTTAAAACTCTGATCATACCATTGATTAAATGTATTTAATTCCGTATGATTTATCTTATTGTAACAACGAAACGTTACCGTAGCAATATTTTTTTCTGATAAAAATCTTTGTGCTTGACATAAAGTTGATAATAAATTAATCGTTGCTAATTGGAGCCATGTGCAAAGATAGATATTTTTTATGTTTATAACTAATTTGGTTATTATCAATTTTTAAACATATTTGAAACGAATGGTAAAAAACCCACACACCCCTCGGAAAAAGAACGTTGTTAAATTAATAGATAGAAAAGGATCTATTTGGAAAAAAAGCGTCACCCATGTCAGAATTTCCTATTATATTCAGTACGAATAAGTCTCTTGTATTCCGGAGGATAATTTTGCTGTTATTTATTTTTTAATCTATTTTCAACTAGATAGCTTTCTCCCTCGCGTGCTCAACGATGTGTGTGTGTGGGGGGGGGGGGGGAGAGAGAGAGAGGGGCGTTGAGAAAATCGTATTTTTATGCTTTTCTTGGCCCAATTTGAGTGAAAAGCGTTTAAACGCTTTTCATTTAGGTCATTGTTTTACAATTTGAATAATTATTCTGTAAAAACGAAGAGCGCGAATGATCTGAAATTTTGCACAAGGATTAGTGGTCTACACATATATCAAATGGTACATTTATCTGGAAAAATTATTTTCAGTCCAATCATGTCAAAAAGAAAACTCAGTGGAGTCCCTTTAAACATGTCCAAGTAATAAACAAATTAAAATATCCTCAACAAATCCACGCTGCCAAATGCACAGTTTCTTTTCTTTATTTTACTATTTATTTATTTATTATTATTTTTTATTTATTATTTATTTATTTTTTTTTTTTTTTTTTTTTTTTTTTTTTTGGGGGGTGGGGGTTCTTTCATGATTTATGATTTCATACATAATACCTTACAGATTGTCCTGTTTTTATTCAATTTATTTTTTCTATGTATTCGTTCATTTAAAAAGAAATGCCATATTTATTTAATAGGATTTAGTGTAATGCACGTATAGAACGTTATGTTAATCAGTCCGTTATGGTGGCTCCCTCTACAACATATCACACGCGTCATCACCTTGAATAAAACATCCAATGTCGTCTGCCAACACTTGTTACAGGTCACAGTAACAAAAGAAGTGTCGAAAGTGGCGGAGATGTCGAACAGGTTACTAAATTAATAATTAGTTACTTATAAGTAATAACTAATTTATTGAGCAATGGCACTTCGTAGCCATAAAAAAAGCCGTTAGACATATTGTACAGGAATTTGTCGTCTGCAAAGTTGGCGATTATCCTGAACAAATATATATTGTAAACAGTAAAAATGAATTTCCTTTTTTATTAAAATACATAAGGTTTATGTATATTTTTTTCAGAGCCGTGTTTTCAAAATACTCGCCATGAGTGCTGGTAAACTAGTACGGAAAACGCCGAAAAGTTGCGATTTCATTTTGGATTATACGCAGTGATTGGCAGAAAGTTGGTGAATCTAGTATGGAAGGCTACCCAGGTGTTGGCTTACAAATGTCTGAAATAATACAGGAAGAGGTAAGCTACATGGAGAGAAAAATGTGCAGCCTGACCGGGACTCAAACCCGGGACCCTCACTGGGCTATCCGGCCGCTAACACATCATCTCCCCTAAATAGCAAAAAGTTCTGAACCGTGACAGGTTTCGCCAGTAAAATTTTCTCCTAAATAACGAGAATAACAATGTCGGCGTTACGTAAACTAACGACAGCAAAAATAGAATTCTATTACCGTCATCAAGGCAAACGAAGTACCATATACAAGTCTAGATTTAATTTGCTTTCTCACATCCGGGTCCGTAAGGAATGCATTCCACAACCACTTTCCGAGATTTCATCTAATATCGGCATAAATCAATATAATGAAGAGGTCACTTAAAATATACCCACCTCCCGCGTTATTAGATTATGTGTTTTCTGCCGTTTACAAGTGCATTGTCGTTGCTACTTCTGTAGTCGCAGCAGAAGTTAAATTTTGCCTTTTACCGTCAGCCGATCATGACCTACACCAGTTTCTTCAGCTGTGTCATTTGAATGATGACTAGAATTTTGTCATATGATTTTGGGTATGAATTTAGTTCACGTAACTTTTAAAAGCTCGTTTGTAACGGAACAAATTTTAACTCATCCATTTACTTACCACCAGTCCTTCCTTAACACTTCCATGTTGTGTTCGTTGTCATTCGATGCGTATACCTTTCCGATTAGGTCAATCAGTAGAGCGTTTCACTGGGAATCGGGCGACCCTGGCTCGATTCCCGGACAGCGCAGATCACTTTCGTTGTTGTTGATCATGAAATCCTTTCTACGGTCATTCGCACTGTACCTCTGGTATGTAGAGAAGTTGTCAGTTGTTTGCGAATGTGAAGGCAACTAGTACTGATAAAATTGCTTGACAGCATGCTCAGGAACGACGCAGTGGCTGCACTCTGCTCTGGTACATTAAATGTGGTTTATCGTCGTCATCCGGATTGGTAAACTACAAACAACGTTTTATGTGGAGATATCTTGTATGTGGACACATTTCCTTGCAAACAGAACAACAACAACAACAACAACAAAACAAACAAACCAGACAAAACAACAAACAAATAAACAAAAAAGCAACAGCAGCAAACACCCTCCCCCCCCCCCCAAAAAATAAATAAATAAATAAATAAAATAAAATAAATAAATAAATAGATAATAAAATAAAAAATAAACAAAACCAAAACAACACCAATAAAAAAAGAAGAAAAAAAAACAGTTTCTGACATTTGGTAAACGACTGAAATAATTCATATTTAACACGTACAATTCCATCCGGTGTTCGTCAAAATTTAAAGAAAATTTAAGAAATGTAAATTGATTGCCCTTTAAGTGGGCACGCTGGTGGTATTTTGTTCCAGTGAACAGTTATAGTTATAATTTATGACATTTTATTTGCATTTAATATCGTTTAATGTGTTTCATGTACATGGCGGTATTTTATTTTCAAATCAGTGCACGCTTGACAGTTAATATTACCCTATCGAGATGCAATTAATTTGTTATGAGGCAGAAGAACGGTTCTTTTAATGCCTGCCTGAAAGTCTATAAATGAACATCAAAGGAGCCGCGCATCTGCCGCATGTCTCAAAATACAATGTTACATTATAAGA